TAGTGGAAATATAAATATTTCAACATATGTAATTAATTTTTTTTCTATTATAAACTTAATGTCTATAATGATTTGTTAATAATAAAATGCAATTGTGAAAAAACCCGCTTGGGTTTTTTTCTAGGGCTTTTTCATTTAGGTTTTTTTCTGTTTGTTAAAATCATAACAACCTTAGGTATTACCATCTTCACAGTGGAATATTTTAAGGTTCTATAAGGGAAAAAATATGTTGAATAATTTTTCAAATATACTCAGTTTTCCATGTTTAAGAATACATGTTATGGTTGAGATAGTTTTAGTCTGTTGTGGTTGTGTTATATTATGTTTATGATATAGGTACGCCTTTAAGTAAGGCTGGTCTACGTTGGCAACTTTGAAGTACGAATACTATTTAAGTTTCACTTATTAAGTCTTCATTAAGGACACTCCAGTTGCGGAAAAACTGAGCATACTTAGTTATTTTTTCTTTTACAGCAAGACAATGGAATAAATTTGAATTCCGTAAAAATTTCTTTATGATGCAAATAGTATACGGTAAAAATTACTTTTTTCAAAATCTACATAAAGCAAAATGGAGCTTGTACAGCTTTTCTTCGATTAAGTTTTTTTTATTATTTATTTGTTTTGATGAGTGCTTGCTTGACAGAATCCACCAGCAAATGTCATTTTAAGTACAGATTAAATTTTTTTCTCCAATTATATATTGTACGAATAGCTACAAAAGTACGTCAAGATTTTACTGTTCAATTATAGGCTTAAAATAACATTTTATTTTATAAATGTTTTTCCTTTAGCGCTAGGGCTATTACAATGCCCATTCAAAATTAATTCTTATATTACCTGCGATTGATGTTTTAAATATTTTCCTCCCTCGAATGGTTGGATTGCACCTAACCTTTGGCTATTTTTATCCTTTGATTACGTCCTGGGATTTGGATTAAAACCAATAGGCTTGATAGAGTTTATAGGGGAAAATAAAACGAGGAATGTTTGAATTGTTAAAAAGTCTCAGTCATTTCTCTGCAAGTTTCCTACATGTAGCATGTTTTACCCGTAATTTTTATTCAATATTGACAAATCATTATTCAGTGGTAGGAAAATGTAAACAACTTGTGATAATGGTTTTATTATGTATTTAAAATTATCGTTGTGCCGTTATTATTGTTATGTCCTAAAATTCCTTTTTTTCTTTCCTTCGTTGACATTAGAGCACGTAGACTATCCAAACATAAACAACTTTCTTCCATTTTTAATTTGTGTCTACTGACAAATTGTTTTTAATGAGTTGAGAAAAAAAAAGAAGTTCCGTTGTCATGATAATTCATTTAATAAATCGTATATAATAAGTGAAGATAAACTAGAAGTATTATTTTTGTAATGAAATCTTTATTATTTTTAAAAAAACGTATGCATTAGACGTGAAACCTTTTACGTGTTTGTTAGTATCCGTTGCATGTGTTGAGATTCGTATGATAAAGACCTAATTTGGGAACCCAAACAAAAGCGTACATCCCGGTTTCTGCGGCGGCGTTTAAATTGTGCCACGGTCAGTTGGCCGTCATCCAAAGGTTAATGGTAGCTGATTCAGTCAAACGTTTGAGAGTGTTTATCTGGAATGTATCTTTAACAAAAGAACATATTGTGCTGGAAAGGTTCAGCGACCACGTTGGGAATCGTGTTAAAATTTAGGTTTTCCTAGCACAAATTTAAATATATACTTCATGACAACTGGGTTATTAAATGTGAAATAAATACTTACCTTTTATGCTGATTGTATTAAGAATGCTAAATAATTTACTATTTATTTAATTATTTTGAAAATGTAAGAAATTTAGAACTGCTTATAGATTATTTTTTTTAAATTACAAAACCGTTTGTACTTTAAACTGTATAATGATATTAACACTATATTTCTATTGTTTCTACCGTTCTGCCAGTAGGTATCTATTTTAGAGATTGCAGAATCATCCAAATTAAAACATTTGTTTAAAACGGAAAGCTTTCGAATTTTAAGGGGGAAACGAATTTTTTAAAAGACAATTTGACAGTAGACACTTTGTAGAACATTTTGTTAAAAGTAATTGTGTTAGTTGAGTGATTGAAAAGTTAGGTTGCCAAAAACTCTTTTCTTTATTTTTTTCTTCCTTTTTTTAATTTTTACCGTACTGTTTGGCGCAGCATGTCCTCATTTGGACCTTGTGCCACTAAACCTTACATTTATTCAATCAATCAATCCTTTTTTTAAATAAAATAATTGAAACTGGGATTTTGTAAGTTGAGGAAAACTCCATGGTAATTGTTTTTTTAAAAATATTCCCACGGCTAAACTTAGCACTATTTCTAGTGTTATTTAAACACTATTTATAGAGTTTACATTTGAACATATAATGCATGGTAAATATATATATTCTTGTTTTTGGTCATTTTTTGTAAAGTTTATATTTATTTTTCTCACTTTTATCGTATAATATTCAATAAAATCTGAATTTAGTTCTTTTGTTTTCTTTTTTATAATGTTAGTGCAAACTATAATTTTCATTGCGACATGTGTTTTAGAAACAACCAAATTTAAAACCATATCTACATTTTAAATCTCTTTTTCTCTTGGTGTAAATAATCCATGTGTTATTAAAAATTGAAATTATGATATAAGTTTTTCTTCTTTCCCCCTCTTCATTTGAGCCTTAAACATTTACTCTCTTTGGCACCATTTTCATCTAAAACCTTCTTAGCTCAAACATTTTCATCTAAAATCATAAATAAGAAGAAAAAAAAAATTAGGTTTAATATGCTAAACATTTTAAAGCAAAGTAGTTCCCTCGGAAAGTAATAATTTTTAAAAAAATTATTTTCGTAGTGTCTGAATTTCATTTTTATATTTTTCATTAATTATTCAGTCACTTTGTTTCCTATGCTATGGAAATTACATCAATAATATACAGTAATAATCTGTTAAGTTTTTAAGTAATTCTAACCGAAAGTGTATAAGTTAGATCCTTTTTACTAATTAGTAGACACACACTTTTAGTTTCATCACAAAATTTCTATTTTAATTGGATTTGCTGTTATTTGCTGGCCGTAATATATTGTTAAAGATGAAAATCCTTGTCTAAATTAAGTTTATAAAGTACACACATTAGGAGACGTAAATGACTTAAACGAGGAAAAAGCAAAACAGACATCAAAATGTGTTGAATTACTTATGGGGGAACTAGGAGATCCGTTCTGATGAAAAAAAATATCAAAATAAATTTAGCTTTATCTTTTTATGACCCTTTTTCATCTTTTCTCATTAGAAAAACATTCCCTTTTTTAAACAATCTGTGCAGTGTCATAGTAAGAAATTTTTCAGAAGAAGAACGCTAAAAACATCAAAATTTTATGTACAATTATTTATTTTTGTTAAATATAACGTGCTAAAATGTTACAAAACTAACTGTATCTATCTGTATTTGGTTTAAAATTCTTTGAATTATAACCACTTAAGTGTTAAGTTCCTTCGATTTATTTGTAATTCATAACATTATTTAATGCTATATAAATAAAAACAGTTATTACAAAATATATTTACATTGCAGGGCTCGAAAAAACTCAAAACTTTTACCCGTCCCCGAGGACGGCTAGTCCAACAATGTACCCGTCCTCCTTTGAAACTAACCCGTCGCTTCTAAATAAATAAAAATATAATTTTCTCTTATTTATTACAAACATTTATATAAATTGCGCAATGAATTTACTAGGATTACAAATACTAGGATTGCATTATACAGTAATAAAAGTAATACTAGGTTACTAATAGCAACCTAGTATTTCTTTTATAAAATAATTTATTTCTTTTATAAAATAATTTATTTCTTTTATGAAATAATTTAAATGACAAATGTCAAGTTATCTGGAATGTCAATTTATCCGAGGGTACAGCGTTTTTTAAATGAATCAAATATGACGTTTGCCAGTTCCACAATCAAGCTAATGATTTACAGAGGTTTCTGCACAAAAATCTGAAAGGAGTTTTCCATTTAGGTAGATGTTCATAATTGCTTTAACGCTTCTTGTTTAAGACCAGTACGTAATGTTTTTTTTTTTTTCTTTGTGAGTTCATTGCTGAAAAGTCCCTTTCAACCGCTGCAGTATGGAAGACAGAGAAAACATCAATTCCACCATGCGCAGTATGTTACTGTATTTCTAGATTAGAGGGTCATTTTAGAAGTGAGGCGCTAGACTCTTGTAAGATAACAAAAATTAAAAATGTATCACGAACATTATCGGGAAAATATCCGTCCGCGCGGACGTCGGATTCGAGAAATTCGTTGTCCGCGGGGAATTTTTGACCGCCGAGGTCGGGCGGACGGGTGGTTTTTCGAGCCCTGTTACATTGGTACTTTTCATTTACTTCGCACTAGAGCTGCGCAATGTGCTATTGGCGTCGGTCAGGGAATCATCCCAGAGGATGATCCAGAGACAACATACATACGTCACATTCCATTTTACCGGGGCACATTCATGCACTAACCATCCATCCGCAGATCGTAATTTGCACCTGAACTTGAACATGAACATGATATATATTTTGTATTCAATTTTACTTCGTTGAAACTTTCAAAATATATTTACAAAAATTAAGAAATTTTAATTAAAAAGGGCAAAATTGATTAATAAGTTTACTTAAAAAAAAAAAAAAGGAGAAAAAAAACTAGTGGAGATGTTCTTTCTTGTATCTTTTCCACTACACACTGAATCTCAGGTGTTGCCCTTAAATTTTTTAAAGTTAAAGTTTAATTCTACGCAATGTTTTTGATATTTTCTGTTGTTTAGTTATGTGTATTGTTTCTCATTATGGATGGAAAATTTTGCTTCATCTTTGCATTTGTAAACTTAGACAAATTTAAAAAATGTTTTGATGTGCTCCCTGTAAATATGTTAATTTTTTTTTAAATATAAAATGTGGCTTCTTAGCTTTTTGAAGCAATGAATTCAATTACAATTATTTTTCCTTATAGGCTACCAAATTTCTGTGATATTAAAAATGAAGTTGATAGCCAAAGTGTGCAAGCCAACAAAGACATGCCCAATGTTATTATTAGAACTGATGATGTACCCTCCTTGCAAGAAGAAGTAAGTATCTAAATTCTTTCATTGCTAAATGATATCATAATAAATTATTTTTAATATTTTATTATTTTATATTTTGCAACATTGAAAAATATTGTGATTTTTTTCCCTATATTATCTTCGCCATAAAAAAACAATTATACAATAAATGTCTGCCCTCTTGTCTTTAAAAATCATACTACTGCATCATCTATATTCATCTTTATTTTTTAACATTTCAAATGTTGAACCCTTGGATAATATTGTACTAAAATTTTTGCTATGCCCTTATCCCCTTTGAATAACGTAGGAAAAATTTCTCATTCCTTTTTTACATGCAGAGAACTCTTCTGCTTTAAGTTCAGAAAAATCCAACTTTAACAACTGTTTTTCAATACTCAGTCGCCAAGGAAAATATAAAAGCCACATTTTAAGGGCACTTGAAGCAATGCGATGACTTTAAACTATTTATATGATCTTTCCATAAAGAATTATCTGGGCTTTAGAACAGACAAAAAATTATTAAACTTAAAAAGGTATTAAACTTTTTTAAAAATCCCAATTTGGCGACTTTCTCTACCTAGATGAAAATTATCAAAATCATTGCCATATTCTTAGTTTTTGGAAACTTTTATAAGCCCAGGTGATGCAACATTGGAATAGGTTTTTAAATATTAAAAAATTAGACTACAAACACTTTTCATTTTCACAAAACTGTGCTTTTTCTCCATATTGACGTTTTGCACCATTTTCAAAATAAGTGTAGACAGCACTGACTTTAGAAAGGCTAAACTTGACCTAATAGGCAGAAGTAGCAGTTGTAAACTCACAGCAGTTATAAAAGTAGCATATTATTCTCAAAAAAAGCATAATTTCATATCACGACAGAGCCTTTGAGAAACAGCCTTAATGCTCAGAGGATTAATGTTAATTATTCTTGTTTTTATTTGAATATTTTGAAAAATAGTCATTTTTATAATATTGCTGAATTCAATAATTTAATAGTTTTATCGATTTATTATTTTTTTAAAAAAAGATTTTCTTATAAAGCAAGATTATATTTATATTGGATTAAAATTTATTTTTCAGGAAATACATCAGCAGCAATCAGTAGTAAATGTTCAAAGGCCAAATGTAGAATATGTAAATAAAGTAGATACCAAGGTAAATAGCAATTAATTTTTTTAAAGATAATGTTCAGAATTGTATGTAATCCATTAAAGGCATTTATATTTTACATATTGCAAATGACTTTTACTTTAGCCATTATACAAATTCGATTTAGTCCTATCTTTTACATTTATTTATTTATTTTAAGTACTTATTGTAAAATTAATTTTCAAATTTGTTCTACTCAGAAAGTTAAACTATGAGGTTTTTTAAATTGAAATATTTAAAATGAATGTTTTGAAACATTTAATATTTGAGGCTTAAAATGTAAGTAAAAATGACCAAGTTTTAAATAATCTGTTCTATATTCTTTATAATTTATTGATATGGGAAATAAAAATATATGGTATAGAAAGGGAATATAGTATAGGTAATATAGTGTAGAAAGGGAATCTTGAGCAGAATTTAACATTATTATTTTAATCAAAAATGTAATTGCTAATATAATGAATAATTCTGATAAATTCCAAAAATTCAGTTCCAAGTAATGGATATTTGGCTGAATATTCATTATTTGGCCTAAGTTGCTAATTTGGTATGTCACCTCATGATTTTAAACCGTAAAAGTAGATCTAGTCTAGCTAGTCCTTTTAGTTATTTTATTTTTTTAGATGAACTTATTTATTATTGCGCCTCATTAGTTTCAAGACTTGCAACATTTGATGTATGTTTTTCTTTTTTAGAATNAATTCTTAGAATTTTGTGCATTTGCAATGTACCTAAGTTAGTAGCGAGCGAAGCGAGCTTGGTTTGCGAAGCAATCCATATAAGCTTGCGTAGCAATTTTCGGGGGTTGGCGAGCGTTAGCGAGCAGGGGGCGCAGCCCACTAGTATTCATTATTTGGTCAAAGTTGCTAATTTGGTGTGTCACCTCATGATTTTAAACCATAAAAGTAGATATAGTCCAGCTAGTCCTTTTATTTTGAAAAATTTTAATTACTATATTTTTTAGATAAACTTTTTTATTATTGTACCTCATTAGTTTCATGACTTGCAACATTTGATGTATGTTTTTCTTTTTTAGAATATTGTGAATAATAATGATGTAAACAAGTTAGAATCTCCTAAAAGTCTTTCAAAAGAAAATCATCCAGAGTAAGTAGCTATTTTTTTACTTGAAGTTAAATTTTTTTTAAATAATCTATTAAAATCAATTACTGTAATTTTATAAATGCAAAGAAAGTTTTAATACTAAATAGTCAAATGTTTTAAAACTAATGCTGTTGAAAGTTCTTAAATAATGAAATTGTATATTTTTTTTATGTAAGCACAGTTTTGCTTATTAATTGAGAGTATGTTTTATTGTCTTCAAAATTTATATAATATTTAAAACTTGAGTTTAATATTTAAAACTTGAGTTTAAAAAAACAAGCAAACAAACTGGAATTGTATTAATGGTTCTGTATTAATATAGTATGAGAAGCATTTAATGTTAAAAAAAATTATTTACAGACTGAAATTTTGTTCTCGTTTTCAGAGAAATTATAACAAATTTAGACAGCAGTAGACATGAGGAAATTAGTAAAGAGGACAAATCACTATTAAGGCAAGAAAGTCCTTCTCTAACTGGCGATTCATCGTCTGACCAGTAAGTTGAATTTTTATCAATTCTTATAATTATTTAAAACCATTTTGAAAATAACATAATAACAATAATATAATAACAATTAAAATGACATAAAATTTTATTAAATGAATTAACAAATCACATACTAAATATAGCTACTACTAAAAGCACATATTGAATTCTCAGTTCAGGGTTTTGCATATTCTCTTGAATTTCCATATTTTTAAATGTAAAAATTTATTTCAGTATCACAGATACTCAACACCTTGAAAAGTCTACAAAACATTCCGACAGTGTTTTACCTCCTGCAACTGAAGAACCAGAAAAAATAATTGGGCAACCTGAAGTAGAAAAATCTATTCCTAAAACAGATTCTATTGAGCCAAAAATCCTACCTAGGCCTGCTTCCCCGGTAAATGTTAAGCCCGTTAAAACTGTTATGGATGATAATTTACAACATCACCATCCTCACTACGATGGAATGCCCTCTTTTGATGAATGGAAGAAAATGATGCTCGCAGAACAAGAGAAAGGAGGTACGTTACTCAATTTTATTTGTTATTATTATTTTTTATAATTTGTTTATATATAAATAAATGTTAATGTGTTTTTTTTAAAGTTTTTTTTTATCATTCAATGACAAACTCTACTTCTTGGTGCCAAGAATGCCAGTATGCAATTCATTTTGATTAACCCACTGAGCACCTTCAGTCCTTTAACAGGTCTCCAAGGTTTTCAATATTTAGGTAAGGATCAAAAAATTCGAGTTGCTTGGCTAATATCCTTTCTGCTACCACAGGACCATAGAAATAAAGTGGTGTGGATGTCATGTCTGCCACCAAAGGACCACAAACAGATGGGTTACAGTTACAGTTCACACAACAGCAAAATAAAGGACTGGAAGAGAAATATCCGTGACTGAGACTATATTTTAACCTGTGCCTACTTGATCAATGTTCGTCATAGTAACAGCAAAACCAGCACGTGAGCTTTTTATTTATAGTTAGTGATGGTAATATTCGCACCAATGGTAAGAATTACAGAAGTTAATAATGCGTAGCTTCTGAGGAGAGAAATTATTTCAAAGATTTAGAAAATAATAATTAAATAAGTATGAGTACACATACAATGATTCTTAATTATTTATAAAATAAAATTTCTTTATGGTATATCTAATTATTTTAAACACTACTGTTTTTGTAAAAGATTATTCAAAACTATCTTGACAAATAATTTATGTAAAAAGAAGCACTCTGCTCCTCTAAATTTGACTAATGTTTAAAAATCTTTAAAATGCTTTTAATGTTTAAACTGTTAAAAAGGCTAAATTTGACTAATGTTACATGTTTAAAAAATGCCTTTGAATAATCTTGTCTTGGTTTGAGAGTTTTTTTTTTTTTGAAACCAAAATCTCAAGTAGTGAAATTCTTTTACAATAACAAAATTCTATTGAATTATTTCTAAAGTTTTTTTTATACATTTCTCTGTAGGTCAGAAGCCACCGTCTCCCTCTCCCCCTGGGAAGAAGATTTCTAGTCAAAAACGTAGACGTAATTATTCCTCTTATGAATGTGGTGCCAAAATTGTAGCCTCCAACACTGAAGCAGAGGGAACTAGCAGAATTTTGAATGAGTTGGTTGATGAGTACATGCTTAATCCTTGTAAAGCTAAAATTTGGTTTGTCATCGAACTATGTGAAACAGTTCAAGCCAATCAGGTGAATAATATCGCCGAAAAACTTTTTTTCATTTTCAAAAGTTTCAAAAGTCCATAACCCATTTTTTGTAATGTAGGTTTCAGTTCTCTTTATACTTAAGAGAGACTTCTTTATTTTTACCCAAAATAAGGTCTTATTTTTTTTATCAAGACTACGAAAAATTCCTCTAAGAATAGGAATTTTGGCTTTAAATTTTTATTTTTAAGAGACCAATTTTGGTAATTTTAATATTAAAAATGTATTCTGTAATATTCAAAGTTAAACTTTATAAATGTGTTAACTTAGGAAGTATTTAAATTTACTTTATGCTATTTAGGCAATTACTGATTTTTCATTTGCCTTACGTTATTGTTTTCATAATTTTCATTGACTAATGCACTTTTACTTCCAATAAATTTTATGAACACAATAAAAAAAATTACATAACATTGTATGTATGCTTTCAAACAAAGCTCCCATGGGTCAGGGAAAATAGGGAAAACCTGAAATCGTCAAGAAATTTTATTTTGACTCTAAAAAGCAGGGAAAATTTGGGAAAAGTTGCATTTTTTTTTCAAAAAACCTGGAGAATTCTTACATTATACCTAAAAAATAACCAGTCTTAGAATTGTCAGTTGCATTAATTATTTATTGAAATACAATTAAAATAATTCTAACATCTATTACAATTATTTGTTATGAAAATTCCCCATTTTACTGAAACTTTATGATGGTTAATCCTCATTCAAGGATATTTTTTGTTCACAAAATCTAATATTTGACATTACAATTAAAAAATGATGAAAATTGTTATCGGTATACATAAAACATGATCTGGATTTACATTGAAATATCTGGATAAGTCGGGGATTTTGTTTTGTTTTGTTGAAAAGCCTGTTCAAATTGATTTTAATGTTTTAAATGTATTTCAATTATTGTTTTTAATTGGTTACTTTCTTATTTATAGATTGAATTAGCAAACTTTGAATTGTTTTCGTCTTGCCCCAAAGACTTCACAGTTTATTCCAGTGATAACTTTCCCACCCGTGATTGGGTGCCCCTTGGAACTTTTACTGCTGCTGAGCAAAGAATTCTTCAGAGTTTTGAGTTGAAACAAGAAGGATTTGGCAAATTCATTAAAGTAACTTCATCTTATAATAACCATGATATCAATTTATTTGTAATAATCTTATTTGTCATTTTATACATATGTATGCCAGAGAATTTAATTTTATCTTTGTTACTTCAAAGTACCATAACTCATAATATAATTAAGATAGTGTGATGTCTACCTTAAGGTTTGCCAATTTGATGCCTTGCGCTTGAGGTGCCTTGTGCTTTTACTTAACTTAAATCATTAGCTTTGACAGTTCTTAAAATCACTGTTGTTTCTATATTTTATGTGTGAGTAATAAAATAAAAATTATAAAATTTTTGTTTTGTATCGTACTAGATACATGTGCAACCGAATTAGTCATCTTATTTTTAAATGCATTTCTGCATTTCAAAATCGAAAAATGTAATTTTGAAGCATCCTGTATATTTGCTAAAATTAATTTATAATTTTATTTTGATTATTAAGTTTTTTAATTGTTTTTTATTTTCCATTAATAATTAATTTATTTGTATATACTACTAGTTTAATGTGGTAAAATATCTGTTTGTGTGTTAATCTAGTGATACCATGTTTGTTAATTAAGCAATTTTCCAATAATATAAAACAAGCCATCAAATATTTGTAACATGTAAAAGAAAAAATATGTTATATATATAATAATAAATATATATTACAATTTAATTGAACTACCCACATAGCAATAAAAATTTTCTATTTAGTAAAACACAATGATGACATATTGTACATTTCCTTTTCATTAAAATTTTTTTTATCAATCATTTACTTATATATTCTATTAGTTATGCTATGAAATTCAAAAAAGTTATTTTTCTGAATTTTTGCATTCTAACTTAGTCGTAAACATGTTAAAAGTACAATATAAACTCGAAAATTTTTCACACAATTAGTGATATTATGTAAAGGTTTTTTCTAAAATATTTATTATTTATTAAAATTAGTTTAATAAAGTAGATGTTTTATAAGTAAGGTATTTTTTCTGTTAATTTAATGAAGCACTTTGTAAAATTCCAAAGGACAACTGGTGTTAGTTTATTTTATTTTTCTGTTACTATGCTTGCATACTATGTTTTTGGTGTAAATTTGGTTTCTGTAGAATACATCTTCAAACTTTGTACTTTTTTGAGAACTTTTTCTTAAAAATAATATTTTTTGTTGGTGTAAAATTTTTAATATCACACACTGACAGAGTGTAACAATTTAGTCACTCTTTGAAAATTCTTGCTTTAAGTTAGCTAATAAAATGTATTTATAAAAATTTTTTTTATTGCAGAAAAATTTTTGTTTTTTAAACTTAATGCTAAGTTATAACTCATCAATTCAGTTATGTTTGACAAAGTTTCTGATATTTCTAAAGAAACACTTTCATATTTATTAGAGAAACTAATTCCTATTTACTTACTCTTAAGGAAGAACAAAAAACAAATATACTTGCTAAATTTATTTTAGTCCTTTCCTTGATAGCATTACTATTTTTCATCCAGTATCTAAAAACTTTGTTTATAACTTGTTACTTGAATGCATTTGATGATTTATCTAAACAACATGGTTGAAGAGAATGCACAATTTGATAGAACAACTGCAAAAGAAGAGGCTTTTTTATTAAATGTGAATAAATGAATGCACACCCTTGCTTTCACATCAATATGGATAAACAATGTAGATTTCAATGCAGGGGGCCAAATTAAAAATAATTGCAATTTAAATATTGATTTTTAATAAACAAACTATACTTAATTTAAGTGTATAACAATGCCTATTCACTTGTTTCTTCAAGTCTTTTTATAAAATGTATTTAAGAAAGCAAAAATAAGTTTCTATTTTGCTCTTAACTTGGGTTATTAAGTGATTTTTAAATTTGAATTTTTAAATTCTCAACTTTTTATTTAAAATATGGTTCCACTGTATCTAAATTTACATTTCTAGTTTAATAATGTCTAAAGCTGACATAAATAAAAACACAAATCAACATCATATAATTTTTTGTGAATCTCTTTTTTTTAAAATTATATTAATTGTGTGATGAAATCAGAAATCATTGTTTACTCCCTTATTTTCAAAATTTATTTCAAATAATACTGTATTAAACTTTCCTTTGAATATTTCAGATTGAACTACTAAGTTATTACGGGACTGAACATTACTGTCCCCTAAGCGTCGTTCGTATATTTGGTACATCCATGGTGGACGAATATGAGGAAATGGAGACTTTGTCCAATCATGTTGATGCTACTGAAGATGATTTAGACAGATTAGGTAAAAGATTAACTTAATGTATTCCGTAAACTAATTTATAAGAGAAAATTTTTACCTGTATCATTAGTGACCTATTTATTTTTCATTCTGAAAATTGATTTGGTAAATAAATTAAAGTTTTAAGTCTGTTTAATTTCTAATGTACTTGCTTTTGTTTTATAGATATTGTAATTGAAGATCAAAAACCAACTAATTTACTTGGTAGCGCTACAGATGCTGTTATGAATATTGTCAAAAAAGCAGCCCAAGCTTTAGGACAACATCAAGCTTCAGATGGTATATTTTTGAATATTTTCACTGATTTCAAAAAATTTATTCAAAATATTATTTTAAAATTATTTAATCAGCAGTGGTATTGATCATGCTCGTTTTCAGGAGGAGGTAGACTATTATTTAATGATCAAAACTGAGGTATAAGTACTGTATATCCTGGTGTATAAGTTGGTATCCTATTTTTGATTACAAAATAGCACATTTCTGGTATGTCTAGTATATAAGTCGATTGCTGAAAAAACAAAGTGTAAAATTTTCTATTTTAATGTAAAATCTGTTTAAAAGAAGCGTGGAATTTAAAGTTCTTTGAATGAGGCTGAAGAGTATTTTTTGTGGGACTCTGCAGATAAGGGATCCCATTGCAGAAAGGGTTTCGTCTCTGGACACTGCTAACATTACTGAATCCGCACAGATGATGTTCAGGAATATTTAAATTTTTAACTATGAAGTTTATTTTTAAAGTTTTCAGTGTGAATTAATTTTTGAAATACTGTTGAGTAAATTATCTTAACTTTTCTTACTCTTAATTTTTTAAAAATGTAATTTGAAGTATTGTTTCTTAAAAAACCTCTATATGTAAAGAAATATGATGAAAGTGCAAAATCATTTATAACATATTAAAAATGTTTTTTTAAAGGAGAAATTGATATAGAGTTATTTATCTGTATTAATGACGTATGTGTGGCGTCTCATAATTTACAATTGTTTATTTATAATTCATCAATATTTAATGATCAACGAATGTCTGCCTCTTATTAGCGAAGTATAAGTCGATCCCCTGATTTTTTTACAATTTGGTGGGATTTGAAAAGCCTATTTATACATTTGAGATTTTTACTAATTCATCAAAGCCATTTCATAAGGGTAACACAAGTCGGTAATTGCCAATTTCCTTGCATTTCTAGGATTTCAAAAGAGCCAATGATATTCAAAAAAGATTTATTATTTATAAGTGTTTTAATTTTTTTTAAACAAATTATTTTAATAACATTTTGAATTTTTTTTCTTTTCTACAATTAGATGGTAACTTAGGTTTAGCTTCTAAAGACAGTGGTCTACACATTTTTAGAAACTATTCATTGAGTTTATAATGTAATATTATTAGAAAATGAGATATATTTAAAAAGTTCTTTTAGATGATTATTTCAACTAGTTATATTAAGAACAAAATTCCTCACTTTTGAAAGTATATGTCTTGATATATCAGGCCTTTGACATCATAAATGATATGATTAAATGATAGTAAAATTAATAAATAAATCATAAAAATTTTAAGTTGATCTTTTTTAAAAATAAATTGAGAAGAAGAATATGATAATTTCCATTATATTGGGTTTCACATACAATGAGAATATTTAAAAAGCCTTATTCAAAATGTTCTGTTCTGTTCTGGGCCCAGCTAAGTTTGTTGCTTTCTTAGTAATTTATGCTGTAAAACTATTAGCATAAATTTAGATAAGCTTTAGAGAAAAGGAAAGAATATGTTTTAGTTTTTAGTTTTGTAAAACATGATATTTTATTATAGTTAAAATGATTTTATGTCATGGTAGTTATTAGATTATCTTTAAATGATTTTTTAAAACTTTCTTATTTTTAAAAATTTATTTGCTCAAGTAATGCCTTTTTTTGGTAGAATATTTTCTCGATTTTTGCAACTTTTTTACAAAACTTTCCCTATTCATCAAATCCTACAAACATTAGACATTTTGTTCGATATCTATTTTGATTGTATGAAAATAATTTCTGGTGTTCTATAAAAAATAATTTAAGTAGGAAGTTTAAAGTATTGTTTTAATTTTCATTGTGTTTGAAATAAATTTGAGATAATCATCTGATAAGAATCTGACTGTGAAAACTGTATTCCCCCTTTTTTTAATTACAAATAAATAATTCTGCGTATTTAGTGATACATTTTTTTAAAAAAATTTATTTTCAGCTGTTGGAATTTGTAAGCTCATTGAAAACATATTTTATTGAGAGTTATACTGAGACCAAAGTTTACATTAGTTGAAAACTGGCTGAAAATAAAATAATTTGCTTTGTGTGCGACTGTTTTAAATTATTTTTGTTTTATAGTATGGATTAGGATTATCTCTTTCACGACTAATGTTTACCTATTTTCAAGAATTGTTAAGCTATCCAATAAAACAAAGATGCTACCTTCATTGTCATGAATGATATCTTTATTTTTTGCTTCTATTGAGGGAATTATTAATTTTACATAGTGTAGGTTGTAATTTTTCCTTTTGTAAATGAAAGCATGCTTAAAATATCTTTCAAAGATAAATTTCAAGTTAATTATCTAAGTTAAGATATGAGCCTATAATTAGGCTTCAATATTTATGAAATTTTAATTTATTGAATGTTATACTCCAGTATTCATCTGCTCATTGAAATATTTTTCAGAAATGAAAGGAAATGAGACTGTTAAAGATCAGCAAAATGTTTCTGAAGCTCAGCTGTGCTCGTAAGTATCAACAAATGTAATAGAATTTAAATATTGCAAATTTTTTCTAAAGAAATTTTTTTTTGTTGCTGTAAATATTTACTAAGAATTCTTTTTTATCTAATTAATTACAAAATATTGATTAAATTGTGTGAATGATATCTAAATAGCTTGAATACAAATGTTTTTAATAGTTTGAATTCTAGTTTTAATGATCTTTTTAAATAATTTAAATCTCTAAATTGTATACTGTTTTTTTAATCTTGCAGCTTCATATGCTGCGGTCACCAAACTTGAATTATTTTAAATTTTTTTTTAATGTGTTAAATCTTTCTTTAGCACATTAATTTTGTTATTCTTTAGCCTATTTTTTTGTATTTTAGCTTATATTTAGCTTATTAAGTTTGTTTTATTAGTTTCTTAATGTTGTTGTAACGATAAATTTTTTTTTCTCATTTGAATTTATCTTCTTAAGACCATAAATCAGGAGCAATCCCATTAAAAGGTGTAAATGCCTTTTTTATATTTTATTACAATTATAAAATAATTCATATTTTTTAGTTACATTTAACAAAGATTTCGCACCAATTATGAGTTTTAGCATTGTTTTAAACACTGATATGTGTTCAGCTCCTGATAATTCTTTTTACTGAAAAACATTAATATTTTAACCACTATCCAATTTTTGATATAACCTTGAAACCCTTATTACCCAAATAATATGAGTGCAAAATAATTATTTCTGTAGTAGACTAAAAACTGCTACCTTTCTATACTCAAGATCTTGATAACTTGACTATTAATTTTATTACTGTGATAAAGCTTTCCAATGTGTGAACTAAATAATTGTGAAATTCCTATTTATTAGAAGTATCTTTGTAAGCAGTAAATAAGTTCTATTTGAAGAATATTGTACATTCATTACATGCTTTGTGAGGAATGTGTTGATATTTTAATAACTTTTAAAAAAAGTTAAAATAATAAAAGTTACAATTCTAGGATATATAGAAGCATTAGAAAGCTGTTTATAAAATATCATTTCTCTACAAAAATTGCTTTAAAAGACTCAATTGAACATCCTATGTTTTGTAATTGCAGCCAACCATAATATGTACTTAAATTTATAAAGCTGAGTTATTATTCATGGTTTATGCTTATAGCTGACCAGAACTTCATGTTTTTTCTCTACAATTGATCTTAAATCTATAAATCTAAAATACCTCTAACGAAACTTTCAAAATGTCACTAACATGTTTTTTTACTGATCTCTTCATGTGCACCCGTTTAGTTCATAATAAGGTAGGGAGCCGATTGTCCGGAACGGTCGGGACCATCGCTATTCCGGATAACTGATTTTTCCGCTTTTCTAGATCGCTACAAAAAGCATTTTTTTTTATTGTTAAACCCAACTAAAAAATAAAATCTTTGGAAATAATCTTAAAAATAAGAAAGAACGATGAAGTAATACACTAATGATTATTTCCAAAATGATGGTAAGGTAAACATCTTTTAAAAAAGAAAGAAAAATCGTAAAATCTTATGAGGAAATTTTTTTTTTTTTTTAAAAATGGCGAGAATATATATTGAATTTCGTTTCAGTTTTTTGGTTTTCCGGTTTTCTGATTTCCGGATAACGGGTTCTATACTGTATTTAAAATTTATCTGACTGGGGCTGCTGTAACTGTATGTATATGTTACTGTAAATGACTGAAATTGGTGGTAGTTGATTTCCACTGGTGAATGTTGACAATAAAATAGTTGGCTTGGTAAATGTCCGAAATATATACCAGATCTAGATAATTAAACTGCTGGGTTTACATTTGTTAGGTATGCCCTCCATCAATGTTTTTTTTAAGGTCAAGTTCCACTGCCTAGTATGTATTTAACCGATACTCTGAACACTGATGTTCCTCCTAATCTATCTTCAGCAGATATTAAAATATTGAAAAAATATCATAATATAAAAAAATTAATATAAAATCAGACAAAACTAATATTTCGGACAAAAGCGACTGTGATTGTTGACATTCACTGGTGAAAGTTGGCATTATTTTTATTTCGGTCATTAACGGGAATGTATATGTTTAACATCACTGTTTTGCTAGTTATTGATACAGTTTTTTTTTTCATAGTGTTGCTGACCAATCTCAAAATAAGTGTGAACCAGTTCCCATAAAAACTGATAGTGATACTATACTATCCCCACACCAATTTCCCATTATTTCAAGCTCTATGCACCACTCATTATTTCGCCGATTGCATCGCTGTGACCAGTGCTCATCACGCATCCGTTATTATTCTTCAGCTCAACCGCATTGCCGATTCTTTCAAGCCGCTTTAGGGCCAGTAGTATTTCAAGCACTCTGTGATTGGTTCAAAGAGCACCCTGTAGTTATTGCACAAGAGTCCTCATCTCACAGAAATAAAGTACCATTGCCAAATATTGATTCCAGTATTTTTCCTACAAAAAGTCCGCCTCCCCAAGTTATGAGGGTTGCAATAGAAAACGAGTTGCCTTGGAAAAAACTGATCTCAAATGATACTGTTCCTTTAGGTCCAATAAATGTTACTAATAACTCTTCTTCAAATAACTCTTATTCTTCTCTAAACATAATTGCTAACTTATCAATAGGTAGTGATAAAATAGACTTAGAAGGCACACCCCATATTGTCTCCATAACTTCATTTAATGAATCTGAAGGATTTTCTGGTACCCCTGAGTTGAGCGGGACGGTTTACCCTTTGCATGACACCACAGAGACTTCGTCAAGCCAACCATCTCAAATTACTTCAACCGAAACTACCATTCCAGAAGATCAAACTGTTATAGAAGCTTCCAAAATTTTACCAAGCAATATAGAATCTTCTATTCTGTCAGATGATTTATCGGAATCTGAAGTTGAGCAGATTGCTGGTATGCCCGATACGTTGACAGCCAGTGAAGATGTGACAGAACCTCTATCTGTCACTGAAATTCCAGTTGAGTTGAAACCCACTGTTGAAAGACCCATGGATGTGCGCACTGAATTTCAGGGAAAAGTAGAACCAGTTGGTATTTCCTCCGTCGGCCAGAAAGAATCAGTATTCATGCGGATGAGTAATCGCATCAAGGCATTGGAAATCAACATGTCTCTCAGTAGTCAGTACTTACAGGAATTAAGTCAGCGTTACAGGCGACAAATGGAGGAAATGCAGCGAGCCTTCAATCGTACCATCGGAACATTAAATGATACTGCAAGAAAAGCTGCCGAAAGGGTAAGTGTAGAAAGAGAAAAAATATATTATATGACCATTAGAAATATTAAGTTTTTTTAAAATTTTCTTAACCCTTGAATCATGAATTAAGTTGTAGAAATAGTAATTAGTAAAAAATAAAATAGGGGTTATTACTATTCCTTATTTTGGCTTTTTTTTTAAAAAAAATTAACGTCAAGCTTTTTCATTATGAGAAAATTTATTTTTTATTTAATTTTCTCTTAAATAATGCAAAAAACAAAAATTCTATTAACTTGAAGATTATAAACACAAATTACTACTCTTAAAATTGGCATATTGTCATAAACTTTAGTTCTGGTGTGAAAATATCATCTAAAATAGTTATTTTAAGGTCTTATTTTATAAAAAACTTTGCCTGTGTTAAGTTTCATAATGTTATTCATCTATATTCCATGATTTTTTTAAAAAAAAAATCACTTTAATATTAGCAGGGAAGTTAGTCTTTGTGCTTATGATAAGTAACGAAATAATTATAGTTAAGAAATTTTTAATATTTATTTTTACTTATGTTATGTCCTTTGCATTATTAACATAGAAAGGTAATAATTTGATTTCTGTAATTTTTAAAAGAATTGAATTTCATACTTCATTTTAAGGTTGGATATAGTTTTAAAAATAGGCAATATAAGTAAAATGTGTGAATGATCTTTTCTAAATTTAAGCCTCACTGAGTCAAAAATTAATAAATTTTAAATATGTGTTAATTTTTTATTACCTTTTTCTTGTTTGTTAACTACTTTTTATATGTGAAATTAAGGAAGTCAATTTTATGTGGAGTTACATTTTATGTTGAAATGGGTTGAATTTTACATTAACATTTGAGTTCAAAATGTATTTTTATTTGTATAAAGCTCAAAAATTACTAGTATTTAGCATTGCATCTGGTTCATAATTGTAGGGAAATTTTTTTAAATGTACAAGCAAAACAAAAAAAAATGAGTTAATTTATATTTATAGGATTTGAAACAGCAAGATATTCTTAATAATTTACAACTTCAAGTTGCCAATCTTTCGCAAACTGTTGATATGTTAGTGCAAGAACGTTCTACAGTATTTCGACAGGTATTTATTTTTTGTTGTTATTCTTATGCAAGCATGTTATAAATTTGATGTTCAAAATTCAAATCCTGTTTTTTTTTTTTTAATAAAAAAAATTATGATTATAACATTAAAGTGTGCCATAATAGTGAAGAACACATCTTATGGTACTTTTTGACAGTTTGAGAAAAATCAGCTTCTGAATACAAGGAAAAATCAAGATATCCCTGAACAAAACCTTTACTTTAATCTAAGAATTGAATTTTTTTTTAAATAAGACAAAATAAAAGTTAATAAGCCAATTTCTATATCCATTTAGAGAAAACTGCTCATAAACAGTATCATTTTAATATAAGTTTTGCAGTTGATGTAAGTTAATCTGCAATTGCTTGCTGACTAAAAAATCTGTTATCTTTTGAAAATTAGACAAAGTTTTATAACTATGTGAACAAAAATGTAATTCGAATGAATGTTATGACAAAAATTTAAATTATGACTTATTAAAAAATTTATTTTATTTATTAAATTCATTAACTTACACAGTAAATTTCTTTTAAAATAGTTAATATTTTAATGTAAAATGAAATTTTAAATGCAATACCTTAATTGCACATTAAAAAACATGGGTATATAGTATGAAAATTACATTTAGTTGAAATAATACCTTCCTGAATTCAGGGAAAATTTTAATAGAGCATAAATTGTAATAGGAGTCAAACATTTCAATTCCTCTGCTGTGCTGAAAAATGAAAGTAGATAACACATTCACAAAGATGTATACTGTTTTATATTATTATTGAGAAATTCTAATAAAGATTTGATTTGGGTATTTTTTTTATATGGGGGATAGACGGGTTTAAATAATGTTTTATCTTTTTTTTTTTCTTTGACAGATGATTGAAACTCACGTTGGATTGATGGTAATAGAAGCCATTATTATGATAACAATCATGTCCCTCTGCGTTCGTCGCATCTCTTCATCTGCTGGTCAGATACCTTTACCTGCAAAAGAAACAGTTGTGGCTACTCGCGTCTCCAAGAGGAGAAGCTCGGTAGATTCATGCTCGCCTCCTGTTGCAAGAAAAGTGAAGAAGCGATCTGCAAGTGAGGAGGCATTAAATGCAGGTATTTACAAGCAGTACGACTTTCTCTTTGAGACTATCTTCAGCCAGTTATTTGAGTTCCAGAAGAAGTAGAAACATAATTAAAATTTTTCAATTCCTAATTCAGAGAAATGTGGCATAAGAGAGAAATTTCATTTAAATCCGAAAATTGTCTTTTGATGAAACAGCTTTTTTTTTTTTTTTTCAAATTTTTTTTTTTGTAAGTTAAGCATTAGGTATTACTACATTTATATTCTCTATAATAAATATGTTGAAATTAATTCTTATTCACTATGCCCCAATATCTTCACTATTAAGATTAATAAAGATTTTTAAAACTTTGAAGAATTTAAAGTTTATATATTTTTTTAATTAATTTAAAGCAATCTGCTAAAATAAAAAAAAAATTTGAAGAATTTTTTTCTTTTAAAAGCATTATAGAGAATAAAAAAATACAACATAAATAAACGAAAGAAAGAAACAATATTGTTGCCAAAACTTCATCTACTATATTTTAGCTCTAAAATAAAAAAAATGTGTATTGAATATTTCTATCTATTCATTACTTTATAGTTAATTTGTGTTCATTTATATTTATTTGTACGATAGTTTTAAAAGTATAAATTTGGATTTTAGAGTGAATAAAATGGAATAATTTGTATTAATATAATGTTTTACTGTAAAGAACAATTTTCTAAAAGTTTATATGATAAATAAAACAATTGTAATTCCAAAGAGTGTATTCACAATTGTAATTCCAAAGTTAACTTTACAAAATGTCCTCTTTTACCAATTTTTCTGTACAACTAAATGCAGAACAATAAACCACCATATTTTACGATTTTTGACTTTAAAATTCCTGAATCGATTATCTTCTATTGAAATAAAGGGTAGAATATTTCTCTCTTGATTTGCTCTTGAGTCACTTTACTTTATTCTGAAGACAAAAATTATTATGGTGTACACACTCTATTTACGTTTCACCGCTATGGTACAAGTAGGTATTGTAGTGCGTATTTTACTTCAGATGTTGAATGTTCTTCTGAATGCAAAATTATTTACAGCTAACATTTCTATTTACAAGCAAAATAGAGTTTTTAAATTTAAAAGACATAGATTGAGATGTCGGAGGGTCTGTGTTTAAATCTGATTAATAGAAAAAGCTTTTAATTAAAATTCTAATGAGTTATTGGAGTACATGTATACATGCAAGTGCTGATCAATGTTTTATTTGAAAAATTGTTTTTGTAAATGAACCATTTTTCCCTTTCCAGAATACTGCTAATGATATAGATTTTTGTAGTAAAGCGATTTCAACTGTTCTTGTAAAGCAAATTACATAAAGTNTTTTTTTGTATTATCTGTAAGGTGGGACCAAAACATGTCCCACACTAAAAGGCTTTCTGGTTTTCTATAGATACTAGACGAGATATTGCACATGTACAATCCAAATTTTCGTGCGCGTTATACGAAGAGTATATCTTAAAATTTAAAAAAAGTTATTGGAAATTACGGGTGCGCGTTATACGCCGGAATATACGGTAATAGAAAAAGCTTTTAATTAAAATTCTAATGAGTTATTGGAGTGCAAGTTATTATACATGCAAGTGCTCATCAATGTTTTATTTTATAAATTGTTTTTGTAAATGAACCATTTTTCTCTTTCCAGAATAGTGCTAATGATATAGATTTTTGTAGTAAAGTGATTTCAATTGTTCTTGTAAAGCAAATTACATAAAGTAAAAAGTTTCAAAATAGTTCTGAATAATGCTGTAGTTACCAGAAAACTCGAATATTAAGTGTTTGTAAAATTTTTGTGATGTGCCTTGAGATGTTGGATATAATGCATTTTATATATACATAGTGTGTAAAAAAATTAGTTTAATTAGTACTAGGGTCCATCAATTTGAGCTTACATCAGAGATAAATAAAATTATTAAAGCTAAAATGAGTTTGCAATCAAAACATTTTGTGAACACTCCATATATTATTCGTAGTGTCCTAAAAATGTCCAATAATTTTCTAAAAAAGAAAGAAAAATAAAAGGTATACAAGGGTCCAATATACTATGTTTTGCTTAGGAAACTGTATTATGTAATTTTTCACCAAATTCCAAAATAAATAGCAAGATTCATTGTAGATGGTGTTTCTGACAAGAAAAAATGTGTTTCGGCTGCCCGTCTGACCATTTTAAATTAAATATTTAAATAATATAATTTTGACCTCAATGTTGCTGCAATATGGGGTTATTTCAAAAACATTGCTCTGTACTGCCAATCTGAATTTTTTAAATTAGATGTGAATAAATTTTCTAGTTTCTGAAGCAGAACACAGCAAACTATACTTAACTATCTCCTGATTTTCAATTAATTTTTCAAACTGATGGCTCTCTTTCAGACACCTGATTAACAAAGGAGTGTAATTAAGGCTTTTTTTAACACTAAATTTATAATTTAGTAGTTTGTTCTTATAAAATCAGTTATGAATAAACCATTCATTCAAATCAGTCATATTGGCTTTAATTATTTCATGCTGTCATTTTGAAAGTTGATCAAAAATATGGAGCCCTATTTATTCGGGTAAGGAATTTTAGTTTCCTTCAGTTTTTTATTTATAAGTTTGTTCTATAATTTCTAGAAATAAAGGTGTGCAAAATATGTCATTGAGTTCCAAAATAATTATTAATCATCAAATTATATAATTCCCAATGAATTAATCATGTTTTTTTTATTATAGGGGAATTATTGATTGTTGAACCTTTGCCAGTATTAATTGATCCTATACTAAAAGTAAGATTCTTTTCTATATTTAATGTGTGTATATTTAATTGATTCAATGTGGCACCGTCTTACAGAGAATTAACTAAAAGTGCTCCTTTTAAAAAAAAGAAGAAAAAAAGTTTTTGAGCACTGTGCGTATTCTTCTCGAACCAGGTCTGTTTGAAATACGTTTGGTCTGGTTTATTGGTAAAGAAATGTCTGTTAGTGATGGTTTTACTGTAGATTATATGTGACCAGGACAGGTCTGTTCAAGATTGGTTAATAGCTTATTGTTCTTAATTAGGTAATAAGTAATAAAAATTAGCTAAAAAATTCAGATTCTTTTTCATTATTTGAAATTTTTTTTTGTAGGAAAAAATATTAAATTGTTTTAAAATTTTAGGAATGTTTCTGTCGTTATATATATATATATAAACTTTACTGAATTTTCAGGCTGCTAACTCTTACAGATTTTTTGTTAATGTTTTATCAATGAATTTTCTTTTCCATTGGATTTCTTGTTTTCTGGTAAAGGAAATATTAAAAATAAAGGGTGGTTTAATACCTTATTTCCCCCGTTTTGAGGAATATAGTTCGAAAAATAAATTAATTTCCTGTTCGAAAAATAAATTAATTTTTATTTTTAAATTAAATTCTATTCTAATGGAAATTAATTTAAATAAATTAATTTCCATTTTATTTTAGAAGTTGTAAAACTGTTCTAATTTTTAATACTGTTTGTTTCTGGCTTTTTTTTGGGGGGTGGGATCAGACGTAGTTATAAACAACCTTTGATTTTGTTGCCTTGACTCCAAAAACATAATTTAAGTTTGGCACAATTAGCTAATTTTTGCATCCTGAAAACTTAAAATAAATTAATTCTAACTAATATTTTCTCAGAAAAGCAACTTCTGTTGCAAAAATGCTGAGCTTTATTATTTTAAGCAAAACTATATAAGTTTTTTCTATTTCATTACATTTAATAACAATTCTCATAAAAAAAATTTTTTTTCAGGCTAAAAAGAAAAATAGGAAACGTAGTAAAGCTATCCTAAGAAGCAACTCAAATCCAACGAGTAACAATTCAAGTTCTACTAGTCATTCTACCCTGAGGCCCACTTCCCGATCTGATACTTATATACAAGCCAGTGATAAACCAAATCTTTTATCACATGAATCTAGTAGCAAATGTGAGAACTGTAATGACAATACTTGTACTGCAGCAAAAGCTCCAGATAAAGAAAGGAGACTGAATGGTGCTCCCTTTCAAAATCTCACCAATGGTTCTGTAATCAGACCCAGAGAGTCACAAACTGAGAGTAAATCTTTTAAAGCAAAAGAAAGATTCAGCTTTAAAAAATTTCTGAAATTTCAAAAAAGGGATTCTATCTAGTCTGTGAGTTTAGTTGCAATGTTGTATTTAATGGTGATGATGGTTGGTTTTTTTTTTCATTTCATTTATGCTATTTCCATTAGCAATTTTGTTAAATGATAATTTTGCGTTAAAAGAAATTTTTTTTTTAATGTATACATAGAATGGAAAATATTGTCTTTTTTTTTTTTAATGAAACTAATATTTTGATATATATTTATTTTTGGGACCAAGATGATAAGTTACTATGGTTTGAAACGAATTGAATCAAATAATATAAATATTTTAAAACTTTTTTTTTAATTTAATAACTGAACATGTGAAGTTTTATTTATTACTAGTCTTTAAATGTCTTTTTAAAGTGTTTGCATTTATTGATCTTTTAAAGTGAGTTTGTAAATATGGGACTTATTCTGAAATGATGCTGGAAATAAAAGAATTTAATAACTGAAGTGTTGGATTTCTTTTAAGTCAAAAATCTATTGAACACTTTAAACTGTTAATGCAATGATATAAAATATTTTCAGTATTTGATATAAATTTCTAAAATATATTCTCTTACGGATTGTCTATGTGAGATTTCTACAAAATAGAATAGAAATTGATACACAATAAGTTGTGAAACAAAACATAGTGTGATACCTGTGCAAGGACAGAAGGGTAAGTTCTTTTTAACAATACAAATTTATAAGAGTTACAATTCTCACGCCATAGCGAATGAATCATTTTATGATTTGTTCAGAAAGGGTGCACATAGAATAATGTAAGGTAATAAAAGCCCTATGCCATTTGTGGAGCTTTAGACACTTCATGCTATTTTATGTGCACATTTTAAGTATTGATATATCCAAGGGCAGCAGTTGATCAAGCTGTGTTAAGTTAGGAATAGTTTTAATTTATAAGCATCGTACTTTTCTTACCTAAAATGAAAAACATGTTCGACCAAAGGTAGTTCGACCAGTTTCAATAAATATTAAAAAAAAATTTTTTTTTCCTGTTATTTTTAAGGGTTCTGAAGACCACTATTATAATTTTATGTTTTTATGGTGGATTAAAGATTTAAGTTCTGTAAATAAAATAAAACAAGTGTCATAAAAAAAAATCCTACTAATCCTCTAAATGGTTTGTCCATTGTTTTGATTCAATGGTGCATATGTACACCATTTATTTATTTTTCCTGCAAAAAAAATTTTTTTTGTGTCTTAATAAGTATAATATCACATTTTATAACATTTCTATGCTTCCCCTAAAATGGGTTAAAAATGCCCTATTTTCATGTGTCTGTGGAGTTTTAGCACTGTGACTGTGGAGTTTTAGCATGGTCAATCCTTTGTTTGGTTGCTAAAAATGATGTTTAACCAAGAATGATATATGTTTGGGACCCATTGCACCATATCAAAATGATTGTCTCATTGAATTCTGTGCAAATCAAAACCAAGGTTGCATGCCCATTGGATTATGTGTTTATACAATAAGTGTTCACATTAAAAATTTCTAATTTAAGTGAAGCCCCAATTTGTAAACAATGGAGAAATATACTTAATACTAGCTAGTTAACAAATATGTGAAATATTTGTTAACGAGCTAGGGTTTGAGCATATACTAGGTCAGGGATGGCGAACCAATGGCACGCGTGCCATTGATGGCACGCGACACAATATTTTGGGCACTCCACCAATCACAAAGTTTACTATGAAGCATATTAACAATTGAATTTAAATTCCCAAAAAACAAAAAATGAACAATTATTTATAAAAAATTTAACAACTAATGCAAAGAAAGCAATTAATAACCATAAAAAGCAAGCTAACAAATAACTAGCAAAAATATTAACATATAATAACTAATACAAAACAAAAGAACAATTAAGCTATGCAAGTGAAAGCGAAAGAAAAACTGCACAGGATATAATATGACGCCTAAGCGAAGGCAAGGAGACTCGAAACAGTTGGTCTTGCCAAAGCAAAAGCATAGCCAACGCGCTAATTTTTTCATTCTTTCGTCCCTTGGTTGCCAAACTAAAGCATCTTCTTTGTACATTCGCTTTCCTGAGAAGGTATTTATAAATTAAGTACATTTAAACATGATAAAATTTGTAATACAAGTTCAAAGATAAACTTTTCTTATTATGCATCATTTATTTGTATTTATATAGGCACTTTTAAACTGTAATTAATTCCAAAATAACGAAGAACTACTTTTCAAAAGCGTAGTATTATATTTCCTATATTTCCCTGTAGTGAAATCTTGAGGTGAAACGAAGTATAGTGACGCATTATTTGGTTACGCAAAGCATAATAGTCAATTTCGTTGACACAACTGTATTTTGTATTTTAAAGTTAATTTGTGTTAGATTTGCGATTTTTAACTGTTATTTAACATGGCTAGTTCAGCAAGGGAAACAAAAGTGCAAATTAGTAAGCATATCAGACAATTTCAAACTTGGTGGACAGAAAAATATGGCATGATTAGTAAAGGCGACAAAGCAGTGTGTGTTTTATGTTCTGGAACAGTGGTATGTAGAACATCGTCTGTAAAACGGCTTTTTGAAACAAATCACAAATTCGTTAGTCAAAAAAGCGAACCAGAGCAAAAGGAAATAATTGCAAGTGCAATGAAAGACAGAAATAAACAGTCCACTTCTATGATTAAATATGTTGGCAAAAATTGTCATACGAGTGCGGCAAGTTACTCGGCTGCAAATATCATTGCTCGGCATAGTAAACCTTTACAAGAGGGAGAGTTTTTGAAGGAAGCCTGGCTAGCATGCGCGCTCTCACTTTTTGATGATTTTGATAACAAAGATAAGATAATTCAGCGCATCAAAGATACCCCTCTATCTAGAAATATAATAAACGAAAGAATATTAAAATTGGCTGGAAATGTAACAGATCAACAAAAAATTGACATTAACTCCGCTCTTTTTATATCGCTATGTCTTGACGAAAGCACTGACATCACTAAATCTGCACATTTAGCTGTTATTGCACGATATTGTGTAGGAAACGTCATTAAGGAAGAATTAATTGCGATAACATCGTTGCTAACAACTACAAAGGGCACAGATATTTGTACGGCTGTTAAAAATTTACTTATTGAGAAAGAGATGGATTTGAAAATAATTGTTTCGGCAACAACTGATGGTGCTCCAAGTATAGTGGGCAAAAAAAATTGTGGGCTGTGCTCTGTCCATCCTAGGATTTTCCAACCTGAAGGTGGGGTAGAGGGTCATAACAATAGATATGATCCATCAATGTGTCAAAGGGGAAAATGTATTGTTATGAATAGATCTTTGAAGTAGGGACTCTTAAATTTTAACAAATGTCCATCGCCAAACATTTGGCGATGGGCATTTGTAAAATCTCTTCAGCAACCCCAAAAGATTGTACCACCTCGTGTTGTCAATATAGAATTTTTAGCAATCAAGATGGAGATAGTTTTTCATAGTTCAAAATTTGAAAAAAGAATCCTTGAACATGAAAAGTACCTCTATTATTTTCATGCGGAATTGAAGAGCAAGACAGCNATTCGCGCTTTTGATGCTAAACTGCATGTTTTCAGGAACGATATTATTACGAGAAACTACAAGTATTTTCCAAACTTGAAAAAAAGTATCAACGATTTAGATATACATGAGAAACCAGGTGAAGAATTTATTTCTGTTATTGATTCTTCAATCAAGGAATTTTCAGCTCGATTTTCCCAGTTCAAAGAATTATCAGAAACACTCAAGTTTATTATGTTCCCCTATGTGACTCCATTTGATAAATTGAACTTGTCCCAATTCGATTGGTTGGAAATTAAGAATTTGAAATGCAGCTGATTGATTTCCAGTCCAGTTCAATATGGATTCAAAAATTTATTGAAACAAGAAAAGAGTTGGAATAGAAAGATTGACAAGCAATATAAGTAAAAATGCCAATAACAAAATTTTGGAGGCATGGAATTCGTTACCAGACACATTTAACTGTTTGAAGAAGCTGGATCGTGCTATTTTAACTATATTTTTGTCTACCTATGCCTGTGAGTCATTATTTTCAGAGATGAATAACGTTAAACACTCGCTTAGAAACCGTTTGACAGACGACTCCACATCAGCATGCATTCTGCTTAAACTAACATCTTACAACCCTAATATAAGTTATATGTCATCTAATCTGCGACAACAGAAGTCACACTGATGTTACTTTAAAGTTTAATTATGCATAAAACTGAGACATTGCAAAAGTTTTTTTCATAATAAATAATAAGTTTTGAATTAATAAATATTAAGAATTTTGGAATAAATAATACGTAAATAAAGAGCTTTGAATTGATAGTATTTAGTATTATTAACTTCCCAATAATCACGCGAGTCAAAATTGTTTGATTGCACGTCTATGACCTCATTAAACATTTTTCTAGAAAAAATGGCACGTTGATACATAAAGGTTCGCCACCCCTGTACTAGGTGATTAATTTCTTTGGTGAAATTTGATGCCAGTATGCTTAATTGCTCTTTAGAAACTTTTCTTTAAAAGAATTCACAGACTTGTTTATATTGGGAAAAAAATATTTATAACATAATTTTGATGCATGGATCTAGATTGTTAACAAAACAGCAGCTAGAAATTGTGAGCATATTTTTAGCATATCAATCAATCAATTAAGGTCGAAACACAAGAACAAAAGAAAAGTTTCTCAAGAGGTCAATATTATTTTACAGTTATGATCTTTTATTCATACTTAAATCCAAGTGAATAAAATTGAAAATTTATTTTATTTACATGTTTTACAACACAAATCTATTCACTTATTACATGCATTCAGTTTATCTACATTGTTAAAAAAATATACTCATAAATGCATTGTGTGTATTTACATATGTAGGAACCTTAGTTGAAGGGGCTTATACCGTGATAGTAATTTTCTAGCTACCTAAAATAAATAAAATGCATTTAGTACATTGAACTTACAAGTATTACTACAATCATTAAAGTGTGTGAATAAGCACAGAGAAACCATAAAAAAGTTGCTTTTTCAACTTGGATAATAAACCACCTTACCAGCAAAGTAGAGAAGCCTTCATTTTGATTTCTTTAGAAAATATTGTCTGATTGTAAGAGCCATAAGTTGTAAATACATTTTAATGTATTCAACCATTCTGCTTCTAAGTTTAACTCTTTGGGGGGGGGGATATATTCTGTATAATCATAAATCTGTTTTGATGCAACTTTTATTTTCTTTTTATATAAAATAAACATTTAAAACATCTAGTCGAAAATATTGTTGTGATTCAGATAATATCTTAGTGAGATCTGGCAGAAAATCAAATCCAAGGTATGCAGTCAATTTTTTAAAAGTACTTTTTTAAGGTTCCTAAAAATATTTTTAAGAATTTTCCTTTATAAAATCCCTTTCCCCCATAGTTCATTCTGTAGTTAACATATTCGTTTTGATATCAACATGTTTTTTAAAATATAGCCTAATATGATAAGCAACTAATAAACTAGCACTGTTTTTTTTAAAACCCCAAATAGACTAAATAGAGTTCTAGTGTTAATTGATGTTTATTTTTATGTTTGTTTAGTGTTAATTTATGTTTAAAACACTATCTATAAAAGTTTGAATTAAGAATAATATGACATGCAAATTTCAAATCAAGGAAAGCAAAATGTTTACCTGTTCATACTTTCCTCTAGTTTTCTCAAAGTAGTAACTGTATCATCAATCAATTGATCAAATATGGAATCAGCTATTTGGAATTTGACCGTCACTTCATCTTGATCGTAATTTATCCAGTCGGGTTCTTCATCTTTAATCTCACTAATTAAAATGGTATCCACAAAATCTCTCTTCTTGCGACCAAGTTTCAAAGTAGACCATGTAGGCCGCTTTCTTTGCCACACATTTGTTTGATCTTTTGGTAAAAGCTTAAAAGTTTTTTCTACTTCTTTCTGAAGTACAGGCAATATTTTATCTTTATCACATGGGAAAGGAGGCTTTGGAGTTAATCTTTTTGGCTTAAGCCAGGGTTGAGGCACTTCTTCTATTTCTCTAAAAAGATATTAAAATAATTGTGATGAAATTGCCCTAACTGCATAATACATAACATTGAGTTAACATTCAAAGTAATAAATAACTATGTTAATGATTATTGAAATCTGAAATTTGGCAAATGTCCACAATTTTTGTTAAAAGTCACTACTTCGCAAATGTCAAAATTTAGCATCCACTGATGGTAAATTTAGAGTTATATAATTATTTCACACTCGTGAACAAATTTTGTATATTGAATTTGAGGTTGCCAACATTCAGGAAAGTATGTGCTTTAAAACTGTGGGAAATAATAAATGGGATTTTTGCTTACAATGGAACATAAAAGAAAAATAAACATAGCTTATAACATGAATTATTTATAACAGTTTCATAGCACCATCATTAAAAAAAATTACTTCTTCACAAAACAAACGAATGTAATATTTATACATGTGATATTTAAGGGGAAATATTGATTTTAAGAATTATAAAGCATAAATGACTTTCTTATTTTTATTTCTAATACTTGAAAATGAATTTTTTGTGAGTGTTAATACATATCCAAGAGACCTTATGTAATAGTAGTTTTGTAAAAACCAAACTTCTTTACAAAATATTAGAAGTTTATGGATAAAACATAAGTAAAACATTTCAATTACATGCATTTAAAAATGTGTCTTAATTATTTTCCATCTACAACAATGTTTCAAAATTTTACCCCCAAATAATAATAAATATATAGTAATAAATATGAATAAATGTTACGTAAAAAGCGTTTTTAAATAAATACAGTGTCATAAAAAAAATTACTGACATGACCAATACAAATAAAAGTGTAAATTTTTTTTGTTGTCAACAAAATATACATTTTTAAATCTCAAAAATGTGAAATACATACTATTAATTAAGCATCTCAAGATTTTAAGCTATGGTTATTTTATAAATGCAGTCAAATGTGGATAATTTGAATTTATTTCATTCAAAATTCTGAATCATACAGATTCTTTGCTCAATGCCTAGAGTTTTCAATAAAAATTTTAAATTTAGAAACCGTTGATAATTTTAAATTTGAATTTCATATAATTGAATCACTCACCTTTTGAAATACACTAGCCACTAAATTTAAAGAAAGTTACAACCTTTTTTCCCCCTGTATAATTTGATAATGAATATAGAAAGAAATTCAAAAAAAATTATGATTTTCATTAGGAAAAAAAATGAATCATAAAAATGTTGGCAGAAAAAAATTGTGCATTACAGTTTTATGTAGAAAATCGCAGAAACGTTTAAATAAATGGGTTCTAGCCCTAAATGCAATATATCGGTACTGACTTCCCATGCTGCCAGTTAAGTTGTGGGGTCAGACACTGAAATGGAGTATTGCTTGTTTCGGCTCAGGTAGTGACTATATCGGGGAACTCAGAAAGAATAGCAAATTGTTTGCAACGATAGTCCAAAATACATTCATTGTATTCAACTGTGGTGATCTGGTTGAACAATGATGCTGCACTAAGCCCCATATCTTTGAAAGAGAGAGGAGTGAGTGTAGAAAAGTGTTACTAGAGCTTGATGTTCGCTTTATTAGAGATTCAGTTAATTTTGATTTAATTTTAACTCTTTCATTGCAAATGACGAGCTAACTCTTCCAGGAATATTGGCCGTGCGTTTGAGACGAGATAACTCGTCCTCTACACTAAGTTTTTCAATATTATAGTAACGTTTCCAGCGACTTATTTAGTATAAGATAATTATTTTCATTTTATAATTTTTACACCTGTAAACACAAAGTGAAAATTGTTATTGATTGCAATTGATTATTATTTTTTAAAATTAAATAAACAAGTTTAAAAAAATTTGAGTTTTCAATCAATTTTAACGCAGAATATGAGACAAAGGCATGCTTTTGTCGAGATGAAAATTGTTAATGAATGAAGGTATGTGATCATATAGTTAGATCATGCACTCTAATTCATCATCATGTTATGAATTTTGTGGATTGAGACCATATTTGCTAGATGGGTTGGCCATGCAGATCTCCAGACCTAAATCTGATATAAAATATATGAGATCATCTTAGCAGAAAAGTTGCAGTTTGGAGTGCTTCATGGTTTTCAAGGGTTACTCCGTGAACAATGGACACAATTTATGAATATTTCAGATTTTTTTCTGATCCTTTCGATTTTAATAAAATCAAATGTACTTTATTATTAAGGATTTCTAAATAAACTGTTATGATGCATAACTTTAACAGCCTAAATCTTTAGAGCTTATTTCTTAGGTGAAAACTATAGAAAGTTCTTTACTTACTGATATAAATCCAGCAAAATTTCTTTAGAAGCGTCAAAAATCAAGTCTAAAAATGTGATTTGACAAGGGATTGTAAGCCCTAACTTTTCTATCACAGCATTAAAATTAGGATCCTTTATGTCTGTTAGTAGGCTTCCTTGCTTTTTAGCAGCTATAAACAGATCAGTTACGTGTTCCATGATGAAGTCAATATTTTTGGTAACATGGGCTACAGGATCATTCTGAGCAGCTGCTTTTTCACGTTTAAGGGCCAATTGTAAAGCAGCTTGAGCATTGAAGACAGCAGTGGGAGGAGTGTAAGGCGGTGGTGGCTTGTTTGGAATTTTGCGGTAGTAAAATGGATACTGTTGTATCATTAACTGTTGCTCTAATTGAGAGTGGTCAGCTTGTGGCATCATAAAAGTATCATCAAACCAATCTATTTCTTTCTTGAAAATGCTTATTTCTGTTTCTTCAGGAAGAACATTTTGCTTTTGGAAAATAGAATTTTCATTTTTCAGCGCATTAGACTTTGAAGGAGTTATTGAGTTAGATTTTACATCGGGATAATTTTCACTATTTTTCAATTTAACATTCTCATACCCTGATGATGTTTTATATTTTGCAGTAATTTTTAATATTGTTGATATAGAATCCTGAAGACACATGTCTAACAAATGAGCTGATATTTCTTCCACATTTTTTTCTGATACTGGCCCTTGGTCAGTATCTCCTTTAACATAACTACTCCTTTCTAAGCTTGTTATTCTGAACTGTTGTTTTGTATCTTTTTTAAGAATACTATCCTTGTGAAATAGACTCAAAACAGCTTTGATACTATCATCAAAAATGTTGCAATACAGGTAGTTAACAATGTTCGTTACAAACATTTCTGATTGGGACGTTTCCTCCAAGTTTTGCTGATTAAAATCAAACGTTGCGATAGCGGAGTCGTTATTGACATCTTTTAACAGTATACTGTCCGATTGATTTTCTGACAACAATGCAACTTTAACATCACTTGTCTTAGATGGACTTTTGCTGCAACCTTCACTACCCTCGCATTCACTGCTCTTGACTTCAACGTTCTCTTTAACAGATTCAGTTACGGATACGGAAGAAATTTCTGACTGATATTCGATTTCTGATTCTTCGTCTTCCACGCGAGGAGTGGCATCGCTATTGCTACTCTTTTCAGAAAATTCTTGTGGCTCTTCTTCGGTTTTCTCAGAAAATTTCGCAGTGCTGACTTCGTCACCAGATGAAGATTGATCTTTTTGAGATTTAGATGAAGTTTTTTCTGTCCCTTTACTATCAGGCTCATTGTCTGACTTTGAGTAGCTAGAATCAGAAACAAATGAATCTGAGGGATAAGATGATTTTGATTCAGTTTCACTTGCTGAAGCATCTTTTTCTGGGATGGATTCATCTGTTATGACTGAAATTGCAGAGCTGTCATGTGATTCAATTTCATCTTGTTTTTCAGTAATTGAATGTGATTTCTGAAACAATTCATTGCTTGAACTAGAAGGGTCTTTACTATCAAGTGTTATCTTATTATTGTTATTTTCTGCATCTGTTAATATTTCTTCTGAATTGACTGAAGAATTATCTGCAGTTAGCTTTAGTTGTTCAGTTTTATCATTCAATATCGATTTCATACTGATATCATCATAGGTTTCAGTGGCTTTAGTTTTTTCATTTGAACTTAATTTATTGCTGGTATCTTTTTCTAAAATAAAAAAAAATCACTTTTACTAAAGCAATAGAGCAAATATAGCAATAAAACATAAATAATCAATGTACACAAGATATTCTTAGGTTGGCAAATATGTTTTAATTCATTTTTCTGTGTTTTTAAATTAAAAAGATTAATTTTTAAAGTTCTCTAAATACATATTTAAACTATTTTTCCAAAGACAGTGGTTTGATTTGTATGTCTATAAAATCGAACCACTACCAAGGGGGAGGGGAAGGAGAAAGGTTTGTGTCTATAAAATTAGATACAAAGAAAAAACGATTATGTGGTGGCGATCCAATCCCTATTTTTATGAAAAATAGACACAAACCGTTCTTCCCACATGATCTTCACACACATAATATCATTTTTTGAAATAATTAATATAAACATGCTAAGTTTATTTCACTCATGATATCAAGTTTTACTATAGATTAGATAATAAACAAACAAAATAAAAAGTATTTTTACAATTTATTTATCTTAATTTTAATAAATTTTTCATGCAGCAGGGAAGAGCAAACTGTGGTTTTTCATCATAAAGAGGGTAATTTATATAGGAAAAGTACAACCTACAACAGAAACTTTTAAAAAATCATTTTGAAAAGATAATTTTCTGAAAAATTCATTATAACTTCTACAACTACTTCGTTATAAAGGATAATATTTTGAATGCTATTAACCTTCTTGAGCACAAATTTTTCATTTGAGTTAAAAAATCTTTAGATATGCCATAAATTCATTTAGTATCTCAGGGTTTTTGTGTAAAAATTTATTATTAGAAATTTTTGTTATGTATAGTCAAAAATTGATGCCATCCTGTCCAAGTGAGGATATATACTTTTGTGGTATTCTTATCAATATATTTTTAATCATTTAAAAACTGCATATTCAAACTTCATTTATAAGGTATATGAAGATATTAAATAATATCAACCATTCTAATAATGTAATATACCCTGCAAAATTAATCAATAAAATATTAAATTTTCACTTCTTTCTTGACTCGTCTATCAATTCACAAAGAGATCATATACAACAACAATACGATAACAACATCTTGAATGACCTGCCACCTGTTGTGATTTTGAAGAACTGTTTGGAGTCTCCAAAGGATGATTATATACAAATTACAGCTTAAATGAGAATCTGAATAACATTATGATCATAGGTTAGTATCCCCTTGCCATCGGGCTAACTGTGGGAATTATTCCTCTCCATGTAACGTATATGTGGGTTAGTTCCAATGAAAAGTCCTCCACGAAGAATAGTTTGTCCCAATGCTTGATATAGGAGCTTCCTTGTCTTTTGGGTTGGGTTCAAAATTACAAGGCTGCAGAGTTGAATAATGGAGGTTATAAACACAGAATTTAGTCAGCTGTTCAACGCCGGTTATAAAATATTAAGAAAAGCATTATGAAGCAAAAATATATATGCTCTCATATGAGGCCTATATGCACGAGAGGTATACATTCCTATTAAAAAGTTAGTGGAGGAAGAAATTTAATGTAGAGGTACTTTATTGTTGGGAGACTCTACTGTATATTAAATTTAATGTCAACATATAATCATCATCTGATGCTTGTACTTGTTATTTGCATTTTTTTTCATTTGTGCATATTTAGACAGACAGACAAATAAATAAAAACAAAGGATTACCATTTTTATATGAAAAGCTAATACTAGAATCTTTTGATTCTGGACTGCTCAAGGTGTCAGCAATTTTCTTTGACTGAAAGCAATAAATAAAGACTTCAATAATTCATAATAATTTTGTAAGAAAAGGTGGCATTTCAAGAAAACAATAAAGACATTACAATAAGCAGAGCATACCTTAAAGTGAGACAAGTAAAATTGTGATTTCTTATTTTAAATAAAGTAACTTTTTGCCAAATAGTGTCAAAATAAAAATGATCAAATTTGCAGGCGATGAAAGCAATTTAGAATTTTTTTGTAAACAAAATTAGTAGCACTTAGTGCAATAATATTCTTAATAACTGAAAACACTAATTTTGTTTATCCCCTAATAGTTCTGCATGCAGATATTAACTTTTAAACTTGACTTTCTTCCCCACATATTAAAATCAGTTCTTTTCCATAATTTTTTCTTCTTCTTTTTTTCAAACTAAAACAAATATTTTTCAGACTTCTTCATTTGCAAAACCACCAGAGTGTCACAACTAAGCACTAAAAAGTTTAAAATTGATAAATCACGTGTATTTATCATTAATTAAAAGTTATATTTAATAAAATTTAAATTTATTCTACAAGTGGTGTTAGTTCTTTTTATTCTACTCCTTTTAAACTTTGCCTTTAAATTCTCCAAATGGATCTATTTTGGACTATTCACATGAAAGAAAGAAAGGATCATTTCCATTCGTATCTTGAATATATACTAAATTTATCACACAATCGGAATCCGAACCAGCTATTTCCTGTACAAAGTAACATTTTTAATATTCAGTCATGCAATAAAATTTAAACTTATGCTTTTGATAAACTCATTTGTTAAGAATATCAAATATTATTTTTAAACAAGGCAGTGCCTATCATTTTTAGTATATAATATTCATTTAGTATATAATATAATGTAGTATATAATATAAAAAGATACAGCTAACAAAACAAAATTTAAATACAGACAAAGATTGAATTTGTATAATAACCTCAAAAGCTCTTGTATCTGAAGGCACAGATGCTCGTTTTCTCAACCTGTGAGAATCTATGGCAGTATCTGAGCGAGGCCATTTAATTTGAGGTTTGACACTTGAAACATCATTGCTGTGAGACGAAACAGACTCTACTTGACTTTCCAGCTCCTTTTTTGTTTTTTCTATATACTGGTTGTATGCCTAAAAAACAAAGGAATATTATTGAAAACTAAAATACAACTACATTGAAAATGCATTGATCTATACTAAATTACAAATTATTTCGAGAACATTTTATGTCACTGTATAAAAACATAGTACAAAAACTAAAAAGTTGAAAATTTAAAAATTTTATATTTATATATTTTCAACAATATATAAAACTATAAAAATAAATAAAACAAACCATTCGTATGAAAACATATATTATAAGCCTTATAATTTTAATTGATTAATTTCATAATAAACTAACAATTAGAAATAATTTTTTAAAAAATAAACACAGAGAACTTGAATAGGAAAATATTTGCAATAAGAATTAGCTTATCTTATAAAAAGTACAAATAAAAAAAGTTAATTATAAAACTTGACTTAATCAATTTCCATGTATAACTATTCTTTAAACCAATAACAAACCTTTAGTTGATGAGAGACATTCAGCATTATATCATATTTTATACATGCTGAATATTATAATTGACCGAGATACAACGAGAGCAATGGGCTACCACAGCCTGAGCACCAATACAATGGGTTTCTGTATAAGAAATGTCAGAATTTTCAAAAGGATTGAAATCATTATACCCACATCACACCTATGAAGGAGGAAAAAATCACTGCCCACATTTCAACAATTTCATAATTGAAACTAATTGCTATGCAAAAATTCCTGAATAAAATCCAGAAGACTAAATTTAAAAAGACAAAAACTTCTTTTAAATAATAATATTGTCACTCTTATATTTGCTTAAATTTTCAGAAGAATGCGAATTTTTCTTAACACATTTAATTGTATTTTTACGAAACTATAACAAGGTAAATGCTGTTCAATGATTCGCTAGCTGCTACACTTTTAACTCGGTTTAAACATAGAAAATCCAGTTTTAAAAGGAAAAATGTTATAAGTAGCAATTGGTTTTGAATATTATATCCATAAAATTTTCTGATCTAGAAGAAACATTGAACAATACAAAATAGATAACACCTAACTGAAATATAAACAAGAAAATTCATGAATACAATAAATGCCAAATCATCTGAAACTAATATTAAAAAAAAAATTGAAAGTTTCAATTATGTAATACTTCAAGTTGTTTTTGAAGAGAAAGCTCTTTTTCTTTCAATTGCTCTCTGTACTTCTTCTTATGTTCCCGCTTCAACTTCTCAGCTTCAGCTCTACGCCTCCTCAATTGCTCAGTTAAAGCATGAATACGACCTTCAATGTCACTTTGATCAGAAGCAGTTTCTATAAAACAAAAGCAATAAAATACATTTTAAAACATTAGATTAGCTAACATAAATTTTTCAATAATAATCTTTGCTTAGTTTCCTGTCCCCTTTCTCTCTTGTATAAAAAAAGGGAATTGAAAACTAAGTCCACTTCCAAAATTAAATATTGCTCAATTGAATTGATAGTGCAGCTAACTTTTTGAGGGAAAATTCTTAATCTTTAAAACAGCCGACAAAGCAAACTCTTTACATGTAAGAAGCAGGAGGTATAAAAATTACCTGAATGTGATATAGTGTATGAATCATCTGATCCACTAGAATCGTGTCTTTTCATACTACGAGGAATGAGAGGAGACCTAATGCTAAAGCCTTTATCTTTCTTATTATTTAATGTCTGTGAAGTGTGCTTAGTTTCAGAGGAAGTAGGAAGAGGTGAGGATGCTTTTGGACTTGCTAGAGATCCAAATGATTCAGAATATATTTCTGAGTTAGATGAGGCTTTGGAGACTGGTGACCTAAACAAGAAATGAATAAGCAACAGTCATGAGCTGGGTTAACAACTACAAAGAGCTTTTTTTTTTTTTGCTATTCAAACAAACATTAATTTGATTTTTGATTAAATCATCATAAGGATTAAAGGCTAAAATAGAATGAAAAATTTGAAAAATCCTTTAATACTTTTTTTTAAACTTAATATTACTCTATTTAATCTTTACCCAATAGTTGCCTAAATACGAACAAAAATATGACTAAAATTTTATTAAATGATGTAATTGTCATATACCATGATCAATTTAGTCATGTTGGTGGCAAATATGATCCTTTTTATAGAAACATTAGTGTTCTAGCACTAAATTTTTACATCAAAAAATAGTATATTTGCAGAAAATTAAATACTTTTAATTACTAGAAATCATTAAAAAAAACGTTTTTGTTATAAAAAAAAAACATACTTTTTCTATAAAATTTTCAGTTTAACTAATAATTGATTTAGAAAATATATATATACACATACATATATTGAGAAAAGTGATGATTCAAATTCGAAATTCTCACATCGTAATATCGTATAAAAAATTGAGTTTTCTAAAATCATGCAGAATTTCATAGTAATAACCGCTGAAAAGGGGATTGAGAAACAAAATATATTTACAATGGAATCTGTTCAAATTGAGCGCATTAAAAAGAGATGACTCAAATTTGCAATTAAATTTTTTATATTTTGTGTTCAGAAGAAGCTGCTGCAGGTTGCCAACCCAATTTCTGCTTAAAAAAAACATAGCTAGGAAAACAGAAAAGTCTCCTAATAGTCTCCTTTTCCTGAAAAAAGTTGCTTTTCTAGCCTTGAGAAGCAAACAAATTTGTCAAATTTGTCTCAGGTCAATAATAGTTGCAAATAGTCGCAACCCTGATTTTGTAAAACCTATTTTTATAGTTTAAATTTTAAAAAAAAAGTTTTTTTTTCACATACTACTCTACAAAAAATTAACATTTTACTATTATTTTAAATCTTACATTCTAACTTCATTTCTAAACTTTCAAAAGGAAATGCTAGCTCAAATTTTAATATTATATTGAAATTTTTTTCTTTTCTTTTTTGTTCTCCCTTTAAAACTCTAGTAACCTAAACATTACAAAATCATGTATAGCCATTCTAATAACCACTAAAGCTAAATAAAATTCGTCTTTATATGATTAAACATGTGTTAGTTTATATTATGTTCAAACAAAATCCTGTTTAAACTTCTTATTTTTGAAGAAAGTAAATGCTTAACAAAAAAATTAAGATAATTGGTAAATTTTAAAAGCTGCACTGGAAATTTTTTTGTTTAAACAAAATTATCAATTATTATGATAACAAAATTATTAATTGTTTTCAGAAATGAAGGTGTGACAACTCTTTCAAAAATTGAAAGTAAATAGTTATGCTTTAATTTTAAGGTAATTTATGGAGCATATGTACCTAAGTATTTTTAGTCACCTACAACTACCAATTTAGATTTCCAATGTGTTTTTAGTATATGCTTATCCCATTTGCACTTGCGCACGATTAAAAGTATTCAAAATATAGCAGCTTGAAATTGTGGAGACTCAAGGTCTGTTCAAGTGCAGCAAACAGGCAGGCATGATATAAACATGTTCCTTTATAAAATCATAATAAAGAACTATATGTACTCACTTAAAATTGGGTGACGTATTACTTGATGAAATTTCTTCAATGGGGGAACTCTCAACTGTTTCAATGACACTTTTTACCAAAGATGCTTCACTTTCGATTTGCTCCTCTTCTTGAATTGAACTATAAAAATGTTTAATTAAATAATTGGTGTTAATAAAACTGTTAATTGCTTTTTATTTTTAGAAAGATTGAAAGATATTTAGAAGATTACCACCTTTACTAAGGATTTTTCTTTATTCAATCTTATATTTTTTTTGACAAATAAAGATTTCACTTACAGAATACTACTTTCTTTACTATTATTTCTTTTATGCAAACTCATTTTAGAAAGCAAAATTTCAAGAACATTATTTGATAATGTTCCGTAAAGTCAGAAATGGAAAATAAACATCTGATGCAATAAAATAATCAGAAAATTGAATTTTTCAGCAGTTTTAAAAAGAATAATATCCATAAATGTATTCCTGAATATTTTTGAATTATTCTAAATATGTATCACTGAATAACATGTTATAAATTATTTTAAGATGTGTCCCTAAATAACATACTTTAAATTATTTTTAACATGTATCCCGGATTAATATGTTTTGAATTATTTTTAATATTAATCCTTGAATAACATGTTTTAAATTATTTTAAGTACAACTTAATAACAAACTTAGTAACTTAATAACAAATTTTGAATTATTTTTATCACGAATTCCTGATTAATATGTTTTGAATTAATTCTAACATGTATCCTTGAAAAACACGTTTTACATTATATCCCTAAAGAACACATTTTAAATTATTTTTAACATGTATACCCAAATAACAAAGTTTTAAATATTTTTAGCGTGTAAAGAAGATATTTTAGACATTTTTAGAATAGCAAGTTTTAAATTATTTTTTTAAATATATCTCTGAATAACATGTTTTAAATTATTTTTAACATGTATCCTTGAATAATATGCTTTGAATTATTTTCAACATGTATCCCTGAATAATATGTTTCGAATTATTTTTAATATGTATCCCTGAATAATATGTTTTGAATTATTTTTAACATATATCCCTGATAATACTTTAAATTATTTTCAAGGAAGACTTGTAATCTAGTACTTAATGACTTTTAAGAGTACCTGTGAGAAGCAGCACTGGAATTAATACTGTCCTTTGCAGTTACTTTTTCCTCAACGCTGCTTTCGGAAGCACCAGAAGAATTTGCTGCAGTTAGATTTTCCTCAGGTACAGAGTCACTTTGGTCATTTGTTATGACTTCAGAAATCGCTTTTTCTGATGAGACACTCCCACTTAAACTGCTTTGAATGCCATATATCTTTTCAACCTCTTTATCCATGGATGATTTGTCTTTAACTGAAATTTAAAATTACAATAATAGGTTGGTTTTATAAGAAAAAAACAACACATTTTTAAAAAATATTATTAACAAAAGGCAATTAAAAAAAAAGATTTCTACCAGAAAGAACAATAATGCTCGAAATGCAGCTTTACAAAATGCAATCCATTTTAACAGTTTATTGTTTATGTTTAGTATAATCTGAAAGTTAAAATAAAATTATATCTTTTGGTATGTTGAGGGTTAAAATGCATAAAATTATCTGAAATTAATAAGTCAATGCATTTTAAGTAAGCAGTATTTTTAAATGAGTAAAATGTGATTTAAAAATCTTAGTGGGACAGCAAAATTTGAACCCAAAGTTTAGTCAAGAAAAGCCATTAGAGCAATGCTTATGCACTTCTAAAATGAAGCAATCTGCTTTCTCCTTGCTTTTACAAAATTTGAAATAGTTGGTTAAAAAGTATGTTTTTTAAGAGATAAAAACAGTTACATTTTTAGTGGATAATATTATTGTCAAAAATAAGTGGAATGGGTTTCATCCTATCACCCTTAAAAGGCTTAAAATTTAAAAAAGAAATTCTGTTTTACAGATTTAGAATAAACTAGGTAAGAAATGACAGATCCATTATCTTACCAAAATCAGTGTTGAAGTGTTGTTATAATTTTTACTATAGTTACAAGTAACATTGCAAGTTACAAGTAGCAACAAAGCATCAGTATTAAATTCTCTATTGTTTAAATATAATAAAAAAATTCATTATGTATATACAGAAAATTAATATTACCAAATTATTTGATATTTCAGAAAGAAAAAGAATGATCAAATTACAATTTATTCAACAAGGGTATAAAAACAATGCATATACATCAGGAATCTAACTTACCTTCAACTGCTGTTGATGATGAGGAAGATACATAGTACTTAGTTTTCTTTTTATTACTGTCCACCATTTCAGCAGCTTTTAGTTCAAACTCTCTGACTTCCATTTCTGCACTGTCAAGCTTAGTCTGCCACTGTAATAGCTTCTCTGCATTTTTCCTTCTTTGGAATAAGCGCTGCTCTCTTTTGGCTAAATGCCTTTAAATATTAATCACAAATTAGGTAGAAATTACGATTAATTATAACTTAACAATTAAAAACATTTTATCCAATTACAACTCAAAACTATCATTCTTCATATTTTTCATAGCTTTAAATAATTGCTCAAAGATGCAGAAGACATTTTTGTACAAGTAGTTTTGTTCAATAATGAAAAAAATGATTTTCTCATTGGAGTTTAATCATACTTAAAACATTTATATCTTACTCAATTTGCTTGGTACTGTACTGAATCCAATTGCACTGAAGAGACAGTTTTTAGAAAACAACATTTATTTGAAACATCAACCACACATCAACAAAGCAAACATAAATACAAAATACAAAAAAACTAATTTTTACAAAAAATTGCCACAATTTTTAAAATTTTTTCTTAATCTCATTGCTCTGTTTTTCTATTCAAGTTTGTTAGTTGAATATTTTTAGAACTCCATACATTTTTTTCCCGACTGTGCATCATGTTATCCAAGGTAGAGGGCAGTATTTGTAGAGGTTGTTTCAACTTCCGGTCGAAGATTCAGGTTGAAGAATTTCTGCTAGCATAAACTAAATTGCGTAATTCACATTTCCACGCTTTTTAACAAAATTTTTTGCAAACACGAAAATTAAATTCCAATATATACAAACAAACCAGTTATACAAACAGTATTCCAGTATATACAAACAGTATTCCAAATATATACAAACAAATCCCGAATGCCAAAAAAATAAAGAAATAGTCACGTCAATGCTATGACGTCAGAATAGGACCTCAAGACTTCTGGTAGGGTTTGTTTTTTAGGATAGATGGTGAATAGCTTACTGTTTTTCTATTAATGCTTGTGCTAGTTGGATATATTTAGGACTGTATAGTACAAAGGTAATATTACAGTTCAAAAAGATCTGGTCATAGCAATTATTATATATAAATTTATTATCATAAATTTTTGATAAAGGTTCGTAAAATACATTTTTTTTGGCTACTTTTAAGAAATCAACATAAATCAATTAACTTAATAAGTTTGTCACAAACTACTTAATAAGTCTCCGGCCTCACACATACATGGTACCACTGCAAAGGGAACCATACGATTTCTGGATCGTAGCAATTTTCAAACAGTAATAGTCATAACTACGTGACATTCTGATTATTAGTATAGAGGTTACAGGTGATTTTAGGGACCCTAATTTTGTATTTTTTAAAACAATGGATAAAAAAAAGAATTTCACCAATTGATTAAGCATTATAAAGACTCTGCCCCAGGGAAATTAACTGTTGACCAGCATTGATTAAATTGAATGAATTACTCTGTTAATTACTTCCCCAATCACCATACTCTAAAGATTTGGACCCCCTAGACACTACTGGCTTTTTGCAAACCTCCAAAAGAGGCTTCAGGGAAAGAAATTTTGCTCAGGTAAAGAAGTTATTGCTAAAACTGAGGTCTATTTTGAGAGCTAAGACAATTCATTCTACAAAAAAGGCATCAAAAAGTTAGAGGGTTGTTAGAATGAATGCATCACTCTCATTTGTTGTTTTTCTTAAACCAAAGACTTATTGAGTAATGTTTTAAGTATCAAAAACAGAAAAAGAAACATATTTTTTAAAATTATAAAATTTGTTTTAAATTGAATTAAAATGTAGTAAAATAGAAATTTTTTTTTATAATAAAAACAAAATAAGCAATTACGTATTGAATCAAAAATAATAAAAGGGGGATATTAGGTAGTTTGGGAAAGCATTATCTTAACTAACCTTTTACTGGCTTCAATCTTCTTTAGACCCTGAGCAGCTTGCTCAATTGAATGATTTGATACATGCGAGTGTAAACTGCTTGGCTTAGAATCAGGTTGAGAGAGAATGGGTGCTGCCTTTACAGAATTATTTTGAGAAGAAGTTGCAGATTTAGATTGTGCAGAAACCTCACTTTCAATAACAGTGCCTAAAAGTTTTAATTAACAATAATGTAATGATTACAGATGTAAATAACTATACTAATGCATAAATATTTCTTTTTATACTTCATCTAACAAAATTGTTAAAAAAAAGAAAGAAAAAAAAACGTTTTTAGAGGGTTCAGACTTCTTCCATAAATATAATCCGCTTTTGTAAATCAAGTAAATCAACATAAGTTAAAATAAAATCAATTCAGTAAAAACAAATTTTTAAAAAATTATTATTATTTGGTGGTATTAGACTCTCCTGCCTAAATAAAATTCAGTTTGACAAATCAAGTGAAAAATAAATGAAACATAAACTGTCTTTGTCTTTTACCACATATGTATATTGCAAAATAAAGTCAGAATACGTTTAATAGCTTTTATTTGAATAAAACAACAGTTACATTCTAAATATTTTGTTTTGGTAAAATAATTAAAAACAAATGAAAACAACATCGGTGCCTTTTTGATCGATTACTTAATTTAAAGACGAAAATACATTAATGCTGAAAAAAGAATGCATAAGAAAAGCATGATTAGTTTTGGCATCATTTCTAAAAATGCTTTTAAAAAAAATTACCATATGATGTTTCCACACCAATTTTTACAGTTACGCTACAATATTTGCTACCTTTTACTAATGTGCATTTTGCAACATTGCAATTTGAAAAATTTTGTGATTCAGTGATTCATATCAACAATGCTATCTGTAAGCATTAACTCAAACAATAAACTCACCTAATCATTATACCTCCTCTTTCAAAGAAGTAAGCACTGTAAACAACCATTTGAAATATTAACTCTTGAAAAACATAATCTGAAACTCGATTGTGGTGAAAGCTTTTCTTGTTCTTGCGTAGGATGGGAGGTCAGTCAGCTGGGGTCACAACCCAGGGCTCTATTAGAGTAATTGTGGTAGGGACGCAGAACTCAATATAATTTTGAGGTAAGTGCAATAAGATTGTCAATCTCCTGTTTGTGTCTCTAACAACAGGGCATCATTATGATAGATGTTCTTCATAGAATTTAAGCAAAAGAGCTATGGTGGTATTGTGTAGTTATTTAATTTAGGGATTTTAAAGCAAGAAAAAGGTACATAATGACTTTTTTTAATGCTGAACTAGTGACATTTTAATTTTTTCTTTTGCATCATTTATTGATAATATTTTTACTTTCATGTTTAAACACTAAGAGACAGTACAAACATTTTAATTCTTAAGTGCACAACAATTTATTAAGGATAAACACATGTAAAACTGTTATGATTAATTAATTTTCAATTTTCCATTCAGTAAAGACTCTAAATCTAATTGATTAATCACATGGAGTAGATTAGAAAAAAATGGCATTATTCATTTAAGAAGCTAATTAAGCCAGACTTTTCAACTTAAAGTATTGAGTTTATTAATCTGTGTATTGTATCACCTAACGGCACTAAATGAAGCCACAAATTTATTGAGTGGCAATTATGATAATAATAATAATAAAAAAACAACTCTCATTTTAGCAATTTCAAAACATGAACAAAAATCTTCCTAGATCTGTGTTAGGCTAGAAACATTTATTTCATATCATAATTGTATAAGGGAAAAAAGTTATGAGTTTGACAGCCATTGCATAAGAGATAGTTTTCTTCCCTAAATTCCAATATGCACAATGTAATTTCCTTCTTAACAAAACAAATACACACTTAGAAGAAAAATACCAGTTAACATTTATTTCAAAAACATTGAGCTAGATAATAAATAAAATATAAAATATAGTAACTTTAGGTTATTTTATTACTATGTTAAAACAGCTATCTCTGTTACACATTAGCATACTAAACACTATTCAAGGATAAAGATTATGAAACGTAAAATACACATTATTTTGTAACAAATATGCTAATATTCTTTTCAAAAAGACATGATAAGTTTTTAAACATTTTTCGAAAATATTAAAAATCATAATTTTTCTTAAAATGTAATTAAAGTTCTGTACGCAACTTAAATATAAAAGCAAATAAAGTTAAACATTTTCCTGAAGTTTATAGATTTTATCAGCAATTATAAAATTAAACTATCATTGATTTTAAGAACTGGAAAAAAAAATTCTTTTACGTACCTTGAGAAGATATGCTAGTAGCACTTTTAGAAATATCAGGAACTTCTAAGATTTCTTCAACTTCAGTCTGAATAAAAAACATAAAGCTGAGAAAGAGTTGTTTTCTACAACATTTTATTTAAAAATGTCAAATTATAGCCTTTCACTAACCAACTGGAACCATTAGAGCTCAATCACAATGAATTTCAAAATATTATATTTACATAAGCTGTGAGAATTAAACTGGTTCTTAAAATTTCTTGTCAGTACATAGGAAACTTAAAACAAGAGAAATTCTGACACAGAAATTTAAGAAAAGTCTTGCTTTTTAAAAATATATTATAATTTTTTTCCGCTGATACAGTGAATAAAATTTATGGTTTTCATAATTTAAAAAAAAGGGCTAACTTACAATAATTATTTAATCTGTGGGGATATAATTATTGACTATGTCAACCTTCATCTATCAAAAGGTACCTCGAGATAGAATCTAATTAACACGTCTTATATACTAGTGAATTAGTATTTAATATTTGTTGTGGTAGTTAAGCCACATTATTCCTCTTCCAGAATTTTATCTGTGATAGAATTCAATGAAAGAATACCACTAGTTATTTAATGCTGTTTCTTTTTGGCTCATCATACCTTTATTTTTTTATTTATCTCCTTTGTTATTGGCAGAGAGAATTGTATTAACTTCCCCAGATTTTGATTGAGCTCTACTTGTGAGCAAATCAACTGTTCAATGAGATTCATTCATCCATCAATATTAGCTTGTGAATGATCAAGGTTAGCTTGTGGATGTATCAAGGTGGGCGATTATAGCGCATTTAAATCAAGGAAGGAGTTACTTTGAAAGTTGGTGCATTCATATTAGGTCCCGGTCACCAATGTGGGGGAATAATTATCCACTATGTCATTGTTTCTCAACGGGGGCGATACCGTTGGGAGTATACTGAGGGGCGGTGAACTTGTTTTGGGCAGTAGGGGGGCGTTGGGTATGTTTTGGGCGGTAGGGGGGCGATGAGCATGTTTTGTCATTCAAATTTAATTTTGAAGCTTACAAATAAAATTATTAAATTAAATTAACTTAATAAATAAAATTAATCTAAAATTAACGTTAAAGAAAAAACTAATATAATAAATTAAGATTATCCGATACTCCTTTTGTATCACCAATAAAACGAACTTATATGACACCTATTCTCCGATCCGAACCAACACAGCGTAGCGCATGAGTTAGTAGTTTTTGCCTCTGATTTATTCAAGCCACTCCGCGAAGTGCATGAGCTTTCGGTATGAATATTTGATTTGACCCGTGTCTCTTATGATGATTTCCGTTACCTTCCTTACAGTTTTTTTCACAGTTTTGATTTTATCTCATTTTATTTGGCCAGGTATGTGTGCGAATTAGTTCTTTACCGTAAATTATTTATTCATTTGGAGAAATAGTTGATTTTATTTCATCGTTTGAATTTTGCTGCCACCAACAATGTCGGTTAACAAAATGAAGTGTCATCAATTCCGTGCCACGTACTTGAAGTTTGGATTTGTTGAATCGCTGTTGAACTATCAACTGCCCATGTGTTTACTTTGTAACAAAGTTTTATCTAATGAGACAATGAAATATTTCCTTAGCAGGACCATTTGCAAAAAACTCATCCTGACAAACAAAATGAAGATTTGTCATTTTTCACGAACACCAAAGACAAGTTTTCTGAAGGCACCTTCGGTCTCAGGGTTGCTAGCAATCTCATCACAAAAATGCGACGATGGTTTGATAGCTTCTTATAATATATCAAAATTTATTGCTAAATCTGGGAAAGCTCATACCATCGGCTCAAAGTTGATACTGCTGGTTATCAAGGAAGTTTCAGAAACAATTTTGCACCTTCCAAGCACATCCAATATAATCAAAAATATCTCATTAAGCAACGATACAGCGCGGGGACGAAATGGTGAGATGGCTGAAGACATTGTAATTTCTTTATGCAAACTTTTGATATCCAACGAATTTTCCCTTCAAGTTGATGAATTAACCTTGTCATGCAATGTAGGCTTTACTGTAGGCGTATGTCGGATTTGTAAAGGTAGGAAAAAGTATTCTAGAGATGCTTTTTGCAAGAAGCTTGATTGTAGATACCAAAGATAAATCTATTTTTAATACTGTCCAAGATTGGTTTATGTCAATTGCCACCGCTGGAGCTCCTGCAATGGTGGGTCGACATTGTGGGTTTATCGCCTTTTTGAAAAGGAAAATACCAAATATTGTAGCTGTTCACTGCGTGATTCAAAGACAGCATTTAGTAGGAAAAATATCAGCGATCGTTTGCATCAGTTATTGCACTATGTTATATTTGCTGTGAACAAATTTCAGAGTAATGCTCTCAACGATTGATTATTCAGATAGCTGTGTGTGATGACATATCCAATCGCTTGCACCGAGATTGTCTGACTTTCCAAAGGCGCCTGTCTCAATAGTTTTTGGAATTTTTTCGACTCAGTGCTTGAGATCCTCTAAAACAGAGATGCAGCTCTGAGAGACAGATTGCTAGAATTTAAGAAAGACTTTGGCAGATTTATATGTAAAATTCAATGGCATTAATTTCAAAGTTTAAAGCGACGAGCTCAATTTGATCCCAACAAAATCAGTCATTTATGCCTTTCTGAAAAAACTCATTTTGTGGAAGCAGAATTTTGGTTGGAATGAGTTTAGCAAAACAGGTGAAATTCGCTCTGATGATGCACAAGAATATAGTCAACACCTTGACTCTTTGCACATGGACTTTTCTGACAGTTTTAAAGATATTTTGTTCCCTGGAAGTCCCTCAATGAGTTATTGGGTTATGAACCCTTTTGTGAATATTGAAACAGCAGTGTTACAAATTTCTGCCTGACCAGAAGAGGACGTTGTAATCACTCACTCACTATAATTCTTTAATTACTTAAGTGGCAGGCAATGGATTGATCTGGATGGCTCATTGGAGAGCCCATTTTCGTATCATATATTTTTTATTGTTACTATTATTAAATTTGTTTGCTATTAAATATCCTTTTACCTTGTGGAACGTGGATTCAGTGCTGTTACGGACCTTGTCACAAAAAAAGAGTAATGAACTCGAAATTGTACAACGAGGGGACTTGCATCTTCACCTCACTAAAAGTAGTGAACCGAACGTTAAGAAAGTTGGTTCGTTGATACTACCTTTTTAGTGTAAAAAAATTATTTTGGGTGTTTTTTAATTATCTGATTCCTTCTTTTTAAGCATAGGTTTATTTGTTGTATTTTTTTCATTACCGTATTCACTTTAATTATAACAAATATACTGCGATTACCTGCCCTGTGAAAAGTATCGAGTTAATGTACACATTATTTTTTTAAAAACCAAACAAATTTAATTCTTAATAAATTTCTTAATGCTGTCTCTTATAATTCAGCACACCTCACTCCGTCACAATACTCTAAATAACTGGATTTTCACAAAGGGGGGGGGGTTGAAATGTTTTTTGCTCCTTAAGGGGGCGGCAACGTTAAAAAGGTTGAGAATCTATGCACTATGTCAACCTTCATCTATCAAAAGGTACCTCAAGTTGGAATCTAGTTAGCATGTCTTATATACTAGTGAATTGATATTTAATATTTGTAATGGTAGTTGCGCCACAAACCTATTAAACAAATAAATGATATAAAACATCAAAAACTGGTCTAAAGTGGTAAAAACAATAGAAAGTATTATATTACTAACTCCAGTTTGCTGCACATTCTCACTCAAAATGGAAGAATTTGACGATGAAATAGGTGATTTCAATTCTCTTGATTTAGACTGAGAGGCAAGTTTAGAAGAATGTGGTTTGTTTTTTCCTGAAAATCAAAAATACTGATTTTTTATTTAAAATCTAAGAAAAATAGTTTAAATTAAATTGCATAAATTGAGTTAGTAGTCGCTACTTACAAATTAATTTACTATAAAAAGAAATAAATTTCTTGTAAAGAAAGGAAAATACGAATATTTCTGGAACACAAATGCTAATTACATAAAAGTTTCAACTAAAGTCATAATTATTAAATATTTCATATGAATGTTGAAGAGGGGTGGTGCATAGGAGGTTGTTGAAGAATTAAACAATTAAAGTTAAAGCTGTTTATTAGGCATTTTAGCAAAATTATAACAAAACAGGTTGTTAAACCAGACTAGCTGTGAGGTAAATCAACCTAAGCTGTCGCTAAAAGGTGGCGCTTCTATCTCTTGAGTGCTACACCAATTATAAAATACAGATTATTTTAAAAGCTATTCAGATATATTATCTGTCTTAAAAAAGGGAGGAGATATAGTGAAAATTAAAACTTAAATTTTTAACATAATTTTCATGCTTCATATTAACATCACATTTATTAGTTCATTTTAGATAAAACTTGATTAATTATAGAGAATTGATTCAATAATTTAATAAAATACTAAATTGGTCTTTCATAAAAAGTAAATTCTGAAAATTATAGCTATTAAACAAATAAAATTCAGAAAAATAAACATCAATATTAAATAATTATGCATACCGTGTGGTATATTTTGTTATTTTTCCCATCAAACTGTAACCATTTGTAATTTATCAGCCACTGATTCTGAAATACACGAGTTGACTTATTTTCTCATAGAAGATATCCTTTACTTTATTCAATGTATCCTTCAGTTTTTTTTCCTGTCATTTTTTTGTAGAAGGTGTTCCCATTCAATAAAATCATCACATTTTGTATCTTAAAATTAAATAAATGATTCTATGATAAAAATAAACCTCAAATGAAAAAATTAAACAAGATATGACGGAGATTTTCTACATTGAATTATTCCATTGCACCCCAACCTTTACCATACCATTCCAAACCAAATCAGCTTGCCGTCGTTCTACTAGCGACTAATGGCGTTGGTGATCCCTCGACTAGACGGTGTAGTTTTTGGTCGTGGATACGAATAGCTCGATAAGTTCTACCTGGAATGTGTCGAGAGGTCACTCTTCTATTAGTATCAGATGTGGAAATATTTCTTGCTTGCCAAATTTTTTGGATGAAAATATATACTGGATACAATTTGCAATGACATTTTTTACTTTTTTTAAAACGATTGTACGATTTGTTTTTGCATATCAAGTGGAACTACCAAATGTTCTTGATCATTTACCACTTTGTAGAGTTCATTGTTTTTTTAACATATAATCAGATGTTTTAAGTAGTTGCTTGATACTCGATAAGAAATCCTCGCTAATTTTAGTTTTGATTGCTTTACATTATACGATCATGACTAGTATTTCGTAATCAAAATATTCTAAAAAAAACAAACAAACTCCATGCTAATTTTCAGAGCTAAATCTATTTTGGTCATTGTCTTTTGAAAAACCTGGCAGTTTGTGCAGATTTAGAATTTTGTGCCTACGAGTGAAGTTTTTTAAATGCTATGACCATCACTAGTACTTCTAATTCACATAGTGTATGAGATGAAAATTATTGTCAGAGTCTATTCGTAGAAGTATGGCATCAAATCCTTTCAAGCTGGCATCACAGGTTCTGATGACAAGATATGTTCCAAAAGGATGAAAGCTTGTTTTTGTTTGGGACCAAAGGCAAATGGAACTTTGTCTTGTAAAAAATCTTGCATGCATAGACTTCAATAAATCCTACTCAAATATTACATCTTTTTTCATTTCAACAATGCACACAAAATTTTAAATAAACCTGTATAAATCAAATTAAGTAATATTTAAAAAAAAAAAAGGTAAATGCATTTAATTTGTTTACTCACTTTGCAAAATTGGGGAAGCTAAAGACGTTGGTTCGCTCAAGAGCTCATGTTTACTTGTAAGCACAGATTGGTGTTTCTCACAAACACTTCTGTAAGCCTCCTGCATACACCTCAATTGAGCTCTTTCTTGTCTTAATCTTAAAATAAGGTCCTTCTGAGATTTTTTAATCATGGAGATTTTCTTTTTATCTGCTCCCTTCTCTTGCAATTTTCTAACAAACAAANTAGTAAGTTATCTTGAAAATGCACATCATTAATAAGTTTCATTACAAAAAAAAAAAAAAATAAAAAAAAAAACGGATAAGAATTAAACTATATTAGGAATGGAAACATGGCAAATCAAAAAGAGGAAATATTTTACTGGTTGATGTTTCAAAGCAGAGGCAGCAGTAAATAAATATATCTATTCAATAGAGATGTTAGACCAGTTAAGAATTAAACTTTATTTTGATATTTACGGATCTTGNTGAGCTCATAGCCGACTCCTCTAACCAGTAACTCCTCTCATCAATAAATGGGACATTATATTTTGTTCAGACTAATAAGAAAAGTAAACAAAATAACCTGACATTTGGCAGGATTTTTGGATAATTGGCACCAAGGCTATGACAAAAAGAGACAAATGGTATGTAAGAAAATAATAAACTCAGTAAGAGGTGGTAAAAATGGGTAAAGTTGGTGATGAATAGCAAACCTTTATGTTTACTTCCACTAATAGTTCTCAATGAACAGGTTATAGATCATAATTTAGATTTTTTCTCAGCTCACTGTGCAAGAATAGAACAGACAGAATAAATCCCGACCTAATGAATAGATTTTTGCATATTAAGAAGAAATCTTCATAGTTTGAACATCAGATTTCAAACATGTTTTGTAATTAGCGAAGACAATATTTAAAGTTATGAAGTCCAGAAAGGCGACTCGGGTTTTAGTGGCACTAGCCACAGGAAAACTGCAGTTTTAAATACATCGCAATGAAACATCATGCAGATTTGAGAGAGAACAAACTAGCTAAATATTCAACAAAAAATAAAGATCCTTTAAGTAGTTTTAAGGCACACAAAATAATTTGTAAGCACTATACACATTAACAAAATGCAAAATAATTTTCAAAGACTTTGCATGATCATGATAAAATAACTAGTTCTTGTAAAAGACCTCTTTTTTTGATTATATTAGCCATTTTAAATTTATCAAAAGATTTTTCGGTTAGATTTCAGAGGGTGGAAAATGAAGCTTGGAATGGAAAATATCTTGCAAAACCCAGCAGCAGAGTTGCATACGAGAGTGCAATAATCTCACCAAACCCAGCTCATTATAAGCACACGCGGACTCGAAAGTATTTCATCAAACCTGTAAAATGATGGGCGCTTTCATTAAATATATGACCGACGGTACGCCGAAATAAATTGTGTTTGAATGAATAGTGAAAACGTTAAATAGAACAATGCGAAAAGCACGCTTTTGCATAATACGTGGCGAAAATTGACATGGCAAAGAAAAAAATTCTCATTTTTGAAAAAGGGAAAATTAAGCACTTTTCAAAACACCCAATGAAAAAAGCACCTTTAAGGGCTATTAAAAAAAGAATATCGAAAATAAGCACCTCTAAACACTTTTTAAAAACGCTACGAACCATGATTTATACCTTGGAGAAGCATTAAAAATGCATAAATTAAAATGTAAGGTACACAAACTTACAAAAAAAAAATATACTATGAACATTTTCAGCTTCAAACTTTGATTAACTTGAATAAAATCATAAATTTTAGCAACCTTGAGCAATTGCTTGGTTTGCCATCCCTTAGAAATGGCACTGAAGAAATAAGACACTGAAATGTATGATTGCTTAAAAAGCAGATTTCAAAACAGACTCAGATTTTTAATTCTCAAAATATTGTTGCCATCTAGATAATATGGCTTAATTCAGAAGAAACTTATATACTATTAAACATAAGGTGATTTTTTAAATTTCTAATGTTATGTGCTAGGTTTTCCAGAGGTATTAATGTTCCAAAATGATTTATTTCTAACGGAGTAAAAATCAGAAATTTGTAACAAACTTCTGGTTAGGCTATAAAGCATCATTGAAATATTCTAATTCATTTACAGAATTATATGGAAATAATTCTATTGTATTGTATTAACAGAAGTAATCCTATTGTATTGTACTAACAGAAGTAATCCTATTGTATTACAGTGATGCATAAAGATACAAATTGACATTAGAGCATTATAATGTTGATAGTACAAAACAAACTAAATTTAGTTTTTGAATCCAAATACACACAGCACATAGTCAGTAATAAAAACAATAGGTTTCTCACCTTTTTAAAACTTCTAACAGTCTCATTTTATCTCGAGCCTTCTCGACTAAACTTCGTTCTTGCATCCGAAGTAAAGAAAGTTGGTCCCTCGCTCGAGACTCTTCATCGTGAGTAATTCTACGGACAACATCTAAAGTAAGCTGAGCAAAAGAATCCCCAGAATGAACAGACTCCGTTGCTGTGACATCAGAAAAATCTGAACGACTGCTTATCAATGTGGCAGAAGACACTGACTCCTGAACAAAAAAAATGAGCATGAATAAGACACATTACCTTATTTGAGTTACGAATTTTTAGAAGTAGATTAAAGCTTTTAGAGGATAAATAAAGTTTTTACGTAAAATGCTTTTATAAGGCATAAAGTATCTCATCATCATCATAAAGTATCTTATTCATATAAAGTGCTAAAATAATATATATATTCTATATCTCAAAATTACACAATAAAATACAAAATAAATTCTTATATCTCAAAACTAAAAATTTTTCGAGACAGTGAGTTTTCAAGATAATAAGATTTAGAACTAAATATGTTCTACAAAGTAGAAAAATATATTTTAAAATATTACTCTAAAAAGTAGAGTCATGAAACAAGACAGTTATTAATAAATATGAAAGTAATGATAGTTGACTATAAGTCTAAATACAACAAAAAAAAATTTATTTTTTAAAAGTAAGAAAAGTAAATAATCATCATTAAATAGAAAAGAATTGGTAAACAACAAACTTTGTGATAAAAAAAAATTATCTTTTTCTATTTTGAAAAAAAAGGGAAAAAAAAGACATAACAAGGTTTTTGAGATATAGCTAGTATACTATATATACACACACACACATACAAAATTTAAAACAACAAAAACAAAGCAAAACTAAATATATATATTTAAAAAAAATTATAAAAAGGTAAACACGATTTTTTTTAAACATGTTAATTTATAAGTTTGAGTACAAGTGGATATTTATTTGTTGTTGTGATAGTTTTTTTCATTACATTATTAACCAAAAAAATAGGCATTGACATTTAATGAAAGCAAAACTTTTATAAAAGATTTAAAATATATACAATTAAAATATTTGTAAATTGGACAAATAAGGAGGATAGACATAAATAACATAACTATTAAAGATAAAACACTAAAATGAATAAATTGACCAATGGATTTGACTAATTTAAATTAAAATGGCGAAAAATGTTAAGAATTAATGAATAAAAAATGTAACAAAATTTACATAAAGTGCAACATTACATTTTCAGAAAGACTGGCAGGAGAAGGGGAGGACATATTTCCTGAAATTTTTCTTTTATGAGAAAAAGATGACTGAACCATTTCCTTAATACCTATAAAAAATACAAAAATGATGTAAATAAGAAATGCTTACAAATACAAAAAAATATACATTCGAATGCATATTTTATAAGTAAATAAAATGCAGATTTTTGAAGAATATACATTAAGCAATCAGGGAATCTGAGATGATTTTTCTGAGTTAAAAAATTCCTGATATAAACTGAGACTAAAATGTCTGATGTTTAAAAACTTTTTTATTCTCCATTAAGACTTATAGAATAACTGGGCAGCTACAAACATTTAAAAAAAGATTTTTTGGATGATTTTTCTAGACTGATATCGGATTTCCCTCATTTTAGACAGTGGCATAAATTTTAATACTAATTTTTTAGTTATACCTCATCTTTTTTATGAAATAAATTACAAAACACTTATATTTGCTAATATTGTTGAAAATAAATAATATTTTTTTTCTTCAAAAAATTATTATGAGACCAATTTTAAAACAAACATCAGATTTCAAATTAACTCATTTTCTCAGACCTTGACCAATTTTGGACATTTGAATAAAATTCCCTTTCAGATATTTTTAGATTTATAAAAATTCTTGACATTTCTCTATTCTGTGGCCAAACTGAATAAATAATCATAATTGTAGCAAGAGGAAAATGTTTGAAAAAACTCCATGGAATTTTTAGATAGGAAACACTGTTCATATGTAAAATAATTTGTCTTTCATATTTCTTCACAGCAACCTGATTTATTTCTTGCTTTACAGATAAAATTTATTTGAAATCAAGCATTGAAAAAATTGGCTTAACTTTAAAAAGTTAAATATAAATTTACAGTTACCTTAACACGGTTATAAGCAGGGTTTGCCAGGTGGACCCACTTTGAAAAAACCCACCCGGGTTTTATTGGGTGGGCCATCCTTGAAAAAACCCACTTGGTGTTTTTTTTTTCACAAAGTGGGTTTTTTAAATTTGGTTGAAAAAGAAGTATCTCCTAATACTATCATTGGACACATGGTGGAAGTTAACAAATATTTTAGAAATGTGCATCAAGCACATAGGTGGGCAAATGAAAAAACTGCTTAATGCCCCAATTACCAAATGATACTAGGTGGAGTTCATATTGTGACCGTGTAAAAACTTTTGCCAATAATTACCATAAATATCAAGAGATTGCTCTTGAATATCAAAATGAATTCAATAATAATTTGTCAGAAATATTTAATAATGTTGGGCTTTACCAATAAACTATCAATTTGGAAAAACAGATATCAATTGTTTCTGAACCTTTAAAAAAGCTTCAATCAGAAAACACTTCAATTTCTGAAGCTGTTGAAATATGAATTAACTTATTATCGTGTGATTTTTGGAACCCCATAAACATTTTGTAAAAAGATTCCATCAGGCTGTTCAGCCACCTCATTTATTACCAAATGCAACTTGGATCCCAAAACAAGGGGACAATTTTTAAATGATGCAGAAAACTGTCTTTCTAAGCATCATGCAGAATTTTTGCCAGGTGTAATGGCATTCAGACAGAACAACTAAAAGAATCTTTTTGGCAAGGCCAACTGGAGTTAGAAAGAGAGGCAGACCCCGACTGAGATGGGCGGATTGCCTCCAAAGGGACTTTACCACAATCAAGTTCAGAGACTGGAAAGCCGTGGCACGCAGAAGAAAGGACTGGTGCAGTCTTCTTGAGAAAGCCAGGGTCCACCCAGGACTGTCGAGCTACTGATGATGATGATTTAATGGCCTTCAAAATTTCCTATCCTGAATACTTTCCAAAATTAGTGATGCTTGACACTGTTATTCAACAGTTTTCATTTCAAATAGTGAAAAATTTTGGCAAAAGAAAATGAAAAAAATTCCAAGCTTCCACAAAATTTCTGACAATTCTCTTTTTCTTTGTACTCAGCACCAGCATTCTCTATCTCAATCAAAAGACACTTTTCAACTTTCGGTTTGGTGCGGAGTAAACTACAAAACAGATAAAGCTACAAAACTCGTAGAAGTGTATCACCATCTAAGAGAGAAATATAGATAGAATCTGCTGTATGATAATAATAATAAATAAATGAAATGAGCCTTTTTTTTAAGTTGACTCTTAACATCTGCTGACAATTTTTAACTATTTGGAGAAAGTTTATCACCATTAAAAAAACAGTTAAATATTAAAATATTAGATTAAGATATAAGAGTTCTTAAATATTATTTTTAAGCTTTCATTTGAATATAATTTATTTTGTTTCTTTCTATCATGTTTAAAAAAAATGGAAAACCAACGAAAATTTTTTTTCTATTAAGTGATACATTAAACAACAATTACCAAATTTAAAGTTTTATTTTCTGGTTTTCAAAAAATAAGCTAAAACTTTTTATATATGCTTTTCTATAATTTTATAGATTAATTTGTTTTTTGAAATCATGCTAAAATTTGTGTAAAAATGCAGTCTTTTTTTTAAGGGTAAATATTTGATAAATGGGACAAGTAACTGATACTCTTTATAATTATACGTAATTTTAATTTCACTTTCCATTAATTGTATTATAAAAACATGGAAGACCATTAAATACTTATTTCAGTTTAATTTTAAAGGTAAAAGTCAGATGAAATTTTAGTTTTTACTGGTTATAATTATTTATTGATTATAAATTTGTAATATATATACATATATATATGCTTAATAAATATAGTAGATAGATGTGTGGGAAAACAAAAAGATTAATAAACTTGTTTCTTTCAAATTACTGTTGCATTTATATTTTATAGTGCTTCGGTTAAAAGTTGTAAAACGTTATGAAAAAATATATTATGAAAAATATACTAAATGAAAAAAACTCTTTTTTCCTCGGGTTTTTTTTCAAATAAAGCCCAATTTACCCCGGATTTTTTTCAATAAAACCCGTGCGGGTTGGGTTTTTTCAAAAAACCCCAGGTTTTTTCAAACCCTAGTTATAAGTGAAATAAATCTCTTAGTGACTTAGAAATACACTGGCAACAAAAAATGATTCCAAACATTAAATATCTTTTTAATAATAGTTACTTTGATTGGTGGATAGCTCTTCAGAAATAGCAGAAGAAACTCTACTAGAAATTGGGCTTTGTTCAGAAGGAGTACTATTTTTTATTTTATCAGAAACTGAGATTTCTTTTACTGTGCTTGCATGACTAATTTCTTCTTCAATGGCATAGTCAGATGAATCTTTCAAATGAGATGACGAGCGATGAGAAATGGATTTGCGAGAAGAGCTAACTATACGTTGACTAGAACTATGAGCTTCAGATGGTGATCTAGATTCCTATACAAAGTAAAAAAGATAATAATAAATAAATAAATAAATATTTGGTACTTTAAGAAATAAGTGATTTTTGGTATTCATCATATCTACTTCAAACTAGTTTTTTCTTAAAGAAAAAATGAGATCTAAAGTTGAATGCAGAATATTTAAAATGAATATTGTGCCAAACTTATTCAATATTAATACATATTTAAGATAACATAATCAAATGGTGTTTTAGATAATGTGTAAGAAAAGAAAAAAAAAAGAAAAAGGAACCATGAGAATGCTTAGAGGTCATTGGAGCTGTGAAGGAGGAAAATACTGAAACCTATCGTAAGGTTAATTCTAAATTCTATTGCTTGTTAAATAGCAAACAACATAGGGTATACATAATAATTCTGAACAATTAAAACTAGGCTAATGGTCTTTTTAAATTTGAATGATAAGGATTAAAATAATCCAAAAATTAGTTTGGCTTTATATGAACAAACTAATTACCAGAAAAACTGATTGGTCTTCACAAATGATAATTAGCATGCGTAACAACATAAAAAAAATGCTACTCATGCTATGTTAATAGTTTTTAAAAATTCTATTTACTTTCATTTTATTAAAGGGTGAAGCCTCATTATAAATTATAGAAATGACATCTCAACAAGAAAAATAATAAAATACATAGGAACAAAAGAATACATACAGGGGTCTGTAATAATAACATTTATAATAATAACATAGCATTTTATAAGAGGTATCTATTTTGTGAAAATTAAAAATGACATTAAAAAATCAATGCCAAAATATGGTAAAATAAGAAATTATCTTCAAAAATTGTCACTACAAATAAAAATTATTCATAACTGGTAAATTTCTATCTACTTTTCCTTATATATTAAAAAATAATTTTGCTATTGTAAAATTTTTAGCTTAAAATTGTATCCAAATTTAAAACTCCATTGTCCATAGTTAAATTTCAACTTGCATTTAACAGTACTAGTACTAAAAGTTATTTTCATTATGAGAACATTATAGACTAGGTCATGCAGAAAAAAATTTCATAGGCAAAAAAAGATTTCATAAAAAAATAAAGGTCTGTTAGAATAAATTTACAATAATATCAAAGATAATGTTCAAATGTTTAGAATTATGCTCGAATTTTGACTTCCTGTATAGTTTATATAGAGAGAGAACCTCGTTGCGTCATTTAAAAAAACTCAGGGATTTATAGTTCTTTATAAAGATACAAAAACAAAATTTTAAGAGGCGGAGAATCTTAGAACTTGCTTTTTTTAAAGCATTTTGTGAAACTACCATTTTTTCTAACGTTGAATTTGTGAAGATACCGCTAAACGGTAGTAAATTTGCCGTGGACAGATCCCTGATATAGAATACTAAGCATTGGCAGTAATTGTAAATATTACTATCAACAGGTTCCTTATATATAAATAATTCACTTGCAGGAATATTACAAGGGAAACAACAACAAAAGATAGGCCCAGCAATTAAAAAAAACACATACAGTAGGAAGAAAAACAATTATGTATTAAAAATTTTGTAATTGAAAAAAAAAATTCATTTATAAAAAAATAGTCCTTCAAATGGATCCAGATTTGAGAGTCATAATGAAATAGATAAAAAAAAAGTTTTCAATAACACTGAAAACTACATTGTGCAAAACTTACTGAGGATAAATTAGTTTCCATTTTATCACAATAAAAAAAAATCTTATTGAAAACAAATTTCGTGCCAAAATAAAATTTTCAATAACAATATTTATAAGTGGGGAAAGATGTACAAATCAAATCAGAATATAACAAAAATATACTTTAAATTTAATTATTAGAATATGTGCTATTCAATCAAAATAATATAATTTAAAGATAGGCAACGATGGAAAACTGTTTAAGGGAGCATTTTGAGTGTAAAACGCCAAGAATTGCACTGTGCTGTTACCTGCAAAATTTTTTCTAGAAACTTGTATATCTATCTAGAAACCTAAATAAGAAACACTTGGATGTAAGAATGTCTCTTTTAGAAAATATGTAGTCTACCACTATGTTGCCCCAAATCCATTAGAGGAGTTTTTATTATGGAAAAGAAAGTAAAACTTAAGTGCGTTAGCTGAAACTATTTTTTAAAAAAATCATTAATGTATATTATAATAATAATTTACAGGAATTTTTGCTTATGTTAAAAATATTGTACACATATTAAGGCAGAAGATATATTAAGTATAACTAAAACAATTGATGGCAATAGCTAGTAGTAATTTATCAACATCAACTTTCGTGATAAATAAATTTTTTTAATAATAGTGTCCTAAATGGAAAGTATCAGTTTTATGTAAGAAAGTAATTGAAACAAGCAATAGTATTTTTTGTAGGCATCAAATTTGTATAAATATTAAAAATTTTATTTTGAAAAATTTTTTAAAAGTGCAAAATTTTTTAGTGTGTGTGGAACTAATTTATCATACGTACAAGCTGTTTTCAGAGGCTATTACTTAAACTAAAGTGCAAATAAGGATCAGTGCAATTAAACTTACCATTCGCAATAATTCTCTTTGAGTTGATACAACCACAGTTAGAGCTGCAGCTGCTGCTTCAGCAGCCACTCTAGTAACTATATGAGAGGGAAAATATGGCTCTTCATGACTATTTTGTTTCTGAACCTGAAATTATTTATATTCATTAGAAAAAAAAAAGATCATAATTTATTTAATTCTCTTAAGTCTAAGTCTAGTAATTAAAAATGTTAAACATGTTTAATAGGGTGGAGCGAAAAAAAAGTTGTTGATAATCAAAAAGCACCATCTCCCAAAAGTTGTATATGGATCAGCATATCACTGAAAAAAAAAAAAACTGAGGTAATCAGCATTTAAGAGCACAAAAAATATTTATAAATGCAGACAGCTGTTTCGGATGCTCAAAGAGCAACCTTCATCAGTGCAACAATATTTTTTGTGCTCTTAAACGTTGTTTACCCCAGTTTGTATTTTAGCACAAAGGTCGCCCACTTGTGTATCAGTATATCACTTGTTAATTTTCACAGAATTTTTATACACCATCTTAATTCTCCCCAAAAGCCTTAAAATTTTGAAAGTTTTCAAAAAACAGGAAATTTTAGTAAATTTTTAAAAATTGTTATATGAAAACTAATTATCATTCAAAAGTTGTGTATTAAATGAAATATTACTTGTGAATTTTTTCAGCATTATTTTCAGTCCTTGCAATAGCTGTAAAAATTATAAAATTTAACAAAAAGTAAAAATATTTAAGAAAAAAAAGAAAAACAAATTTTTAAAAATTGTCAGAAGAAAATAAAACACCTTACAAAGGTTGTGTATCTACAAAACATTAATCATGAATTTTTCGAATTTTTTTTCTTCTTTCCTCATTAACGGTCACTGGAGGTTTTTATTAATAGCTTTTTCAAATTAATAATGCCATCGTTAGGCTTATAAAACTATAATTAACAGCAAACAAAAGAGAGAAAACTAAAGAGTACGCTATAGCTTCACAAAAGTAGCACTGATGGCAGTTATACATTTTGTTTAAAATCACATTGCAGCATATATTTATATATTAAAGGAAGCTTATTTCATTAAGTAGGTCGATGAATCAATGTTTCTTATGCAAACTCTAAGAACTTTGTTAAGGGTAGTGATCTACTTTGAATTCAAATGTTTCCCGGGACCTATTGACACCAAAGTTGAGGGATATTTACCAGAAAAATATTAATTAAATTTTTATCGGCTTAGATTCATTAAATATTTTTTATCTGTACTGAGATCAGAAATGGCATATTCTCTCATTTCTGACAAATTTTTTTTAATCCATTGAAACTTATTAGTGAAAGGTGTCCGCAGTTGAACAAACTCTAGCCCATAGGTTGGAAAAATCCTTAAGGATTCACAGATACACCATCCAGGAAATTCATAATATGCCTTAGTAATAGGACATTTGAGTGAAACTTGCCTATCACCCATGGTAGATCTTTTTAAAACTTCTTTTAAGCAGACTTACTCTTCTTTTGCAACTAAAATGTTTTGATATAGCTTGTTGCTTTCTTGAAATTTGTAAACTTGTGCTTTGCCTAAAGCTAGATTTGATTTTTATAGATCCATCTTTTTAATTAACTGTTCTCAGACTTGCAATTTATTAGAACTTATACCCATTCATATTACAGTTTGTAAGCATGAAAAAGCCTCGCTCTTTAGATGAACTTGCCTGTGATTTAATATCAAATGTAAATCATGCTACTTTTGTGAAGCTATGGTGTACTTTTTAGTTTTTTCTAACTTGTTCACTTTTGGTTGTAGTTTTATAAGCTTCATAATAAGCCACTATAACATTGTTAATATAAAAAAAGTTTGAAAAAAAAAAAAGAACCTTCAGGGTCCATTAAAGAAGAAAAAAAAAATGAACCAGAAAAATTTCAAAACAATTCATGAGTAATATTTCAGTAAATACACAACGTTTGCAAACTATTTTATTTTCTTCTGACATTTTTTAAAAACTCAGTATTTTTTTAAAATTTTGTGCTTTTTGTAAAATTTTATAATTTTTACAGCTGTTGCAAAAAGTGAAAATATTGCTACAAAATTCTGAAAAAACTCACGAGTAATATTTCATTCAATACACAACGCTTGAGTGGTAATTTTTTTCATATGACAATTTTCAAAAATTTGCCTTTTTTTGATAAATTTCAAAATTTTAGGATTTAGCAAGGAATGAAGATGCATAAAAAAAAAACTGAAAAATTCACGTGATATACTAGAACATATCAAATTTTTGGGAGGTGCAGCTTTTTAATTATTGAAAACATTTTTTCTGCTCCCCCTAATGCTTAATTTTAAATAGCAATTTAGAAACACCCATAAAAACACATTTGGTTTAATGGAAAAAACTATTTCAAAGAATCTTTATTTTCAAAGCTCTGCTGAAAGGAAAAACAAACATCGTGAAGGAAAAAATTATAACAAAATATAAAAATTTGACAAAAAGTAACCAAAAAAAAAACATGACAAAAGAATGAAATAGAACCAAGCAGAAAGGTAACTTACTTTCATAGACTTTGTGAAGTTATTGGCTAATGTGAATCTCACAGGTTGAGTGAAATCAATAGTCACACTATTAGGTGATGTAGACGACACACTAACATTTTCCTGATTAAAAAGATCATAAGAAATGTAAATAATAATAACATAAAAAAATGTTAAAGTTTAGGGAAATAGTCATACAACAAGTCTTATTTCCACTGAAGTGATATTATAAAATTGTGCATGCATGCCTATTTATTTCTTATGATTTGATCACTTATTTCAAGCCCATTATACAGTACAGAGCCCGTTATCCGGAAATCAGAAAACCGGAAAACCAAAAAACCGGAACGAAATTCGATAAATTTTCCTGCCATTTTCAAAAAAAAAATTTTTTTTTTTTCTCCTCATAAGACATTAGGATTTTTCTTTCTATTTTGAAAGATGTTTACCGTAACATCATTCTGGAAATAATCATTAGTGTATTACTTCATCGTTTTTCCTTCTTTTTAAGATTATTTCTAATTTTTTATTTTAGTTGGGTTTAACAATAAAAAAACGGCTTTTTGTAGCGATTTAGAAAACCAGAAAAATTAGTTATCCGGAATAGCGATGGTCCCGATCGTTCCGGTTAATCGGTTCCCTACTATATAAACTCTAATTTTTATTTCCAGTCCTATTGAGTGGGCATAATAATATTTTTTTTTCACCATTATATTTAGTTTTTCATTAAAAAAAAGATTTAAAGGAAAAAAAACTTAAAAAATAATTTTAGTTTTGTGTATATGTAATTAATAATATGCATATGTATGAAATCATCTGAAATAAAACTTGTTTTAACAGTTTACCGTTAAAAATCCAAGTACACATTCTTATCGCCTACAAACCAATAACTTTTATTAGTTTGGCTTAGAACATCCATGGATTATTTGTAAGAAAAAGGTGAATTCTTATACTGGTGAAATTAATGGAACAATTATGATTATGTTGAATTTAATTTAAGAAGTAAAGGATTTAATATATATATTTATTTATAGTTGGAATAAATTACAATACTTACAACAGTTCCTTCTGTACTTAAAGATTTTTCTTTCTTAGCTCTAAAGGAAAAAAAATTAAAATTGTTTAAAAAGGTGTGCTGTAACTATTATCATAAGACTGCAATCATACAAATGTTGAAAAGGAGTTAAACCTATAGTGCATGTGATGTATACATGCATTAGTTTTCTCTATTTTCAGTTTTGAAATGCTATTTATGTAGAATTAAAGTATTTGAATTAATAAAGTATAGCAATTTTACATTTGAATATTTTGCTTTTTAAAAAGACTTAGTTTTCTCTAATTTCAGTTTTGAAATGCTATTTATGTAAAATTAAAGTATTTGAATTAATAAAGCATAGCAATTTTACATTTGAATATTTTGCTTTCTAAAAAGACTTTCTAAAAGACTTCTAGACTGTAATTTTCTCCAAAAAGGTTTGTTTATCAGCAAATGAGGAGGAAAACCACAATCTAACAGGTACTTAAATTAATTAAAAAGATGCAAGCCATGGCAGCCCAGTGGTGCAAGTATCGGACTTTGGTTCATATGGACCAGGGTTCAATCATCCGCGAAGCCACTAAGATCCACTGAGTACATGAGATGTATTTGCTCATAAAAATATGTAGAATAGAAAGTTCTGTGGTCAGCGGCTGAGCAGTACCACGGGGACAGGGATCTGAAGAAAATTTTCTTTCTCTTCAGATCTCATTTATATCTAAATTGTGGAAGTGCTCTCTTGAGGGAGTGGTGTAGTCATCTATCTGCGGTGTTCAGAGCTAAGTCGCACTTTCATCCTAGCAGCATGCTCTTGTCATACAGAAACCAATAGCTAGCTAGTTTGGCTTGTCCAAGTGTCATTAGAAACAACAACATAAATTGGCAATTTTATTTCTTCTTAAAACTTACATTTCACATTCACCATAATTTAATCCTGTGATTCATGATCCTACAATTTTTCTCTTCAAATCAGATTGTTTTATTTTTCATGTTATTCACTGAGAAAAAAGATGGAGAGGGCAAATAAAAATTATAACCAAACTTCAAAAGAAATTAAGGTTTAGTGAGTAAAAATTAACATCCTAAAATTAAAAGAAATTCAAATTACAATAACAAATAAAGGATTTAAAAAAAAAGTAACTATAAAATTAAAAAAAAAAAATAGAATAGAATAATAATAAAAGTAAAAACAAAACTTTGAAACTTTTTAAGTTAATTTGGAAGTCTATAATTCAAAATATCTATTCATCAGAAATATAGCATCTAAAGTTATTAATTGTTATAATTGATTTAAAAATACATAGATAAACATTATTGCTTTAATTCCATTATTATTAATAGGTTAATCACTATTGTCGATAAGGTTGATTGGAAAAAACTTTTGTCTATTTTCACCTTATTGTCTATCAATTTACATCTTTCATCAATTTACTCCTATTTTTTTTTATAAAATACATAATATTAATAAATTTGTAACTTTTTTAACCCATCAAAAAGTGAAACAATTGAAATAAACATTCACAGCAGTTTTTTATATATTTTTAAAATTAAATATTCTTACCCTTCATGTTGTATTGGACTCAATGATCCTTCGACATTGCTAAAAGGAGAAACATGTTGTGTGTTAGAAGAAATTGGACTGCTTGTCTGATAAAAAGGATCACTCATTGTTTGTTTACTGCCTGATTTAACAGATTTTACACTAGAGGAAGTTACATCAAGGGAATCAATGTGAAAATCTCCAGCAGATGATACCGAGGGTACTCTACTACTCTCAACTTCGTTTATCTCAGATGGCACTTTATTTTCTGTTGGCACGGAGTCAAGAACTGAACTACTCTCCACTTGATTAGATATGGCATTTAATTGAGAGTGACTAGCCTTATTTTTGGCTTCATTGTCCTTTTTAGACAAATGTGAGCTGGAAGCTGCATCTTTTCGAACTGATATAGATGAACTATTATCATTGACAGAGTCTTCAGCAACACTTACAGCTTCAGATATGGATGATTGAGACTGTGATAGCACCTTTTGATTAATCAATCTTTCAGATAATTCGGATAATTCTTCGATAGTTTCTTCTGAATGAAGTTCTGAGTTCAGAGTTCCTTCTATCAGAGGCATTGGAGTTTTGGGGGATGAGTTTTTGGAGGAAATTTCTTGACTAGTAACTATAGTTTCTCCAATAAGCGATTGGTGTGTTGTAGGTGTTATGTTTTGGGAGGAAATTCTGAGACTAGAGTTAGCATCTTTTGGACTAAGGATTACATCTTTTTCACTTAAAGAATGTGGCAACACTTTTGAAACACCATTAGCCTCAGAAAATTCTGAACTATAAAACGTTTGGCTTAGTATATGGCTTGAGTTTTCAGCTGAATTCTCTTTAATATGAGAACTTTGTGAACCAGTTTCTGAAGGGGTTGTCTCTTTGTTCGATGTAATGGAAGTACTGGGAGTTTCTAATTCAGAACTAGATTTTTCTACATTGAATGGCAAATCTGTAAAAAAATTTACTTCAGTAAAAAAGAATAACATAGATAAAAAAATATCAAAATATGAAAAACAATTCTCATTTATTTAACTTATGAAGCTATAAAAATTTTAATTTAATAAAATCAGACTTAATTATTTTAAAACTATATGTTTTTCATGAAACAAAATAGATTAAGCTTTTATCATTTTAATTATAAGATATTCTCCTTGATTTATTATCAAAGAAAATCTCATTTTTTCCAATGGCGCAAATGTGTAAAAANAAAAAAAAAAAAAAAAAAAAAAAAAAAAAAAAAAAAAAAAAAAAAAAAAAAGATGATTTAAATAAATTTTTTTGTATATACTTATAATAATTATCTTTTAAAAAGGAAGAAAAAATTCAAGGAGGTTAATGATTATTACCCATTGGCAAAATGGGTGTTGTTTTGGGTTTGATGGTGAGCGCACCTTATTTCAACGTCATCACTCTTTTCAACTGTATTCAAGAGCAATAGTAAACAGTGTGCAAGCGTTGTCATTGCATGTGTTGCTATGGTGACCACTGCCTTTTGACAATTTTTTTAGAATTCTTTTTTTCACTTTTAATTTTGTTATGCATTAAGTTGGTGAGTTTATTTTTAAGATATGAGACAAGAGAAATCCCTTAAATACTTTTTGAGTTCTGAATAAAAGAGAATTTCATCCTTTGAATAATATTTCTGTTTTTATTGTTCTAATTAAGAATTAGAAATCCTAACCTACAGTTCAAACTGATCATTTTCAATACTAATTCAGGCGAATTTCACAAATAAAGAGGGTAAAAAAATTAAAAAAACTAAACAACAACTATTTTGCCAATGCGTAACCTGTGATGGCCTTTCAGCAATCACAATTTCTTTTTCAATTACTGAAATTCAAAGTTAACTTTATTTCACTTGGTATTACTTAATTTTTCTTTTATTATTATTTTTTTAGGTTCTACAACAAGGCATTTTAAAACATATTTTTGAAATTTTATCCAGAAAAAAAAATACCTATGGTAAGATCTTTTAAATTAAAAGGTATCTCAAAATGCTACATTTTATAATTTAAGATTTAGTGTGAAACAAAAATATTGAAGTTAATTTAAAAAACAAAAATAATTCACTTCACATAATTATAAAACGCTAATAAAAATGGTTGAACTTTTAATTAGTAATAAATCTTACCAATTGGCTTCCTATTGAAGGTGTTGATAAAATTGAAAGGATCAGGATTTTGTCTTAAAACCGTTACTCCAGTTTCTATTGTAGAAGTGGGTGGTGATGCACTTTTTACAGATGATTGCTGCAAGAAAAAAAAACTTATTAGTTCACAATTATATAAGTTTAGTTTTTGGTAATTTCTGAAAATATAACAGTTTAAGGAAATTGATTTCACCAATGCATTTTAACAAAATTTGATTAAATGTTTTTTTGATATAGACTATAATCAGCAAAAATAAGACAGCTTTTGAGTCAATTAATGGGTGAGGTAAGTCATCTAACAGGGTCATACAACTGATTTTAGGGACAAAGATAGATTAAAAGCACCAAATAACGAATAAAAATCTAAGTTTTCCAAATAGAATTTTTAAAAAAGGTTAATTTTTGACATTAATATTGAAAAGAGGACACTTTTAGGGACCTCTCAATGGACAAACTTAAAAAATAGAAACCACTTAGGAAAATGGAGATCTACTGGCAGCCCTGCATCTTGTCATTGATTAGTTCAATAAAACAACTTTATTTTACATTGTTTAACAGAAATTACAGAGTAAAGATTGCAATACTAATTTCATTTGATGAAATTGAATAAACAAATATTTTATTTTGGTTATTCAAAAACCAATAAAAAATGAAATTCTTTGTATTACCTGATTTTCATTAGCATTGATTTCATCTTCTGAATTTAAAGATCCTTCAATCAGGCTAATTTCATCCTTAAAGGGGAAAAAATGTTTTTCTTTCTCACCAAAGTGAAAAATAATTTCAAAGATTTTTCAAATAATATCTAAACTAAAATAAGACTGTTGCTACATAGGTAAAAAATTTTTCAAATTGAGTAATACTTACATCAGATTTTAAATTTTTGCTTTTTATAGGATCTAAATTAGATTCAACTGAGAGCTGAATTGCATCAGATTGCCTCCCAAGAATTCTTTCTAGTAGCTGACTAGTATCTCCAATATCTTAAAATAGAGTAAATAGAAAAAAAAGAAAAAACTTCAAAATGATGCAAAAAGTAAAAATACACAAAAAGTTAAACAAAATAATTCAGTACTTTGGGATTATACTGTCAACGTTTGCAAAATGCGCAAATCATTTGGCGCCATCATAATGAAAAACAATTTCCAAAATAAACATTCTAAACTCATAAAATGTATCAAATAATAATAATAATAAAATGTAAGTGCAAAAATATGTAATAATAAGGGTAATAAAAAGAATAAAAACAAAGGAAAAACCTTTTTTTATTCTTTATAAATACACATTGAATTATTCTTTAATCTAACCATATATATTATTATAAACCATTTCTGTGGCCAAAAACCCTTGATAGCTTTTAAAGTGAAAACAAACAAGTCATTATCCTTGTGCAGTGGCCGCCACATATACTAGTTAAAATATGAATCCAAGTGTTTTCGGGTAGTTCCGTGGTGTTGGCGGAAGATAAAATTTGCGGTTATTGGCGCAGAAGCTGCCTTCTATCGATGATATCGGGTTTGGCAAAAATGGTTGACAGGACAATCCCAAAGTATCAATTATTCAAAGTATCAATTACCAGTGACTTGCTCCTTGAAAGTAGTATTTTGTGTTGAATGAAGTGTTTTTGCAACATCTATTAAAAAACCTGCATTTACTTCTGGCATAGAGTTTGCATCAGAAGATTTCTCATTGGAGGCAGAAAAGCTTGATTTTTCTAGATGAATTGGTACAGGAGGAATATTTTCAACCCACTTCTTAGTTCGTATTAAATTTTCGAAAGGTTCTGATAAAGCCTCTATTGATTTCATAAGATGTTTTAAAGTTTCATTTTCTTTTGTACTAACCTGGGGACCTAGAGAGAAAGAAAATCAACTTTGTAAAAAACAAGATTTACTACTTCTTGCAAGCAGTAATATTTTTTTGCACTAAGGATGCTAGATTTATTGAACATAACAAAAGGTTACAAATATGAGCTATTTATTGGATTAAAACAGGTTTTTTGAAATAAACTGTAGGGGATATAATTTTAATTTCAATTGACTGATAGTTTGAATCATCATTTCCACATATAAAATGAGCTCCTTATAAAATGAAATGAAAATAGAATATAAATTTAAAACTTTTTGATGCAAGCAATTAAGTACATAAATGCAATTTAAAAGTAACTCACGGAACAGAAAGGCAGCAAAGATAAGTTAATTATTGGTTTATAATAAGCTGTTTGAAATAAGAAGTGACCAATATTTTAAATCTTCATTTCCAGTTAAAAAAAAAAAAAGAAAAAAAAGAAGAGCCCTATATTCATAAAAATTTTTCGAGACAGCGAGCTTTTGAGATAATGAGTTCAGAAACAAATATGTTCTAAAAAGTAGAAAAATATATAAATATATTCTAAAATAACACTCTAAAAAGTAACGCCATGAAATATAATAAAAACTACTAATAAATATTTAAATACAATTTTTTTTCTTTGAAATACCAAAATAATTGTGCATTAAAAAGAAAAGAATTGGTGTATAATAAACTAACATTTTGATTTTTCCAAAAAAATTCATTTTCTACTTTGAAAACAAAAATTTCAACATAACAAGGTTTTTAGAAGAAACTCTTAGACATAGGAATTCATATTAACATTAGGTATCCACCTAATGTGGAGGGTAACATAATGCTAAGGGGAAAAATATTTTTTTGACATAACAAGGTTTTTGAGACATTGAAGTTTCAGATATCAAGAGGATACTGTAATAAGAAAAAAGCATTTAGTTAGCGAATACAAACTAGACAATTTACAGAAATAAGGTTGGCACTGAGCAATGAAATTTCATAATCCTTTGTATTGACAAACACCTGAAAATGATGACTAATAAATATTTGATGAACAACAAAACATCATTTATACACTATTTCATACCGAAATTTGATTCATTTCAATAAAAATATTAATATTTTAAAAGTTCATTTTTCAGCTTTTTCATTTTATTATTTGTATTATGGTCATTTTTAATGCATACATTCTGTATTTAGTTATTTGTATTTGGGTTCCCACGTAATTTTAAAAAATATCCCTCAACTCTTCTGTCAATTTTGGTCTTTAATTTCGAGACAAATCTGAAACCCTATTCATAGTGTTTGGAAACCAATATGATACCAAACATTAAAATTTCATAAATTTGATAAAAATAAGCAATATTTTGCTTCACAGTTCCATTAAAAAAACAGTTACCAAATTATTAGTACTTTTTGTCACAATTAATTAAACAGTACTTGCATCAATAATAGTTTGGTAATTTTTTGTGGCTCCACAAAACAGAATGGTACTAAAGTATAATGTTTTAATGATGAATATTAACATGTCATAAAATTCTAAACTTACGCTTGGGAAAGGAAAATTTTTCAAAGTGAAATTTTTCATGAAAAGAATCACTTTCAGTCTGTCCGTCAGCTGGTGAAAAAGAATCCGGTGATAACATGTCAAAACTCGTTTGACAATATTGTGAATTCAATTTTGCCTCAGAAATCTCTACAGACCTAACAGACTTAACTGAAGGCTTTCGAAGTTTAGTCGTATTTTCTTTCCTTAGGCTAGAATCATTTCTACTATTTTTAGAATGTTCTATATTTCTATTAGATAAAATGTCGCCATTTTGCAAGATATCATTAGAGGATGGATTAATGTTTTCATCCTGGAGACAAAAAGTTTCATTATCAATGGAACTCCAGTGGGCAAATCTATTTCCAGCTTCATTAATACCCTTAAGTGGTGTTTTATGATTTTTTTGAGAATTTTCTTTAGTAGGTGAATGGACTATTGCCTCTTTGCTACTTTCTCTTATGTTGCTTTCATTTTGAAGATTGCTATGAAGTACCTGAAATCAAAAAATATAATTAAATGAAAAAATGTGTTAAAATAATGAGATAATAAAACCTCATAAATTAAATGCGAAATAAGACTTTATAAATGTTTAATTTATCAAAAGAGGTGAGCTTAAAACCGCAATCTTCTTGAATATTTTAAGAATTTTTGTGAATAATAATGAGTTAGATATTAATTGAATAGTGGATTAGGAAATGCATACACATTAAGCATCTGGGCAATGTATAAAGTTTTCCCTTAGGAGGAAAAAAAAGCTGTTTATACTTTTTTCACAGCAAGGAGAAGAAATCTGGTTTCTAATACCAGAAAATAGCAAGTTCAAAGTTTGGCTACAGAAATAACACCCAGAAAGAGTCAAAAAGTTAAACATAATCATATAAAAACAGCACTGTATTAAATATTTATAAAAAAAAAATCATTTTAAATACATTTAAAACTACTAGGTTACCACAACCACTTATTATAACAACTTGTACATAAGTTAAAATAATTAGAATAATATTGCAACTTCTTATATGAAGACAAAACTGCAAGTTTTCGAAGGGCAAGTCTTTGAAGGGAAATGGGGTACATTAATTTATGATTTTTAGAATACGATTTTTACTCAATAATGCAAGAAATAATATAAGAATATAAGAAATGATTTCATTTAAGATAAGAATATAAGATTATAAGAATATAAGATAAGAATATATGATTAAGAATATAAGAAATGATTTCCTAAATTTTCCTCATGAAATATTGTATCAGCAAAAACTTTGCTTAAAGGTAGAGAAATATATTAATTTGCTTAATATAACTTTTACTTAAATAATATCACTACAAAAAATAATTCATCTAATTTTTAAAGTGCATGGTTTTTTTTATAGGAGGATGAAATATCAAGCTTAGCAAGATTGTTGAAAAAAAAAAGGTCATTGTTTTGCTTAATATTACAACTTTTTAGGAGGAATACCATTATAAGAGAATCTAATAAGGTTTTATGACAGACTAAAGTAGAAAGTTCGGCAAGAAGTGCGGTACACTAATATTTTTCTTTTTCAATAGCATTCAAAATTACAAATCTACATTTGAACATTGGGACAAGCAAATATAATAAAAGATAAATTATTAATCAAATAAGGTAAATGTGCTTTTACGAGTAATAACAGATAGATTACTTACTTGAAGAGGTGAGGTAGATTTTGTAGGAGGAGGAATATTTTGTTTCTGATAGTCATATAGTTTCTGGAGCCTTTCTTTTTTGTTTTCAGCTTCTTGCAACATTTTCTTATGTTCATCTAATGATCGTTGTTTCCTTTCTTCCTTCTTTTTCTTGATGTAATTTCTTACAGAATTAACATCGTAGTGTCTTATTTTTGGAGATGGTGCTGTTTGATCTAAGAAAAAAAAACATTTATGAATAGAGCAAAATGTTTAATGTGACCTTTAATGAATGACTTTTAACTGAGTGGTTCAAGAACAATGTTTTAAGTCGGCAAAATGGCCCATTTTGGGTTAATATTCACCATATAAAATATTTTAATAGCTGACCTGTTTTATTAAATTTAAAACTTTAATGAGTAGAGTTGTTGTAGCTCGGAGGCTAGAGAATCAGACTCCATTCTGGAGGAACCAAGGTTTGATTGTCGCCAATGCTAAGACTTACCGAGTACATGCGATATGTATGCTCATAAAATTTGTGGAATTGGAAATCCTGTGGTTGATCGCTGAGCAGTACTATAAGTACAGGGATCTGGATAAAATTTTCTTCCTCTTCAGATCGACGTCTGATTTAAGAAAGTGAACTCACGGATAATTCGTGGCCTCATGCATCATCCAAGGGTATTTGAGCTATGACGTACTTTAGCCCTTGTAGTGTTCGCCTGTTAAATGAAAGATGAACCTGCCTGATTTAATTTCAAAATGCAAAAGGCCAATGGATGACGAGCTTGGCTTGCAAAAGTGTCATAAGAAACAACAACTTTAATGAGTGCTTTAAAAAATAAAAGTTCAGTTGGAAAAATATTCTTTTCAGTGTGATTTTCAGTTACAGTGTTAAAAAAGGAGGTAAAGATTGAAAATCCAGCAAAAGAGAAAACAGCACGAAAACAAAAATACAAATTTGCTTTTAAATATAAAAGCAACCATTTGAATCACAAATAAAGCGTGTTTTGGACATAAAGGAGCTATAGAGCATAGAAAAATTGTAATAGTTGTTCAAATATATATCGATACATTTGTACATCAACACAAGCTGATAAACATAGTTTTAGATGAAAATATGTAATATTATTTAAAAACATTTTTTAGTTAAAAACCTGGAAGTTTAGTGGCTTTTCTCTTGACACTTCTGATAAGTTTGGGTTTAATATTTTCTTTTTTCATATTATCATCATCTTCTACCTCTTCTTCAGATTCTGTTGAACTATCAAGACTAATTTCCTTCACAAATGAATTTGTAGGATTTTCTAGAAAAAAAAAAAAGAAAGTTTCACTGTTAGAGGAAATACATAGTAGTAATATGAAAAAATATTTAGAGTTATAAGATTTTACAAAATGTATTTATTTTCATTTCACCAATAACAAAAAGTGAAATGAGAATAGTAATTGAAGTATATTTGAGCAAGTGAAATATTGGTCACTTCCCTTTAAAATAAATAAATGAATAAAAATGTAACTCCACAAAATTTAAATTAAGGAATTTTTTTTAATATAAATATAATAAAATATTTAGAATCAAGCAATAAAAACATTACAGATATATTAATTACTTAAAATGGTTTCCCTTAAAACAATATTAACTTATTTTTCAAAGTTATTTTTGCATTATTGATGAAAATAGTAATTTAATATTATCTTATACTTTCTTAAATTTTTGATAACCTTAATAAAGAGGGGTAAAGTTCTAGTAATTTATGTAATGTATTTGGTTTTATTTTGTCATTTTTAAACAATATGTATTTTTAGCACAACTTTTAATTTATAATTTTCATGGTATAAATCTCCAAGCATTAGTCTTGTCTTTTCAGAATTTCAAGATAGTGACTTTCCTGAATCAAAAACAAATTCTGTTCAATATCATTGAATTGTAGTAGTGTGTAGTTAGTAAATATAAATTGGTCCATCACTTGCCGGGTTAATTATTATGTTCACTAGATTTTGATTTGATAGCCAAAGGAATGATTTTTTTTTTAGCTTCATACAACATCTCCAAAAAAGCAATTCAAATGAAAAATTTTTGATATCCAATTGCCAATTTCATTTTAAAATATGATGGGGACAGTTTCATAAAAAATCCAAAATATTTCTCTACTATTTCATACTATATATTTTTCAGAGCATTATGATAAAACCTATTTTATTTTTTATAACATTATTTTTAGATATAATTTTTAAAAATTAAACTAATCATTAAGTTAAGGAAAAAGAATAACAGGAAAGTTATAAAACTCATTATTTTTTCCTTCACAATAATATAAAAATTATATATCTAAACTTTTTTTAAATTCAGAATTCAATAAAAATGTTTTAAACAATGGCGATTTACTTTAAGCAAAAAGGACTTCGGTTGTTTTTCTTTATAATTAAAAAAATACCTCGTTTTTCACTAGGTTTAAATTTACAACAATTACAATATTTAAAGATTAATCATTAAAAAATTCCCTTTCTGAATAACATATATATAAATCACAGCATAAGGTTGACATTGGTGACAATGATAATTTTAATTAATATAATAAATGTATGTTCATAAGCTGGCAAGCTTTAACTTAACAAAGGATAGCCCCATGACTTCAAACATAATGAATGATGAGAATATGAAAAATAATTGAAATACAAGAATTAAGGGAATAAAAAAGAATAATATACAACTAAAAAGAATAATATAGATAATAAGAATACTATATGAATGAGAATAAGAATTAAAGAACTAAGTATAATTGCTTCTCTAAGCGATATTTTAGTAGAAATTGAAATTTCTCAGGAAAAAAATCTTCTCTGAGTCTTAGTATTCATTATCAGCGGAACAACATACCGGAGCGGATTTTGGATTTTCTAGAACATTTCGCTAGGCAGTTCTCTTTATTACCAGTTCGTTAACCTAATGATTTTGAAATCTAGATTAATGGAATCCAGCCATCAAAGTTTTGGACAGCCTCTCTAATTAAGGAATTACCATTAGGTTTACGTTTGAAAATCGTATGTGACATCTAAATGGCAATTTTTCAAAGTAAATGTCATTCTCTTTAACTTATTAAATTTTATTATACCAAATCTTATTACTACAGCATTAATATATTTAGCCAAGTTATCCATTTTCATAGAACATAATGGATAAAAGAAATAAATGGCAATTTTGAGCATTTTTGGAGAGAAAGAAGGTTCCACATGCATTTTCAAAAAAAAATTTGATGGGAAATATTAGAATGCCTCTTTTTTTTTTATAGAGAAAATTAGAATTTCCAGAATGTGAAAATATGATGCAAATAGTGCAAATTAAACCTATTTTCATTGCCTTAAAATAAAAGCATAAGAAATTAAAAAATTTAGTTCATGTTCTGAATGATGCCTCACATCTCCCTATAATATTAACCTATAATCTTGAAACTTGGTCAGAAATTATATATTAATTGTATACCCTAACATACTGAACCAAAAAATTATAGAGAAATTAGAGACCACAATATGGGGTATAATATGGTCCCACAGTGCAACCCATGAAAAAACATGGAAATGATTTATAAAGCTTGAATTGCATTCGACAGCCAGTTGGATGTAGGGTGTGGTTTGAAGCAAAAACTGCTGATCTTGTGGTGCGTGGTTTGATTCTCAGCCCTGTTGAATTTAGCAACTTCCATTACAGAACAATTTTTTTTTTAAAAATATTTATTTTATAATATGGTAGACTAAATAAAGTATTCCTTGATTTTTTATTCCTCTTTTAATTTTTTTTATTTATTCCTAAGTGCATTTAAATTTAAAGCTAAACAAATTCACTAAAATATTACAAACAAGTTACATTCATTCAGTTCTACAATTATGAGAATAATTAGATATATGCTAGAAAAGCTAGATTTATCATAATTAAAATTTTTTTTTACAAATTTAAAATATATATTTTACATATAATTTCAAAACTCAAAAGTACTCACCATTTTGAGATGATTCCTTAGATGAAGATGATTCTTGTGGAGATGATTCTTTTTTCAAATCTTCATTTTTAGGCGAAGGGCTAGAAACACTACTAGACACTTTATTACTTGAACTTTGACTTTTCTCTTCATCATTCTCCATTTGTAAATCAGAGTTTGTATTAAATTTTTCAGAGGATTTTGCAGTTTCCAGGTTTGGATCTTAAAGTAGAAAAACACAGCATTAGATATAGGTTAATCCTATTATTTAAGGCACAAGGAATTTAAAGGATTTTTAAAGTTGATAAAATACAAAAGCTATATCCCCCTCTAAACTATAAATTTTTCATAAATGTTTGAAAAAAATAAACTAGTGCTTAGAGGGTCATTGATTATATAATGAAAAACAATCATTATTAGATAAGCCTCGCTATACTAAATTATTCGAAAATAATAATTAAAACCTATTTTTTCAGAGATATAAATGAATTATTGTTTCCACACCTTGAACATATGATTGAAATTAAATGAACTTCAAATAAACAATAATAAAAAAAAATCTTGATACTTAAAGTTGCATTTGAGCTACTATAAAACACTGTAAAATATTACAAAATATTTTTTTCTTGAAAAAAAAATATTTAAAAAAAAATTACATTACACAAACTGCAACAGACAAAAATAAAAAGTTACTTACAGTTTTTTTCATTGATGGCACTTCTACTAGCTCTTTTCAAAATGTCTTTCTCCCCATTACCTAAAATTGAAAAAATCGCAATGATTAATTACTAATGTATATTTATGAGAAAGTAGTACAGGGCATATGCCTGTACTACTGGTAACATTGTATATATTGGTACATATTGGTAACATTGATAATTGTTTTTTATAGTTAAATTCTAATATTTGCAAATTCAAGCTGTCGCTGACCGTCTTTATGAACACTAGAGACAAACCATTGTAAATAACACTTAAAGTCTTTAATGCACAAACCCCAGCAGATTAAATAATTTTAAAATTTGATTTCAACAATAAGTAATTTTTCTATTTATATATTTCTAAGAAAATTAAAAAGATTAAGTTCAAATAAAATCAATATATCTAATGTAGTTCCAGAGTTACAACTGATGGCTGAGAATTGTTGCGAGCTAAAATTTACCCCCCCCCCNAGTTCCCCCCCCCCCAAAAAAAAAATAGCTTTCACAAAAACAAGTGATAGACATGCAGCGATCGACGATATATCATTATCTGACAGAATTTCGAAATCATAGGTATTTATTCCTATTTCTGATTTCAAAAAGTAATTGTAATCAAAGTATCAATTATATGCAAAAATAATATTAAATAGCCATTTTTTTTTTGAGGGAAAATAAAATTTTAAGAACTATGACATATATATTTGGAACAATTATTAAGTTTTCAATGCTATTATTTTCTAAATAACTTGTTAATTTTTCGATAAAATAAGGGATTTTATTTCAAGTAGAAAATTTTTCAAATAAACTAGAAAAAAATTACATTATGTTCACTAGATTTNCAAAGAATATAAAGTGGTTTTGATATCTTTCAGAAAATTTTAAAGCTATTTGTCAGAACTCCCCAACTTTGTAAATACAGAGATTCAAGAATAACACTGGCATTTACTGTTAAAAACTCTCTCTAAAATAAACAAATTTCACTTTTTCTTTTGCATTGAAAAATTAAAAATACTAGAGAAGTTTAGTAAAGGAATGGTTCATATTTCTTCTTTACCAGATGACAAATGGGCACATTATTTTCCCACTGGGATAAGTGAACATGAATAAGGTCTACTTATTACTCATGTGTTCTACCTTTTTCTTTTGTTAATTACTAATTTTTGGTAATGGCAACTTCTATACCAAGTATCATGACATATTTGAATGCATCAAGAACTAATGATGATTCTTAGACATTATGTTAAATGAAAGGGAAAATAAAAAAAGTTGTGATTGCCTTATTACGATCACTGGTTACCCAATGGTCAAATGCTTTTTCTTTCTGGATTGACTCTGTTAAACACCACAACATGGTTGCAAAAACTGTCTCAATTGATGTTTATTGCCAGTGGTTTCCAAATCCAATTTTTTTTTTAAATTTTTTTTTTTTAACAAAATTGAAATCACATATTTTCATGAACCTATAAACCATAACTTTATACATTCTGATTCTGCCCAGTACAGCAAATGCCTTTCATTATTAAGAATTCAGTATTTTAAAAATCATAATTATATAGGTCTCATAATAAAAACATTAAAACCATACTGTTCTCTTGGAAACAACCAGGGAGACATTTTAGGAATTTCAAATATGGTTATAGAAATGTTTTGATGCTATACAAGAGTAATGTTCTTCAGATATTTAATGACCAATTGGAACAGCAATCAGAGATGAGTTCAGAGGTTGAATGCATTAATGAATGTGAAACACTGAAAGTGAACAACTGAAACACTTTGGTGAGGAGAAAGGCAGAATGGAAAAATATTTTAAAGAAGAGCTAGGCCCACAAAACGTTTCCAAGTTACATAAAATAATAACATTAATTTACCTGAAGCATTTGCACTGAATTTTTTGTTTAGGTGTGATATTCGCTTCCTTGATAGTTTAGGTGATGGCACACAAAAACCTCTATATGAAGGAACAGATGATACATTGCGTATTTTTCTGGTAGGGGGGAGTTTGATTTCTTCTTCCATTTTGGTATCATCCATTATGGGAATTTTTGGCTCAGTGGTGGTCCCATTACCATTAAAACTAGAATTGGTATCTTTGATGGTATTAACACTATCATCACTTGTTGACCTCCTTTGAAATTCTTCACTCATTTTCTTTTGATTTTCAACCATCATTTGCATTTTACGGAAACCATCTATAAATAAAATAAATGCTTTAAAAACTAATTATAACAATTAATAAACTAATAAAACAATTAATTTATTAAACCACAATAATACAATCCTTTATGTAATAATAAAATAATTGTTTTGTTAAAATTAATATTACAAATGGAAGAAAAGTATTAGGCTAGTTTTTTTTTTTCAAATCATAAAATTTTTAGTTGTAATTCCATGTCATGCATTGTAATATCATGTGTTTTATTTTTAAAGTAATTGATACACTTGTATACTCATGAACACAATTAATATTTGATTATTTTTATTAGTATACGAGAATCAATTATCTACAAATTTTTTTTCAAAAGAATCGGAAAAAAATTAAACTAAATGGAGGCAATATGTTTCTAAGGGGTCTTCAGATTACACATTTGAAGGAAGATAGGTAGGTACTTTATTTATGTCGCACTAGAGCCGCACAATGAGCTATTGGCGACGGTCTGGGAAACATCTCCGAAGATGATCTGAGGTCATGCCATCGCAATTTTGATCCTCTGCAGAGGTGAAGGTTCCCCTGCTTTGGTAGCACGCTGACCTGCATGCGAAATCGAGCACTACACGGTCGAACAGTTTAACGAGGACCAATACTGCACACCCTTGGTTCCCACACAGGCTGGATGGATGAGATTACAATATTTAAAGTCTTATGTTGCTCATTTACAAAGAAAAATAATCTTACCCCTAGTAAATCTAATACGACGAGGCACCTTTCCATTAGATACAGTAACCCATTTATATTCATGGTTAGAATTTTCTACTTGAGCAAGTGCAACACTTTTAGGTTCAAAGAGAGACTTTGGCACTGTTTCTTCTACAGCTTCAACAGGGGTAGATTTAACAAAAGAAATGTCACTTCCTTTTTTCTTACTCAAAATTCCATGGGCTTGCATCAAATCTTCACTTCTAATATAAAAGACAATTTAAAATAAACTTATGACGAAAATGATAAGTAAACTAAAGTTTTATTTTAAGAAATAAAGAAGAAAATTTGAGAATTGAGAACAGAATTTAGAATATTTCTATGCAAATAAAATAAGTTATAATCTTATACATTTACAATAGATTTCCACAAAGAATTAAAAATATGGTTTTACATAAGTATTTGCCAATTTTTTAAAAATAATTTTGCTAGTTAGGCAGAAAAATTGTTAAAGCATGAGATGACAAATTTCATGAAGAGAATAAAAATGTAATAACTACTATATAATAATGCATGTCTGTGACTAAGCAAATTTTAAGCTGTATCAAATTTTTGATAAAATCTCTTTTAAACTAATGCAGACATACCAACCTCAAAAATTCCAAAAGCCCAAGACATTTTGTGATCATGGTGTAGCATAATGGGCAAAACGATAATAAAAATTAAAAAGAAAATGACATTCTTTAAATTAAATTAACTTTTACACCTTTAAAAATTGTGAAATAATAAATTAATATATTTTGTAAAAACAGATAAATCTGATTTAGCATTTCTTAAAAATGTGATGCAAAAATTTTCTTGTACCTCTTTCTGGATTGCTTTTGCAGTTAATAAATTCAATTCTCTAAAATTTGTTTTGAGAAGAAAGATCAGAATTAAGTTTGTATTTTTGTTACATGGGTGAATATTTTCTCGCAAGTTGCATCACTCTAAGAAATGGTTTATATCTCCAGCATAAACTTGGCCATTATACTGCTGACATCTTTCTGCTAATGACTTTTACACCATATTGCATCAGTGTTCAAAAGAATAAAAAACTTATATTCTGTAATAACTTTGCACTGTAAAGTGCAAAAAAACTGAGTCTCTGGAACATAAAGAAACCTTTATTATCTTTTCTAAAACTTTCATGAACACAGAAAAACTATCAAAACGAAACTTAGTGCTTGAAAAAGAAACAATGGAAATATGGCGAATGGAATTAATGGCAAACAAAATCAAATTAAGTAAATATTAAAAAAAGAAAAGGAACTCATTAGTTCGAATTTAACTAATGTTTATTTTCACATGACAAACTTGTTACCAAAAGCATTGTTGCTTTCAAGCTGTTATTTAAAGATTTAATATAAAATAAAAACAATCTTTTATCCTCATCTTTTTATTAAGTTTTTAATGCCAAATCTCATGCTGTCAAAATTATATGTTAATAATTGCACCTTTTTATTTCAAATTATATTCATTAACAGTACCAGATACATTTAAGTATGGAATATCACACACACTTCTAAGAAAACATCTCTAATCTATATTATAGAATACTCAGTTGCAAACATAACAGAAAAATTATTACCTTTGCATCACTTGTGAAAGTCGCTCCTCAATTTCTCTATAAGTATCAGCTAATAATGATGATGTAGAGCCTGAAGAAAATGACTCATTATAAGGAGGAATTGATGAAATAGAAGAATCACTGGATGGTACTAAGAAGTCACGAGGAATCTTATCTGTTTTAAATAAGGCATCTCTTGGCGCGGTTTTAGTTTGATCAAGATGATTCTCAGGAGACTTTGTTGCCCAACTGCTATTAAGATGATTAATTCTCCCAGGTGCTTTTTTAACTGTACAGAAAATATTCTCAATTGTAAGCATAGTTCTCAAGGAATTTAATCTTCAACATCAAATAAAAATATAGCAATCAAAACATTTAAAAAAAATGAAGCATAACTCCAACACTTTAACGAATTCTAGTTCACAAAAGGAGAGATTTAGTTCAATGTTAAAACAGTTAAATGCTTATGTATGCGTTCAATTCAACAAAGAAGACATATAAAGTTTTTACAAAGAATATAGGAACATTTTATTCTTCCATCTTAGTTAGTAACTTATTTTTGAAACATAATTGCAATGATTTTTTACTTTTATAATATTTTTAAAAAATTGTAATGATTTTTTTTTAGTCAGAAACATTTTGGTATTGAATGATACAATAATTATTCAAAATTTACAAAAATAAAAAGATATCTCAATACTTACATCTAAACTTTTGTTTGTGAATAAATTTTTCATTCTGAGGAAATTTTTTTGAAACTGTTTCCTAAAAATACAACAATAAGTTATGAAAAAAAATAGATTTAAACATATACAATTAAACACGCATGTTACTTAACATCAGCAGCTAGACTGGTCAAATTACCAGTCTTTTGGAAGAAAGTGGTAAAAGGGGGTTGCACTGAAAAAAACTATGCATTAGACTTTTTTTACCTCTCATGAAAATTAGCTTTTTATATTTTTAGACACTAGATTTGGTGCTAATAAAAAATTGATAAAAAGAATGATAACTAATGGAGTTTAAATTATTAAAGCTTCTTTTAAATTTATTTCAGATTCATTTTTTTTCATAGCAGATACATTAAATTTTTATACTAAAATATGCATAGAAAAAATTACAATATACAATGTTGCAACAATTTGAAACAAACTCTTTTACTCTAATTGAACAAATATATAATAAATCTATCTAACATAAATGATTGTTTTGAAATTGAAATCTGAGTATCAATTTTAAATATTTGGACAAATACAGCATCTTAACATTAATGTGTAAAAATGATCCATTTTGAGTTTAAAGTTACAGTTACCAACTGCAGATCAAGCATTCAATCAGCTAGAGATAATTATTAAGCATTAGCTAAAAAAAATAATTGACTTAAAAAATGGGAAATGATTCTATTTGTAAATGTCCTTAGTTAATAATGTTATTTTATTTTATAATCCGAGTGGAACAACTGATCCAATTTTTGTGTTTACAACTACTAATGTTCAACTCCGTAGCCTTGTAATTTTGAACCCAATCCAGAAGACAAGGAAACTCCTGGATTAAGTATTGGGAGAAATTTGACTTCATGGAGGACATTGATGGAACAAACCTTCATTTGCATTACATGGAGAGGAAAACCACAAAAACCTCCCATGGTTAGCCTGATAGAGAGGGGACTCTAACCCATGATCCGTCTACTACTGACGATATTGGCTAATAAAATTTTTATTTTAAATAGCAGTTGGAAGTAAAAACAATTCCAAACAATACAAATAAGACATGCATAAATTAAAGTGGCACATTATGATTTTTTCTGCATTCAGATTCAACATCACGGTTAAAACAAGGAATAATTACTTTTTTCATCATAAGAGAATGTAAACATACAGTACAAAGCCCCATACCTAGAGGTCCCTCCTTTTACAGGAAACGCCCAGACAACTTTTTATGATCAAAATAACAAAAATCTCTTTTTATCTGTACCTTCTTTTATGCTTGTGATCTTTTAATAAAGGTATTAATTAATTTTTTTCCTTCTTGCTACTTTTCTATTACACTAAATATTTATTCTGCCTTAATAAAAGAGTTGTTGAAAAGATGAGAGCAATTAAAGAAAAACAATTATGTAATAAGAATAAACTATGAATATTTATAGTGATTGAAAAGTAAGCCAGCATAAGGCTCAGTTTCTCTTTAAATTATGATAAATTTTAATTAATCAAGTCTACTCAATTCCGTCATTGTTTCAAATTTCTTAAAATTTACTTTTGGAATATGAGGGTTTTTTTTAAATCTTATTTTTATCTGATTATATACTCAGTTAATTCTTTATATCAGGTAGGAAAGAAAAGAGAAGATGTGTCTTCATTCATGAAAGAGAAAGGTCATATTATCATCTGCTCACTTTTATTTATTATTTTAGCCCATAAGGATTTTATTTAGTATTAACGTTATGTTAACTGTCATCCATTTTTTATAGAACAAAGCATGTTATGATGTTTGTAAAGATGTATAATCCAAAAACTAAAAGAAGATTCTAGATACGAGACTTTTGCTTTATATACATACATAAAAGCAAAGTAAATATAATTAAATAACTACAGAAAATTATGGCTAAAATTTTTTGCTAATTTTCTATTTTCTTCTAAAAACAATTTTTTTAATAAACTCACTAGACAATCTAGATAATAGATAATTTTACTGAAAGTTATCATCAAAGTTTGTAAGGGTTAGAGGAACTAAATAACTGTTTTTTTTTTTAAAAGACTGTGATCAAACAAACTGAAAATATTAAGATTTATTTTAAATAAGTATTTATGAGCATTTTTGAAAAAGTGTTAACACAAAACCTTCATAAACAATTATATTTGATTCTGTTTTAGCTCTTAAATAGTTAAATTTTTATATAAAGGAATAGTTTAAAAGGTACTGAATTCAATATTAAAATACATGTTATAATCCCACACTTTATAGTTTTCAATACACAATAAAAAGAGAGTAAAATATGGACTGTATTAAGCTATTACCAAGAAACAAGTGTTTTCAATTTATAAAAGCAAAATTTTTATTTTTTTAAAAGGAGAGAAAAAGGAAGAGTTTGAATAAATAGTTCAATAAATAATTGACTAACACTTAAAAAGTTAATTAGAGAAAATTTTAAGTGTAATTTTAGTGAATTTAGGAACAATATCCTTAGAGAGTATAGTAACAGCTGAGGCTGTTTAAGAATCGTATTTCGTCATTAAAATTGCCTTATTTTATGAATGGGCAGAGGAAAATAAAAACCACTGACCATAGCATGTTTTAAAATCCAATATTTTAGGCATTAAAGCAGTGTTCTCCCCAAGCGTTTTTTTTTGAAGGACGGCCCACCCTGCTTGCTCTTTGATGCCAATAAATGTGCCCCCTTTGCCCTTTTTGTAAAAAATGGCAACATCTGATAAAAACACCGGCTTTTCATTCACATTGCATTCTAAAGAAAAATTAATTAACTGTTAAAATAATAATTACACACAAAAACTATTTGTATTTTATAGGTTTAATTCTGATTACTATTACAAATATTTACTTTGTTAGGATTATTCTCAACTGGTTAAATTTGTTATAAGTTTCTCTTTTCAAGGGGATACATCAATAAATTTTTTAAGTAATTTTAAAATTATTTTTTAAATAAATTATTATTATTATTACAGTAGAGTCCCCATAATCCGATCCCCGGTTATCCGAGTTTCCGCTTTAACCGAGCTATCAAATATTTTAAGGATTTTTTTGTTCTAGTTTATTTTTTATTTTCAAAAATGCAGCGGAAAAATAAATCTGAATTTTATCTTCCAAACACTCGGGAAAACTAAATCTAACAACTTGATCCCATGAAATGATCGTTAATATCGTCAATAATCTTTTCAGAGAGAAGCGCCCTGCCCTTTTCTATTCCTAGGGAGAACTCCACATTAAAATATTACTTAGAACTTTCTTCCACTAGATGCTTCATTGAAATTTAACAATAGACAATTTTTTTTTGAAGAATAAAATTAAAAAAAAAAGGCCACTTCACTTTATAAAAATGTTTTCTGCTTTCAGGTTTAATTCTATAATCTTCTCGCAAATAAGCAACATTTTTTGAACTAGTTACAGGGCTTCTCGTCAACTTCGTATCATGCTTTAAATTTTTTTTGCAATCAAGTAGCTTTTCTTCAGCAAGTTGCACCTGAAAAGAAAATAATTAAGAGTAATAAGTTAATTTAACATTAAAAACATAAGTTATTTTAACTTCATATGACATTTCATATAAAACTTGTCTTAACTTCAAAACAAAGGGTTAAAATATTTCTAGAATATACAATTGCTAAATATTAGTAAATTTAGATGAATCCTAATAATTTTAGAAAAAAAGCAGCTATGTCCATACCTCTTCTTTTAAAGCATCAATTTTCTGTTGAGCTTTTTCAAAACCTGAAATTTTAAAGTAAACAATATTAATTTATATAAAGTTCTCTCTGAGAAAAATTTTAAGAGTTTTAATAAGCATAAGAAAATTAGCAGTAAAATAATACCAGTAAAACCAATAATGATTAAATACAAAAATAACTAACGTAACAATTTGTTTTAAAACTTCATACATTAATTTAAGTTCTCGCAACACCCTTTTTTTTCATTGTTCCACTTTTTCTATATTAGATAATAATGATATTTAAATACCTAAGAGCATTGTACTAAATCGTTAAAAATAACTAAAATACAACAGAAAATCTTTTTTCTTTATTAGTTACATTACTTTTTTTTTTTTACTGAAAATTACTTTTCAGAGACTATTATACCATAGATACACAATGAAATTTTCCCCACCATACAGTAAAGTCAAACATACAGTATAAACTCTGGACTGAGCATTTTTCGACTCTTTCACAAAAATTGAGAGAGTAACAAAAGATAAGCAAGAAATAAATAGAAACATTTAGCATGCACTTGGATGATGTGGAAGCATTCAGTGCAGTGGTGTAGTTTTTGAGGACAAAACCCCCTCCAAAACTATACATAACTTGATTAATGAGTTATTTATTATACAGTAAGTAGGATGTAGTTTTAAAAAAATTTTCATTATTGATTTTTTCTAATTTAAATATTTGGAGAAAAATTATATATATATATATATGGGTCATTCTCACAAAAACAGTCATTTTCATGTCCCCAGTATATTTTATGTTTGTTTAACANTTTTTTGTGATTTAAATATTTGGAGAAAAATATATATATATATAGTACAATAAAGAAAAAAAGGATAAAAAGAAAAAAAAAAGAGAAAAACTAATACAACTTTTATTGTAATCATGATGATAATATTAATTTTAATTTTTGGGTATTAAAAAAGAAGAAAATAACTGCTTTGTTGACTTATACAATAAAAGAAATGATTTTAATTTCAATATAAATAATGCTTCTAAAAACATTAATTTAAATACAATGAACGGAACAACAATTTTAACAAATGAACAGAATTAAAAAAATATGTTCATTTATCCAAAAAACAAATAGACGAACTATTTCAAAATTTGATAAAAAACAATGGATACCCAGCTAAAGTAATTAAATTCTATACAAAATAATTTAGTTAATCGTATGTTATTATTAATAAATTTACAAAAAACTTTGTTACTTTATATTTTTACTGTGAGCAAATTCAACTAGGGCAAATCGGTGGCTAAAAATCATGTTTTTCTCTCTCGTTCTCTCTTTTTTAAAAAAATAAATGTTAATTTTCCAAAATCATTAAAATTGTATAATTAAATATCAACCTTATTAGTTATAAACTTCTTTAAATTATCCAGTATAATATTATTATCTTGCACACATCCATTTTTGGGCCAATCCTTGATAACTAACAAATCAAAAAAGCTTCAGTACGGTAGTAAGAACACGCCATAAAACAAAATCCCTCTTTTTACGCTTTTATCTCCGTTTGCGCTCATGTTTTCATATTTTGTAATCTGGCAATTTTATTACGAAAATATTTTCAATCCTTCTTGAAAGATTCCGATACACATAAGTTCATTTGAATTCACTACTCGCTTTATAAATTTTGCTGTTTTTTTCCTTACATTTTATTTTCTGTTTCTTGCAAGATATATTTTTTACTTAATGTGTTCTATTTTTAAAAAAAAATTTTTGAGTGCCCCTCACACTATTGTATTAATATATTTTGGTTTGCCTGTATTGATACAATATTAGAAAGCACTCCTTTTAGCGGATATAAATGTGTGAACAGATGAAGAGATATCTTTTTGTTTTCTGGTTTTTTTAATATTTATTTTTTAAATAATAATACGTAATTTCAGTAATATGTAAAATCCTGTAATATGAACAACTGTTTATGCTGACAGATGTGGAGTTAATATTTGCTTAAATTTTTGATTACACAATGAATGTGTCAAAATATGCTTACCTATCCAGGTAGATTCCCGACTACGAAACATTTCTAATTAAATATTTTTAAACTTTGACTCATAGAGCCAGAGGAAATATTTCTATAAGAAAGCAACATAGAGATGTAGATAATAATTTTCACTGATATTAGAGGTAAATTAACAATTGAAACTAAGTTTAAATTGGAAAATCGAAAGAGTTACAAGTAAAATAAATCATATTAAGGAAATAATCCTTGGTTAATTCTCAATTTAATAAAATATCTAATTTAAAAGATGAACCAGTTAGCGATTGTTTACTTTTCAATTTTGTTATGGAAACAAAGGAAACTTTGCCATTTTTAACTTTCAAAAAACTAATAAATAACTTTTACTTTGAAATATTTTAAATGTAATTCTCTGGAAGTAATGATGAATATTAGGAAGTTTTTAAACAAATAGAACTTATAAATGTTCAGTTTATAATTATTTTGGCAAATTAATCCGTTTTTTCAGCAAATATTTTTTACTCTCATTCGATTAAATAAAGGTTGCAAGAGACAGAAAAAAGCAGCTGTAAGCGTACCAAACGCATAATTACAAAGCAGACTGAAAAAAATTGAAAAGTTTTTTCCAGGTTTTCAAAGTTGTTCTTGTTTTACGTGTCATAAATTATGTGTGTCTCACAAACTTTTCATTATTTTTTGAAATACTTTTATTTAAATTTTCCGCATGAAATATTTAAAGTTTGAGAATTAAACTAATCATTACTCAAGATATTATCTATTTTAAATATTTGAATTAAATTAAGAGCTATGCTAACATGAGATTTTTTAGAGAAAGAAGTTTAGAAGATTTATGTCTAAATACGGTAGTAACTTATTTAGGTAATTCCCATTCACTCTCTGCATTAGGAGAGAAATACAATACTTTCCTACGTAAGTTAAATCCTTTTACTTAAAGTTTTTTGATCTGTTACTAAATTAAAACTTCTTTTACTATTTTGCGTCCTTTTTGCAACTACTAAGCTTTGATAATTAAATTAATCTGGACTTATTATTATTTGAATAGTTGTAAGGTTTTGTTATTTTTACTAATTGATATACGGTGTAAAGTCGCGTATCCGGAATCGGTGGGACTTCCAGAAGTCCGTATAATAGATTTTTCCGTATAATACACCCCCAAGGTAAACAAAGCTTAAAATGATTTAATAAACGATCTGAATCTAAGAAGCAAAAAATAAATAAACACTATTTTTAAGGGGAATAATGTTTTAGCATTAAAATATCTAATCAATCAAATATAAAATATTAGAAAAAAAATATTATTGCTGAAAATATGGAAAACGAAAAAAATTTAACAGTTACGAAAATATTAATCCGCCATTTTGAACTAGAACGATTCAAGCAGGAAGGGGAAATTCTGGAACAAAGCTTAAAATGATCTAAATCTAAGAAGCAAAAAATAAATAAACATTATTTTTAAGGGGAATAATGTTTTAGTATTAGAATATCTAATCAATAAAATATGAAATATTAGAAAAAAAATATTATTGCTTAAAATATAGAAAACGAAAAAAAATTGACATATGAAAATAATAATCCGCCATTTTTAACTAGAATGATTCAAGCAAGAAAGGGAAATTCCCGTCATTCATTAAGGTGGGTAGGTGGAGGAGAAAAATTCATTTCCTCCTTATTTGTGAAAGAAAATAAGTGTAAAGAGGAGATCATTTAAGTTGAGGGTGGGGAAGTAACAAATTATTGTTTTCTCTCCAATCATTGGCTATCAATCAAGCATAAAGGCGGGGCACGCTGATCGGGTTCTCTTTATTTTTTCTTCTATGACTGAAAGAATCTGCTAAAGAAAGAATGTTACCCCCTTTTCCCCCCGCCTCCTAAATATTACATGGTATGGGGAAGAACGAATGTTTTGTTTCTCAAGGACGTGTATCCTTTTAGACCTATTCAAATTTTCCATTTTGACTCCCCCTCCACCTTAACGCTTGCCCCGTTTACCCTTTTCCACAGTATTTCTTCTTTCAATAAAAAGGTTCCAGGAAATGCCTCTTTTACTAGCCACCTGCATGGGAAAGGAGGGGGGGAGGGGACTCAGTTGCGGTCTTTTGAAAACAAATCTCCCTCTTTTTCCTACATTCCAAGGGAGGAGCGACACTAACGGTCACTCAATGGTCTTGGTAGATCTTTACTTCCCCTTTCTGGTGATTTATGGGTTCGATGCATAAATCAGAGGTTCAGTGCAAGCTAGAAAAAGAGAAAATGCGTCAAAAGATTTTTTCTTCTTTTTTTTTAGGAAAGGGGAAGATGGAGGGATGTTTGTTTAGTTTATTTTGATTGTTAAAAAGTGTCCGGGAAATCGACCCTTCCGGGAAAGGGACGTCCGGATATGGGACGTTACACTGTAATTGTATTGTATTAGGTTGCTCTCTGTTGTATGTGATTCATTTAGTTTCTTTAATACATCAAACTTTAATACTGTTGAATTTTTCACTCAGCTGGGCACTAGCGTAAAATCTTCAAATAATTAAGACCTTAGCCCAAATAAATAAATTGAAAAATTCGAGAACTATAGTTAATTATATTTATTTATGGTAGGGATGTTACGGGTACTTGGCAATTACCCAGCCAGATTATCTTTACACAGACCTGAAAAAATAATTTCAGCAGCAGGTTCAGGGTGAGTAGACCCAGTTTTTAGTCTTAAGACTCGGCATTGGTTATCTGGTGATTGATATTACACTAAGAAGATTTTTGTACCGTAACCTGCAGCAGAATAACTGCCAAGTCTTAGCAAAAGCTCATGAGTAACTGAATAATAAAAAAAATAAGAACTGTGAGGTACAGGGTAACTGAACACAGTTTTTAGTCTCAAGGCCCAGTATCAGGGACCTGAAACCCATTTTTAGTTCTATTACCCAGTTTTTTTTTACGGGTTATTCAGTGCTGGGTACCATACATTAGAAAGACTTTTGTATCGTGATCTGCAGCAGAATAATCGCCAAGTCTTGGCAATAGCCCGCAAGAAACTATTCTAATATTACTACTAATTTGAATTACATTAAAGATTAATTTCCTAGTAAATAAAAGAGCATTTTAAAACTGAGACAGTTGTTTTAACAAAAATTAATTAATAAATTATCTCATTATTTTTACGTAGCTAGACAAAAAATTCATTTTGAAAATTTTTTTGCATTTTCAGCATAAATTGAAAAGCAAAATGTATGAATAAAATTGTCTATCAGTAACTTTAAATTAAACTTTTATGAGAAATGTGTTTTTCCAGTTTCCAATCAATTTGGTTAAAGTTCTTTTAGCGTTGGATTAGCCATTAGAGGGTACCATGATTTCTTTCCCTGTGAAAAATTTAAATACACGTTGCACTGAAAAGTTTTTATGAAGCAATATTTTCCCTTGTTTGTTACTTGATAAGGAGTTCTTTTATCTTTTAAGGCTTCAAAAATTATTAAGATACCGAGGTAAAATCTTAAGATTAAGGATAGCAAAATAAATCTTCTATTCAATATTGGTTATAAGTTTTTTGTCTTACACAAAATGTGTAAGAGATTATATTTAAGTTGATCTCATTACACATAAATTATGTTTATTGTAACTTGATAGTTTAAAATTTTTTCATTTAATATACCAGGGGTGGCGAAGCTCCTTGATAATCGAGCCATTTTTCAAAATTTGAAATTTTTCGCTAGCCGTAATTAAACACATATTTAAAAGGTATGCAAGAAAAGTATTAAAAAAATTTTTTTTTACAAAAATTATATTTATTGAAAAGATATAAATAAAAGTACAAAATATGTGTATTGAATTATTTTACTTCTCTTGATAATTCTTTAAAATTTGGTGAATAATTGGTGACAGCACTTCTCAGTAATTCCTTGAGATGCTGGTTAGTTAATACTGATCAGTATTTGGATTTCACGAATTTTAAACGGGAATAAAATTATTCACATAAGTACGTTGTTCCGAATATTGAAATAATTCGACAAGCAGCCTTTCATAATTCAGGATACTTCGATTCTGGCACAAATTTTCTAAATTCAGTAATCAACGTTGACTTATATTTTAATTGTAGAGCTTGATCATCTTGCATCTCTATTAATCGAGAGCCATAAGTAATCCTTTAAAGAGCCGCATGGAGCTCGCGAGCCACAGGTTGGCCACCCTTGTAATATACTCTAATTTAATTCACAAGTATTTTAAAATTTTCTACATTTAATAGAAGTAACATTTATAAATCATATTGAAAATTTAAGTAAATCAAATGAAAAATGAATTAATTATAGAGTCTAAGATAAGATCGCTCCACTTCAAAGCAAAGTATTACGTTAATCATTCTACACCGAAACAGTCATCCACAAATTCCTTTTCAAAACTTTTTTTTAAAAATTTAGTTTAAAAAAATATTAAAATAAATTTTATGTTTTTATTTATATTAGCGCACAATAAATTTCTTTGCAACTATATCCAATAAAATATTTGTTTAATAGAAAATTAAAATACAGTTTTTATATTGTTTTGCATAAATATTATAATACCTGGCTGGGTAATAAATCCATATTTTACTGTGTTTCCGAAACTGGCCGGTTAACCATAAAAATTTTGCCGCGTGCCCGTAACCAGTTAGATAAAAGATTAAATTTTCTCTGAGTACCCAGACTAAAAATTTTTTTATACTCAATACTTATTTACCTATACAGCAAAGAGAATAAAATAAAGTGTAGAAATCAATTATTTTCAAAAGTTTATTTAGAAGACAATGAAGCGATAAAACAGTACTTCAGGATGCACTTTATTAAAATAAACCAATTGGCCCAAACAAGCTATGCTGTGAAAACGGCAGGCTGTGGCTGTATAAATATAAAAACTTCGAAAAATAAAAATTATTGGACAAATTTTATATATTTAATATCCTCAGATGGAGTATCAAGGATCCGAACCCAAGAGCATTGAAAAATTCAGGTTTTCGGCTGATGGTGATCTATAGTGTTATATCAGTATCAGCAAGAAATCCGAATTAATACACTACTGGTCATTAAAATTGGTACACCAGAAGAAACCCACCACAGTCATGAAATTTCGTTGAAAGAGAAATCTTGGTGTGATATGTGAACTATGAGATTTTCAGGTGGCAGCAGCCTATAATATTAGCAATAAACACTAACCTTATAGGCCAGGTATTATAATGATAGTTAATAAAAGCAGAGATTTATATAAAAGAGAGGTAGTATCAATTTTCTCATAATCAAGTTGCATTTGGATGATATTTTCTGCTTAAAAAGTAGCTGAAATCGCTCGTGTAAGAAAAAAAATTGTATACCAGCACATGTCTGTTCTTAATTAAGAAAAGATTATAGCCTATCTCGATAGCGTTTATCGTAAACCTTTAACTGCCCTCAGAATATAAGATTCAGAATGGTTATATTTATAAGAACTAAATATTTAGACATTTTTTTGCATTAAAATTTTCTTTTGTATTTAAATAATATTTATTCTAATTGTTAATCTATTTGCAGGGTAATTTTTATTATTATTGTTTTGTTTTAAAATGATAATTAGTTTTGCTTTTCTTATATATAGGGAAACGTTACTCAGATAGGATTTATAGTATATTGAAAAAGACTGGTTGTATTAATGAGGATTTGATTGATTGGCTTATTTCTCCTTATTGGAACGATATAACAGTTGAGAAAACTCACTCTATCCCGAAATTAATTCCTAAGTTTATATTTTATGGAAATGTAAGTTCTTGATTATATAACAATTTTATTTACTGATTAGTTTATTTTTTTTAGTCTTGAAGTTAAAAATCTTAGTTTTGATACTAAACCAGTAGCTCATAAGATATACTTTTGTTTGATTATAAGAGTAAACCAAATTTGCTCTGACTTACATTTAATTCTGTAAATTTACATTTCTATATTGGTAATTTTTTGCCCTTCAAATTTAGCTGGAGTGCATCTAATTTTTAGTTGTAAGTAATTACTTTGCATTATTTCTTTACGAATCACTCTTTTTCCCGTGATCCAATATTAAGATTTTTGTAAGTAAAAAATATCTCGTATGAGCATTTGAAATTAACTAATTGTTTATAGAATGAACCAGTGGTGTATAGCCGAGGGGGAGGGCAACCCCAGAAGTCATGTAAAATTTAATTTGTTGGTCACAAAGAAGATTTGATTCATATAAATTTTTTTAATGGTACTAAGAAATGTTATAGATAACAATTTATTAAAAGACTAACTTTTAAGACTGAATTCAAATAAATGCAAAAAAATTTCTCTTACTCTCAAAAGTATTTCCTAAAATACTGAGAAGAGAACTTAGTTCTACTTATTTCCTACTATAGTTGTTATTATTGTGCCTGCACCATCACCAAGGAGTACATAAGTTGACAGATAGGTCACCTTTTGTACCTGTTAAGTGACATTTCATATTTACTACTAAGTGACATTTCATATTTGCTACTAAGTGACATTTCATATTTACTACTAAATGACATTTCATATTCACAACTAAGTGACATTTCATATTTACTACTAAGTGACATTTCATATTTAGGATGAGGATTTTCTTTCAATTGCATACAGCTCTGAAATCCTTTTTGCTAACAACACAGCTAATTTTTTCTTCGCTGAATGGGAAGATAAACTAATTTTTCCCCATAATCATAAAATTTTAAATTTTAACTTTCAAGTTTTAAGAATATTCTTTCATTTTTTTTAATATTATTATTTACATTTGGGTATTTATTTTCTCCCTATTTTCTCAAATAGTTTTGAAAGAGTATAAAGAAATTTATTTTGAAATTTATGTTCATGCTGTAGTAACAGGTGAAATGTTCTTCTTACCCATACTGCTGTTTTTATTTTATATTAAAAATATTAACTATTTTGATTCTTAATTGTAGAGTTTTTATGTATATTCTATGTTTCAATTTTTTCTGACTTATCAAATTATCACATTAATCTCATTATAATTTAATTAGTTTTTCTTTTTTTATAATTAAATAAAAAAATAGTTTTGATCATGAATAACAGTTACATATCTTTGCTATTCCAACTATTCATTCTAGCAGTATAAAACAATATTGTAGGAGCTACTATTTTTATTATTATTGTGGGTAATATTAACATACAGTAAGTGGGATATTAACATAAAAATTTTCGTAATTTTTTTTTTTTTCTGTTTTATTTATATTACAACCCGGATACTAAAGATTTATTTTTTAGATGAAATTTTTGCCTTTTCTATCGCTATTCCTATAACTTCAAAATGGGTATTGTTTCAAAGCCAGTAAACAATGTTTAGTAAATCACATGAAGAAAAAAAAAGATTTTTTAAAATTTACTTTTCAAAATATTTTGATACTAATAGCCTCATTTAATTTTTTTCCCTTTCTTTATTTTCATTTCAGAAAATCACTTCTGTCAGCTTTGAAAATTCTTCGACTTCAGTGAAAATATTGTCTGCAGTTGTGTGCCTTTTACCTCATTTGAAATCTTTGAACCTCAGTGGTACTAGTTGCACTGATGATTTGTTAATACTTATAAGGAAAATGTGTCCTGAGCTATCTTCTTTAAGTTTGTTTGAATGCAATGTCACTGATGATGGAATGAAAAATTTATGTTATGTCAATCGAAAAAAGGTTGGCTTTGATTCTTTAAAGGTGCTTAATATTGAAAAAACCAAAGTCAAATCTAATGGCATCGCATATATTTTAAGGAATTTAAAACTTCAAGTTATAAAATATCCTGAAATTGCAACTATTTTGTACTATTTCCACCTTTCAAAAGTAAATAAATATGTAGATGTTTCAAAGATATATGAATTAAAAGAATTAGAATATTCATCAAATAAATTATTGTCAACCATTAGTTTTCTAAAGATATTGGAAGTATGGGTAAATATGTGTCCCAATGTGGAGAAGCTGGCAGTTGTTGATTGGCTGTCTGAATGCGATTTTGAGTTGTGTCTAAGGTTTGAGAATTTAAATTTGCTGAATTACCTAACTCAGGAAATCCTGCTAAAGAGGGTCTTGCTTACTTTATAGAAAACCAAGGAGTGAAACTAACAGAACTTGTCTTACAAAACGTTTCAGTTTCTGTTGAAGTTATTGGAAGAGTGTGCCTTAATTTGAAAAAATTGACTTTGAATAATATTAAATACCAAGACATTGATGATACCGTTTTGAGTGACAAGGTACACCACTTGAATTCTTTGGCTAAGTTGTCCGTCAAAAACTCATGCTTGTACGAAAGATCTACAAATAAGTCAATCAATTTATTACTAAGCATATCTAAAAATATTGAATCAGTTTCCTTTCATTGTGTAAGAAATCTCTCTGAGGTGTTGATAGATAATATAATCAACATGCAGCATTTAGTTAAAGCTAAATTTGTTTTCACCGACATTAAAGATGCTGCTGCTATGAAACTGTTTACTTGCAAAAATATCCAGAAACTGTATTTAGATGGTTGTCCATATGTATGTGTTGAAAAATGTGCTAATGTTTTTTGTTCACATGTTAAAAGCAATGTTGGGAATACATTTTCTTGGCAAATAGAATATGATGAAAGAATTACTTGAAGAAAAAGTTCTATTTATTTTTGATATTTTGTGTTGAGGAGGCCTACGTGTATGTGTACGCTGCTTTTGCAAAAATGTAAAATTGTGTTCATATGGGATAAGGACGTAAACAAAATTGTGGCAGATTAATATATATTGTTTGAAAAACAAAAGGTTTCATCAGCTTTAATGAAAAATACTTATATTAACTTTAGTTTAAGTCAATGGGAATTTTCTTATCTTATTCTAAAAATAAAAAAAATCTTAGAATATATTAACTGTTATTATTTGAAAAGACCTTATTTTACTTGAACGAGTTACAACGAAACCTCCAGAAAAGACTTCTTTTTACGACACTTTCCGGAGACACAGAATTTTTTCCATAGACTTTGTGTTGAAGAAAACCTTTAGGAGAGACCATAAAAACCTCTCCAAGCGACCGGGCAAAACTCTGTGCCAAATGCGTAAAAGATCAAATAAGGAAATACGAAAAAATATCAAAACGAAAAATATTAACAAAACAAATAAGTAAAATAAAATATATTCAAAATATTTGTGCAAGGCTCTTACTTAGAGAGCTCTTTTTGATGATCTCTGAAAGAGATCTACAATCTCATGTTGTAGTCGGAGTGCACTAAAGATGATGCTATTAAAATAAGTTGAAAGTTAAATTTGAAAAAAGTTGTTTGAGAAATAACTAAGCAGAATGATTCTTAGATTTTTATTAAGCAGAAATATGTTTAGTTGCTTTTTTACTGTAACAAAAGAAAGCATCGATATGCAAAGCCTCATTGATTTGATTGGTCTTTTTTGGATAAAACTAAACTGCTGTAAAAGTTTAATGAGTTCATAACCTTAGACAAAGTGTAAAATTAAAATATTTTAAATATTAATGTGTGGGGCCGATAAAGTTTGGAGGTAATTGACCCTTCTGCCCATGCTATAATCGGACTATGGGGTTACGATGCGAGTCTGCCCTGAATGTTTAAATTGATATTTATTCAAGTGATTTTTTATTTATTTTGAGAGTAAGATATATAAACTGAGTTATGAGTATTATGCTTATAAGTAATCCTGGGCCATCTGTAATTGTTATCATTCAAGCCTGTGATTGCTTTGTTAGAAAACTTGTTTTTAACAATATTTTTTTTTCTTAATTGAATGACATATTTCATTCAAATTTTTATAACTTGATTTTTCATATTTTTATGTCATCAAGTTTTAATGTATTTTTTACTTATCAAATGAATTGGAATATTTGCTGTTAAACTTATTTTTATCAAATTTGTTGCAAACATATGTTGCTAAATTTTTGTTCCTATACAGACAGTACAGAGTTAGATCAGAATGACAGACTTAGACATGCTATCTGTCATAAGCAAAGGGTTAAATATGCTGTAATGAATTTAAATAGATAAAATGCTTATTTCATGAATTTAGGGATTTTTTTAAAAATATTTGTAGTTTTTATATTTTTTTTGAAAGTATTTATTTGGGGAAACTAAATAGGAAACATTCAGAAGTTTTTTGAATTATCAAAGCTTCACTGTATTTATTATTAAATAAACGAACTAGAATGTTTTTTTTTTTTCAATTAAAAACGTCACTGGAATAAAAAAAAATATATGAAGATGATAATAAAAGTCAATATGTTTCAAGCGCTAAAAAAAAAGTCCAACTCTCAACAATTTCCAGGTGTGAATCAATTTTCAGAACCACAAATGATTACTTTTGATTTCTGTCGTTGACCATTTTCACACTTTTTTAAGCCAGTGAAGTTTTTAATGTATTTTCACTTCAGTTTTTTGGAATTATTTATTTAGAATGTTGTTAAGAATGTTCATGGACGTAGCGTGAGGAGGGACGAACTGTTTGTTCTTAGAAAAATACTTGTTTTATTTAAATTTTACACATACATTTATATATAACTATATTATATATAAAAATAATAAATACGTACATATACATAAAACCCAAATAGTTTTCTAAAAGCAAAATGTGTGCCCCCTCTCATGCTATGCCTAAGTTGAACTTGTTTCTGTTAAATATGTGCTAACTTGCGACACATATTATGAACACAGTGTTGTTTAATATACTGTTAAGTTGAAATTAATAAAATGTTTTTTCTTGAATTTATTATTCTACTTTTTAAAATTTATTAAGTAAACTTAAATAGGAAACCAACCTTTTTTTTAATAAATATTTTAGAAAAAATACATGTACTGTGAACACAGTGTTGTTTAATATACTGTTAAGTTGAAATTAATAAAATATTTTTTCTGGAATTTATTATTTTACTTTTTTGATATTTATTAGGTAAACTTAAATAGGAAACAAACTTTTTTTAATAAATATTTTAGAAAAAATATGACAATTTTCAGCTTAATTTTAAAGCTTCGTAATTTCTATTTGTATCAAGTGTTTAAATTTGTAATAGGCACTTTAGATGGCTCATTTTAATGTACTGCAAAATAATTTTTATGTGTAAAAGGTCATCTTAAAAATTCTACGAGGATAAACTAAGCAATTAAAATAAGAAAAATTTATAAGAGTGTTCAATTTTATGTCATCTTTAAAAAAGCTGAAATTTTAACAGTGCATTAAGTCTCTTGAAAATTTCCCACACATTCTTCATATTCATTCATTTAAGACTGTAACAAGCTCATGGCAGTAGGTAGGGCTTTAAGTTTATTTTGGGATTTAAAATATTTTTAAATATTATTTCTCCTTAGTAAAAATCATTTTTGTTTCTTAAAAGTCAAAAACTTATTTTAGAATTTTTTTTTAAATGTTACCTTTCTTTATTTTTAGTTAATTTGCGTAGAATTTTAGATTTTCTTTTGTAGTCCATATTAAATAAACTCTTTCATATTTATCATCCAAGATGAAGTTTTCTAACTATAGTTTAAATGAGAAAGAAGCTGTCATGAATTTAAAGTCTACAGGATCGTTGATTTAAACATTTAATTAATATAAAATGTTATTAAAAATTAACATAGAAATTTTTATTAAAAAAGAGTAGCCCAGTTGATAAGGTATTTTTTTTTTTTAGAAAGCTTCCTTTTCAAGTCGGATTTGTCAGAGTTTTTTAAAAATGGAAAAATCATTATGGATCATGCCCCGAGATATTTTTTGCCATTTTTGTAAAAAACTTTATTTTAAAATAGAAAATTTACCTTAAAGTTATATATATGTTAAATTTTGTTTTTCCTTAGAGTAAAATGTTATTTTCTTAAAAAAAAAGCCACTACAAATTAAATAGCAATAATACATAGTGGGAAATGCTTAGTTTTTTTTTACACATACTGGCAATTTGAAATTNAACAAAAAACAGGGGGGGGGGCTTGTGGACAGGTGTTGTTTGCTTTCACGAAATAATTGTGAAAGAAAGAATAGAATCGCACTCAAATTTTGTGAGTTACGAAAAACCCGCTCAAATACTATACTCCAAACACTGATGTTCCCAAATGGGAACATTTTAATTTTTACGGAAATAACTCCCTAGAAATAATAATTGGACATATTTTGGTACGTTAAAATAACAATATGTCCCCTGGCTACTAAATAAGACCAATAAAAAAAATTTTCTATTACTTTTTTTTAAAATTAGAGACTGAAAAACTTAAGAAAATTCTAAGTTCAGAAATTCTGTATATTTGGCCTTAAATCTATAAAAAAATTTAATGATTTTCCAAAAATTAAGAGCATCTAAAATAAATTAATACTGTTCTGTGTCATTTCAGAAAATATGACAAATGTAAACAAATAATTAGGTTAGTAAAAAATTTCACAAAAAAATGTTCCCATTTGGGAACATCGGCAGGTAAAAGGTTAAATAAACACTTTCATATTTATCATCCAAGATGAAGTTTTCTAACTATAGTTTAAATGAGAAAGAAGCTGTCATGAATTTAAAGTCTACAGGATCGTTGATTTAAACATTTAATTAATATAAAATGTTAATAAAAATTTCTATGTTAATTTTTAATAAAAAAGAGTAGCCCAGTTGATAAGGCATTTTTTTTTTTTAGAAAGCTTCCTTTTCAAGTCGGATTTGTCAGAGTTTTTTAAAAATGGAAAAATCATTATGGATCATGTCCCCGAGATATTTTTTGCCATTTTTGTAAAAAACTTTATTTTAAAATAGAAAATTTACCTTAAAGTTATATATATGTTAAATTTTGTTTTTTCCTTAGAGTAAAATGTTATTTTCTTAAAAAAAAAGCCACTACAAATTAAATAGCAATAATACATAGTGGGAAATGCTTAGTTTTTTTTTACACATACTGGCAATTTGAAATTTTTAGGACTAGTATCTAAAATTGCCCCTTGAATCCACTGCCCAAATTTCCTGTTTCTAAGAATTGACAGTTTAAAAGTAACATGCAACCCCTTCCATAGATTGATGATAATACATCAATTGACAATTTTCAGAAATTGTTTTTTTTTGCTGTAAATCTTTAAGCTTATTAAGTGACTGTTCTATCACAGAAAAAGATGAAAGATTTTTTTGACATTTTATTCATTTATATTTTTTTATAAATGAGCAAGAACTCAAGAACTTTTTATGCACATTGAAAATTTTTGATGCACAATTATAAAATTAGTTTATCCATATAATTCCGCGTAAAAAATAGCTTTTAATAAATATTTATAATTTTTTACATCATTTTTAAGAATGTAATTTTACATGGTAAAATACAAAATTTGAGTAGTTTGTCTGTAGAATTGTAGCTGAAAAATCGAAATTTAAAAGTACAGCCTCCTTAAAATTCAGTTTCTCAGGAACTATTTTGTATCTTGCCATGTAAAATTACACTCTTTAAAATGATGTAAAAAGTTGTATACCTTACAATTCAAAATTTTTAAACTATTATAAATTATATTTGGATAAATGAATTTTATAATAGTGCGAAAAATTTTTCAATTTGCTTAAAAAGTTCTCGAGATATAGCGAAATACTCAAAAATCAAAATTTACATTAAGGGATTCAAATTTTAAACCGCTCTCCTGGCCAAACTGCGGCTAGCTCCTATATTTTGGCCAAGAATCTGAATCCGTCAAAAAAAAGGTATGTTTATTCAGAGAAAATATGTTTTTGTGTCTGATTTCGCAACTTAAAATAATCCCTCGAACCATTAAGATTTAGTCCTAGAACGCTAAACATTAGATCAACACTTATACAATATATTATTTTTTGCGCACTGTACATAAAATTTCGGAATTCTTTTTCTAAGTTTGTACAAAAGCAACGTTCGTAACGTAATACCAAAGTTATGTTCTCAATTTGCATACTAAAATTTTGTAATTCATTTATTCTTTCTTGATGACCTTGTACTGAATATTATGTTTATCATTACAGACCAAATATGAGGAAGGTTTCTGAAGACCTTCCTCATATTTGGTCTTCAGGTCTGTTGTGGATCCATCAAAATATAGGTTAAGAAAGAAGTAGAGAAATTCAGAAAATGTCCATATAAAAAATATTACTCCTTTACAGAGAAGAACTAATAGAGGAGTATTAGTTGCGAATTTTAATAATGAATGGTACCCTATATAAGGTTTTACATAACTCCACTTTATAACTGTCAGACTCAAGGTTAGTTTAAGGTGTAATGGGGCCTGGGGCAAATGTGTAACTTGGATATTCCAAATTAACTAACAGTTACCAATATTCAGAAATATTGAAACTTTTTATGAATTTCAGTTCCAGTTAAACTGTTTTTACATAATTTAAAAAATAAGTTTTTAAAATATTTACAAATGGAGGTTACATTAAACATTAACAGTCGATTAAGTTTCTACATTAGCTAAAACCTCCAGTATGATATTATGAATTTTTAGTTGTAAAAACAACATACAAAATTGAAATGGCAAAGAGACAAATTTTAAAATTCAAATATAACAAATAAGAATTCTATGTTCTTACTAAATTTGTTACATAGTTGCCAACCATTATCCCCAGGAAACTTTCGTAGATCGTTACCGAAAATCAGTTAGAAAAACCGAACACGTGTAACCTAAGCAAAAAAAGATAATAGATAAAATTAGGGAGTTGGATGAGGGGCAGAGGGAAATAATGGGATCAAATATAGTTTATTTTCTATATCCCAAATTTTTCACTTCAAAAATACATAATTTTTTTTTTGACCATGAAGGAAGGCTGTTAAACATAATGCTAAAAAATATCAAATAATTTGTAAATTTCAGAGGTAATTTTTTATTGGGTTCTAAAAAACTTTGGGACATGGGATCTTTTGTCAGACTCACTTCCCCAGTTTACACATTCAATGTCACATTAATACATGTATAAGACTAATGTAAGTGTAGTGTAGGTGGAGTACATAAGTAACTAATTCAATAAATCACGCTTTTTAATCACTTAAATTCAATAACAGTTTTAAACATAACAATTTTGCACTAATGAAAAACATTGCAATAGAAAGAGAAAAAAAACTCATTGGGCTGAATGATATTCTAAAATATATTTCTGGATACATACATAAAAAATATTTCACAGGTATGATACATAAGATGATTGTGTTGGTCCACTAAGATCAGAAGCTTATTAGAAGCTTATTCAATGTTATTAAAATAAAAAGATGACATTTAAAGGATTTATTCTTTCTTAAATTGCACATTTTTTTCCGATACAGTTAATTTTTTAAAAAAAAAACTAAGTGATTGTAATAGAAAAATGTAAATATTAATACATGTTTGACAAGTTAATTGAGATGATGTATGAGAACCCATTGCTATGCGTTGGTGTTCACATATAGTTTTATTTCAAAATTTTGATAATAAAAAAACTAATTTCTTTCAATAAGTTAAATGAATTAGTTTTGCATTCAGTAAAATACATTATATTGATTTAAAAAAAAAAAAATTTAAGAATACAGATTGAAATTGTTTGAAACGAAAAACTTTCAATATCAACAGTGTTAGACAACAATACATTTTTCATTAAATAACCTTCATATGTGCGATAATATTCGAATCACAGTAAGGCCAGTAAAAATTGTATACTGATTATTTTATTTATTTTTTGGTTTTTACTTCATTCACTGAAGTCTATGTATGCAGTGAAAAAAATATATTTGAACCTCATAAAGATGAATTTTTGGTAAAGACAAAGGAAAAAGTGTTGTCATCACACTATCTTGGAAAACAATAATAACTGCATAAAACTCTCTTGTTCAAAATATAGTAAAAATTGCACTTAAGGGTTTTCTTCAAACCAAAGAGAGATTGCACTTCCTCAAAGTTCACCTATGGAGAATTGTATAATCTGAATTTTCTTATTTATTCAGTACCCCATTGATCTTTTTTGGTTTACTCTATTCAATGAAATATATTCAACTACTAAATTTTAAATTTGTAAGGATTTTTAAAATATTTTCAAAATTAGGGTTTTAAAAATATTTACCAATTTTCAATTTAAAACTTGGTAACTAAGTTCAGCAGAATGCATTTCAAAGAATAAAATGAAGCAAAAATTATTCAAAAATATTAATTAGTTACTGAATAAATAAAGAAATTTTGGACATATAATTATTTGTAGGTTAACATAGAAGAAGTAAAATCCCTTAAAACTTATTCACTGTGAAGTTAGTGATTACTACAATATTATAAGCTATAAATGCATTTGTTTGATTTGCATCAAATTAGAAATAAAATACTAACTCATCAAAAACTTGGGGGTGAGTTATGTAACATGGAATCAGTGGAATAATGTAATGGAGACCCCTTCCCATATATATAGTACATACAAATAAATTATTTAAGCTAAATTAATTGTTTGAACAATGTTTTATTCACAATAATTTTTTTTATCTAAATGTGCAAAATGATTTTTTTACAGTAATACTTTTATTGAAATGAAAATTTATTTAAAATTTGCATTAGGTAATTGAGTATATGATTAGTGCAATATAGGCAGATGGGTTGAACTAAATTTTGAAAATGATGAATCAAATGTTATTATTTGTTCATTTTTTAATATATAGTATAATAACTTTCTTCAAACAGAATTGATCTAAATATTGAAGAAATGTTTTTATCAAATAAAGTATTATGTATGAACTGGAAAGCCAGCAATAGAGGTTGCAATTCGAAAGTTGAAGAGATTTGGACAATACTCTACTGACTCTGCACAGAACTCACCCTTTGTCTTATTTTTGAAGTGACAATATTAACTTAAAAACAGGAAAGTTTATTTTTCAAAAAGTAAGATTAATCAAATATGACTTCCAGTCAAGGATAAATAAATATGACTCTTATAGTCAATGAGATATACTAATGATGATTTAACAATATTTACTAAAATATCATTTTGCAACTATTGCATAACAATTATGCATGTATTTAAAAAATTATTCTAATAATTAGTATTTGTTAATATATTTCCAAATATAAAAATATTCCAAAAGTTCCCAAAATAGTTTTACATGTCTATTTGTAAAAGAGTTAAAAAAATTGTAATTATCATAATAAAATATCTAAAAATAGTTTGGCTCTATATAAAATACATATCACTAGCAAAAATAATAGTATCTACAAGATATTGACCTTCCACCATAAGAAGACGATTAACCTTTCATGTGTTCATTTTGACCAGGTGATGTCATTGAGCCGGAGAATCACCATTGGCATAAAGTTACCAACTGCCTACCATTATTTTTTTTATTTGCCTTAAGTTTTAGTTTTTACATGACCTCTATTTCACCTAATGGGCTCGTACTATAACTTGGTCTTCTTATGGTGGACGGACAGTAAAAGCTCTTGAAGCTAAAATTATAAATAAAATTTCTATTCTATTTTTGCCATGCTGAAGATTACATAGCTAAAGCTCAGTTATTAACAGCAAGGCACTTTTGATAAAGAGAATAAACAACTTTTCTGAAAATATTATGTCTATCCTCATGGCAAACCACAGAGCCTCTATATCCCCATAATGTGCGCATGTGAAACTCAGTCCTAAAAATGTCCAATACAGTATTGTCATATCCGATGTTTGTCAAAGACATGTTTCCATTCATTCTAAACAATGGAAACTGTTGCATGATGTTTCGTCCTGTTTCCAGGTGGTCGGCCAAAAGCTGAAGTCCAAAGTCTTCAGAAGAATTACTCCCTGGGAGGTAAAAGTTAAGGATGGTACTGGAGGATGACTCAGAAAGACCTTCATCAGATATGTGCTTTATCACAGAGATGTATTGTTGCAAAATCAAGAGCAAAGAAAAAATGTAAGGGAAGCAAGTATTAGGGGCTTCTAATCCTGTGGCATTGTGAAGAGCTTTAAATGCAGGTCGTAATTTTGTCTCAAATGCAAAAGCAATCTCCGTGAAAGAATGTCTCAAAGCTAACCAAGTGGAATGCAAGCCAAGGATCTGAAAAAAAGAACATATACATTGAATATAAATCAAGTTCGATACAAGTTAACATTCCTGAGACAATAGGTATCAAAAGCTTTTTAACTGACATGGAATAATAGGAATTTTGAATTTTTCATTATACATAAAATTTTTTTCAGTATCCACTTTCCCTTTATTGGTCCTCTCTAGGCATTGTACAGAAGAAAATATTAAATTTTGTTCAATTTTTGCAATAGATCATACACTTTCAACAAAGTGTTTCTTGGTTACGAGTAAGAATTAGATTTAAATTTGAAATAGACTGTGTTTGATGCATAAAACTTTCTATTTACAATAACCATTATTCTTATATAGGATCACAATTATTCAACAACATAATTTTTACTTTTGATAAGTCATTAACTTTTGTGAGGTTTAATTAAAACTTTGTGGTTGAATGCATGGTATGGTGGGATTTTCTTTGGAGTGCATCTTTTATTTAAAATGACAAAATATAGTGCTACTAAGTACATATTGAATGCATCTATGCCTTAACTCCTCAACAAATTTAGTGAAATTTTACTATATGTTAGCATCTCTTCGTAATCTTATTTACATAATTGATTTTAATTTTGAAATATAATTTAAGAATATAATTTTTTTCAGGCGCACATATATGAAAATTTATTACTAACCAAAGTTTTGAGATTTTATAAGTGATCTAGTGGTGTGCTAGTAATAATATCATTTTGAAAAATCATTTATAGATAGTTTATTAATATTTATCATAAAGACCTTTTTTTTTTTTGTACATAATGTAATAATAGTAGTACAAAATATTTCTGCAATTTAAGATTTTAAAACTAGTATACTCTAAATGAATTTAATCATACTATGTAGATTTTGTTACATATGTATCAATAGTAATTATTTTCTAAAGGAAAGTAAAAACAAGTTTTGTAATTTGAATCTATATAATTACCTCTGGGAGAGTAAGACCAAGCATAATTGATGTGAAGCCATATAAGTTACCCAAAGTTGTTTTAGTTTCAATAGCTATTTCAATCCATTTATTCAGCAAGTTAACTCTTTCTTCTTCCTCAGGGGATGTGAGAATTAAGACTGCTATAAGCAGTTTAATGCTCTCAGTTCTGTGAAAAGGGAATATGTACATTGAAAAAAAAAATATTAGAAATAAGCACAAAATTTATTATATTTATTGTCAACTGATTGGCTTCCATTAATGAATGAATATTTCTGGAAAAATATTCTTCACTATATACTACTTTTATAAAAATAGAATAAGAAAAATTTGTTTGGTATGTGTGAAGGCATGCACATTGAAAAAGTTTAGTGGAAGAAAGTCCTATATGACATTTCTGAAGAAATTTGAATTTCTCAATAAACATAATGTTAGCTTAAATCTGATACAAAGTTAATAAATCTTTCTCTTTTTTTAAAATTAGTCTCTAAATTTTGCTGATATTATTGGACGAAGGTACTAAATAATATAGTTCAAATGTTCAAGTAAATTTGTAAAATAAAAATCTAGCTCTTGTTGGCCAATATATTGAAGATGCTAAGAATAAGTCTCCTAAAACGTGAACAATTTGAATGAGCTATGGAAATTGTAGATTTTGCCAGTTGAAAGCTTAAGCACAAACTAAGAAACATGGGTATAATTTTTATTTTGTTATGCATTCTGAATTTTTAAATAAAAAGCAAACTTCTTCAAAAAGCTTTTCTTTTCCACACAAGAAAAGCTGAAACCGAAAAAAAGTCTAATAATTTAAGATGAAATATATTTTTGTTTACGATTCCATTGCAATGGGTAATATTTGAATGGGAGTTGATTTTATCTACCGTAATTTTCCCTTGTAAAAAGAGTTAGGACTAAATCAACATATTCTTTTGTGTATTATATCATAATAATTATAAATTGAAAGCATGGAGATTGAACGAAGTAACAAAAAATAACGACATACAACTTTTAAAGATAACTTACTCAAATTCACTAAAATTAGAAACTTCGTCAACTGAGCTTTTTGATTATGTTCGATTGTTATGTCAAGGCTTAAACTTAAGTAAGTGTTAAAAAATTATAAAATTTGAAATCAATAATAATCTTTAACTAAACAATCTGGATTGAAACAGAAGAACCAACAGAAAAGCTTTAAACAGAATATTAGATTATTTTTCTATAATATATAATTGTATAAATATTGGTATTACCAATAATTTATTTTTTTAAAAATTATACGCATCCTAAAATAACCAACTCTTTACCTTTCATTTAAATCTTTAATCAATCGTTCCCCCTGTGGAAGCAAAAACAATTCCAGACCACTGTTAACACCCAATCCAAGATCGATTTCTTCAAAATTCTGAATAACTTCCAAATCAATTTTCGTTAAATGACAGGCTAATATTTTAGATGAGCAAGACATCAATACATTCCGTATCTTTGATAGCACTGTTCCTTCCAATGGAGCGTTCTCGGCTTTTATCAAATGAGATCGAAATGTTTGTGGGTCGAATGAAGACAAAGGTTGCATGCTCGGAATTGTAAATTCTTTTTGGGGTGAATCTACGTCAGGTGTGGAACCACAGCTTGAAACACTAGGCCTATCTAAAAATGAAAACCTAGTTTCTGATTGTTGCCTTTCATAAGACAAATGAGCAACAGAGGGACTTGGAATCAGAATAGAATTTTCTGTGTCTATTGGGTCTATTTGTGAAAGTTTCCTTTCTCTCTTTATAATGACAGGCCTCTGCGAGCATCTTTTCGAGGGAACACGACTAGGTTTAGGGGGTGGCTTATCACTAGAATTCATAGGAACAGATATCACAGAGTCTGAATTGAAAACACCGGAATTTGGCCTCGGCTCCACAGTTCGTTTCTCAGTTTGGGAATTTAAAGAAGGATCACTGCCCATCCTCACTAAATTACTATTTTTGTTAGATGATTGGTTGTTCTTTTTATTTGGCAAAGTTTGTATACTTTCAGTTCTTTTTTTATCATCGAAGGATGTAATAAGATTTTTTGGTCTAACTGGTATTATTGAAGGTTTATCATCTGGTATTATCATGGCATTATGATTCATGGAAATACTGGTTGGTGTAGATGGAATTTTTTCTAAAGCTTTGGCAACATAATGAATTTGGCACTGAACTCCATAGCGTGAGGCATAGTACGATAATGGCATGACTCGATTCACAGGGCGACAAATTATAACGCCAGAACTTTCTGATAATGGACATCTACTGCCTACATAGTATGTAATAAAGTCGGGTATGCTGTCAAAACTTTCTTTTTCAAAGCAGAATTGAATTCTTTCATACACTGTATCTGGCTGCACAATTATCTGTTGAAAAATAGTTGAAAAAGGCAGATTAGCAATTTAATCTAAATAAATAAACGAATCTTAATGTAAGCATTTTATTATATTTTTATCTACAATATAATTTAGTTAATTATAAGTAGGGCTGCAGGTCTGTTGCGGTGCGAATTTCCGCGAAATTGTCATCTTTTTTCCAAAAATCCGCGAATTTCTCAATACGTCTTGACTTGCGCGAAAATTGCTTAAAATTTGATTTTTTTTTTATTTTTTATTTATTATTTATTATATTTTTATTAAACAGAATTTTTCATTTTCCTGAACCTTAAATTGAACATGTAAAATTGATTTGATATTTAGGGGAGTGAATCAATAGCAAAATGACATGAAAATAGTTCAGAGATAAGAGATAATCACAATCTTGTCAACTAAGGTGGTCTTTCTACACTTAGGGAGGGTAATTACCTTCCTGAAGTCAGTAAGAGTACAAAAGAAATTGGAATCACAAAAGAAGGAAAATGTTATAAATCAAATCTTTGACAGAAAAATTGTTATACATGCTATTGCACTGGGCAATGAAATTTCTACTGCCTTTCTACATATCCAGTTAATTTTTCCTAGGCGGCTTCTTGTGATTTCTTAAATATGGATCAGTTTCTTAGATGAAGGGGGGGACTAGTAGTTAGTAGGGACTTGTAACTAGTAGTTTGAATGCAGAATATTTGAGTTTTCACAGCAATTACTTCTTACAAAGCAACGGTCAAGGAATTTCGCGTTGGTGAAGGAAAATTGATCGAGTTTTGGAAATCAAAGACCGAACGCTCCAAAATTGGCAATTTAAAGTTTGTCGGTGCCTAAAAACAGCGTTGAAGCAGAAAGATCGTTTTCTAAGTATAAAAATGTATTAAGTGATGAAAGACGAAGGATAAATGAGAATAATCTGACAATGTACAATACTTTGTACCAAAATTCTGTTAGTTTAAATAAAAATATTAATATTGCTTGAAATTCAAAGAAATACTTTTGTTGTGTATTTTTAAGCTTTCTATATTATTTGCGCAATATTTGTCTTTTGCATCATTTATATAAATTTTTTTTTAATGTTTAGAATTTCGGTAATTTTCAAAATTTTCTGCGAATTTGGGGTCTTTTTTCCTGCGACAAACTTGCAGCCCTAATTATAAGCAATAATATTAATACATAACATAGTATTTGAGCATAACAAAGATACATAACAATGAACATAAGTAAGGATAGTTAAAAAGTAAGCAACGACTTGAACTTAATAATGATAATGTAACAAATTAGGGTTGCACAATCTTTTACAGAAGATGGAGGCAGAAATACATTTTAGTATTCTGAGAGCTGCAGTTAATTATGCTTTTGTTAGAATTGAGTAACCTGATTATCTCTTAGTGTATAAGAATAATTGCAATTTGCTTTAAATCACAAAGTATGGTATATTATGTTGAACACTCAAAAAGTATGTAAAATGTTTTCAAATTAAAAAAATACATACATCTTCTTTAAATATTAAATTAAAATAGATTTTGAATTTTTCAGCTGAAAAATTATTTTTTAAATTTTTTTCACTAACACAAATTATTAATTTTGAAATAAATAATAGAATTATGTTTGTTTCGGACACGTTTTGTTTGAAGAAAATATTTTTTCGATTGAATTTATGCAACTACATTTTGGAGTTTTCATGATATCATTTCATAAACCATTGACATTATTTTGATTACAAGGTGGGGATTGTACATTGACCAATGGGAGACCACATTCAGCATACTCCAACAGGATTTGGTTGCCTACTTTTACATAAATAGAATTTATTTATTTAAATAAAAATTTATGTTTAATGATTTTCAATAATTTAAGTCAAATAAAATGAACAAAGACAAATAAGCATTGCTCATCACTCATTTNTATTCTTTCCCTAGTCTTATTAACTATTCCCTAGTTTATATTAACTTAAAGAGAGTCTTTTTTTATTTAAATAAAAATTTATGTTTTATGATTTTCAATAATTCAAGTCAAATAAAATTAACAAAGACAAATAAGTATTGCTCATCACTCATTTATATCTAACTACTGTCATATATATATATATATTGAATGTATAATATATACAATATATATATTGGACATTTTAAAGACTTCATGATATCATTGCATAGACAATTAACATTATTTTGGTTACAAGGTGGGGACTGCACATTGACCAGGGAGACCACATTCAGCATACCCCAAAAGGATTTGGTTGCTTACTCTTACATAAATTGAATTTATTCATTTAAAGAAATTTACGCTAGAGTACAAAAGTTTTTGGTTAACACGTGAAAGGCATTTTAACCTTTCTATGCAGTTTTTTTTTTTGTAAAGATGATTTCAGTTTTATTTAGTCAAGCCAACATATATATTACATTTGATTTCAGAATTTTTACTTTTTTTGCAATTTAATGAAAAATGTAATCTTCTTTAGATTAAATTTAAATCTTTGCACAAAGTTCAGTTAAAGATTTCTTTTTTTATATAAATTGAGTCTTGTAAGAACTAATTCTTCAAAAATAAATGTCAATATTAAATTAAAGTTAAAATCACGATTTCTGTTAATAAATATGCAAAACCAATGCTTATTTGTTAAAATTGTATCTTTCATTGTATTTTCATCCACTTCTTAGATGTAAGAAAATCGCTTAATGAAAAACAANATAATTCGAGTCTTGTAAGAACTAATTCTTCAAAAATAAATGTCAATATTAAATTAAAGTTAAAATCACGATTTCTGTTAATAAATATGCAAAACCAATGCTTATTTGTTAAAATTGTATCTTTCATTGTATTTTCATCCAATTCTTAGATGTAAGAAAATCGCTTAAATGAAAAACAAATACCCGACTGATATAAAAATTGCATTTGATTTAAAGTAACTTTCAAAGCACTAACTTTGCTTTCTGGTTGATAAGAATACTAAGAATGTTTAGGAATAAAATTATACATTATTTATTACATTTCCAATCAACCAAATACAATATTGAATTTGACCAAAGACTTTTGCACGCTAGTGTATGCCCAACGATTTTCAATAATTCAAGTCAAGTAAAATGAACAAAGAGAAGTAAGCAATGCTCCACACTAATTCATATCAAACTTCTGTCTTATAACATATATACGCAAGCAAAAATTTTGTCATACAAATAAAGCTTGAAATAAGCAAAAGTCTACAAAACAAAAATATTTGCCATCAAAATTAAAAACTTCAAGTCTTGATTAGACAGCGGATTTATAATTACTAAAATTATCTGAAAAATTTCAACAATAAAAGTCATAAAGCCCTCACCAACATTTAGCTTATACAAATGAAATCCCATTTTATCATGGTCGTTGATGTATTCATCTTATTTTTGGACCTCAGTTTTAAATATATATAATTTTTAAATATATGAACCAGTATAAATATATGAACATTCATTACCTTTTTGATAATAAAGTGCAAAGGAATATCATTCCATTTACAAGTAATGACAAAATCTCCAGGTTGTGAGATGCAGTCACGCACAAGGAAGTCTCCATCTTGTGTAACCAGCTCTTCGGCTCTCTGACGTAAAATGGTACCATGATACCAAGCGTGACTTTTCAAATCTGAGCTGTCCAAACTCAGTTCTCTCTCTAACGCTTTCTTTAACTCTGTAGCGTTATGTTCTGTTACAGGATATCCTTCCTAAATAAAACATAATTCAACATAACCCTTTTTTAAAAATTAATACAAAACAATAATATTTATAAATAAACAAGCAAAACCACATTTAAATCCTATCTAAGGTCATTTTAGTAACACTTCTACACTAAAGTATTTAAAAAATTACGATTATTATTTTCTCTCCAGAGAAAAGATATATACAATACTTACAATTGTACAATATTTATACAATATATACAATTCTACAAGATATATACAATTCTACAATATTTAAACCACAGTGACATAACATTGAAGTAACTAATTATTTTTAGCATTATGTGAACATTAAAGAATCTCTCTAAGCATAAGTTTTAGGTATTTTAAATATACAGTCAAATCTCACGGAATATAGTGAACTCACGGAAATAGCAAAAGAAATGTTCGCTCCTGTGCCTTGCCATACACATGTAATATTATTTTTTGTGGATATAATGAACCAAAAGAAGAGAGGAAATTGGATGTTATGAACTTATTTCTGTCTTCGACTGATTTTTTTCCTTCATTTTTTGGTAATTTTGAAATTTCTACATAAAATACACATACCGATTTTTAAAACCAACTATTGAGTGGAATGTATCCATAAGCATTTTTTCTTGTTTGCTTCTTCTACCTCAGTTTCCCATCCCTAAATTTTTTGTACACAAGACGAAGAGCAATAAAAAATAAAAGTTAACACATTTTTGCCACTACATTTTTTAAGCATTTTTGCATTTCTTTTTATTTCTCCTTTATTTAAATAATGTGTAATTAAAGGAAGCAGTTCGGAAAAATTAGTTAAAATTGTTTGTTGTACGGATATAGTAAACTCCCGGTTATAGTGAACCGAAATTTCGGTCCCTTGAAGGTTCACTATAGTGGGGTTTGACCGTATTTTCAAATTCATTTAAAAATTGTAGTAAAAAAAACCAGTAAGTCGGCATCTTTTAAAATTTGAAACATCAAGAAGATTTCCCAGTCATAGGAATAGATTCATCATAGATAATTAAGTACTTTAAGTAAAGAATAAGTAAAGTAACAAGTAAAGAACTTCATAGTTAGGAATGGTAATTATAAATTATTTTGAAATACATAAACTATAGAATAAAATCTTAACGACAAATTAGGTTGTCCTATTTAAATTCATATTTAATAGACTTACAAGACTAGATCTTGGACTACAATGGGTGGTGCTTTGAGAACTTGATGGATTTGTTGAAGGCCAGCTCCGAACTCCCGTTTCATGTCGTGAAAAACTCATATGTTGTATTGGTGAAATGCTATAATGATAATACAAAAATATTGCTGTTTGTGCTGAAACACAATATTGTTGTCACATAATTAAATTTATTATTCTTTTAAGAGATTTGATTATTTTACTAGGAAATTTAATCAATTTGTAAAACATGCAAAAAGATGGCAAACTGCTAAAAATTAAGATAATGATAATTTACCTAGTATGAGGAGAGTTGTTTCCACTAAAATTAGGTGAGCCATGATTTTGTCTAAACACTAAAAAGAGACAATAAAAAAAATTTTATATTAACATTTTTAATTTTTCTTCTATAAAACATCATAATTTTAATTACAACTACAACTCCAGCATATGGGAAAATAAAGTTGAAAAATACTAATAGTATTCAATGAATTTATTTACCTAAAAATTAAACATTAACAAATACATCAGTTAAAATTAAGAAACAGATCATACTGAGTAAAACAAAAGTATAGTATTTATCCATTTTTTTCCAATTGACCCTTTGCTTATGGCTGATACAATAAGGAGACAGGAATGGCTTCATCATGTTAAATGTCGAAAGAAAAAGGTTAAGAGATTAATTCAACATTATTATGAAATGTCACACTATGAGCATTTGCAGATTCAACATAATTGATATTAATATTTTACTTTCCAATATTTTGAACATTTAGAGTCAGGTTGGAAATTTGAAATTATAATATATATCGGACTTCATTATATACATTTTTTAAGAGTACATAGAAAATATCACTCAGATATTGATACAATTTTAAATGTCACTTACATTTTTGAAAATGTCCTTCACATATGATTGCCAATTATGGTGAATTATAAAATAGGATCACTAAATAGAAGTGAGGAAGGATTTATTGAGCAATGTTATGAAGTGTTTCTACAGTATACTTTTAGCATTTAAACTTGTTATCGTGGATCATGAAGTTTAGTACTTTTCGTTTACCCGGGAATTCAGCTATTTGTTTTTACTTAATTAAATTTTTTTTATTCAGTTTAATTTTTTTAATTTTATTTATATGTGTTTACGAAAATAAAATAAAAGTTGGCAGAGGTCTACATTTTTGTACCTGGCTAACCGAAAAGTACCTGAAGTTTTTTTCAGAAGCTCTTTTGAAAGTTGTAAGCATAGTTCCTCATGTATACTGAAAATTCAATTTTTTGGTGATCTAATATCAATACATAATACTAAGAATATAACCAGAAAAAATAAGACAATGATTTTTTTTATTAAAAATAAAAGCAAGAGTAAAAATTATAATATATTTAAAGCTATGATGGATCAAAAATATTTTTACAAAATGATGCAAAATTGACTATAAAAAAGAAAATTTTAAATAAAAAGGATGAGAGTTTTTTTTATGCAAGAATAGTATTAAATTATTACTTTTGTCATGTTTATCTTTTAGAATAGCCAAAGAGGAACTCAGCCTGGCTCTATGACTGCCAGTTTTGATTCCTATGTTTTTTAAATCTCTCTCTGACATCCACAGTATTTCCTGTAAAATAAATAAAAATAAATTCAGGGATACAAACATGTGTCATTAGAATATAGTGGAAATTATTTTACTTATCTGATGCATAACTTTAGTCAATAGAAAATCTACCATATTTAATGGAGTATTTTACAACAACCTAATTTAAGCTTTCAAATTATAGATTTTGCTTTTATTGTGTACTTAAGTTCACATGAAAGAAATTTAAAAAAATAAATAAAATAATAATAATTTAAAGACACTTTGCAGCCATCTTTTTCGAAAAATATCATTAAAATTTTTAGAAGAATAATACAAATAAAGTGTTTGAAATTGCTTGTATAATGTGATTAAGATTTCTCAAATCAATGGTACCCATTCAAAAATGTAAAAGAATAGTGTAAAAACTTTAATTCTTCTAACATAAAATTTATAACTGTGTTATATTATATTAGTTTTATATTTTTGTTTTTTTTTATAGATCTGCTATTGCAATAGAGAAAAATTTTATTAACTTAGTGTAATATATTCTGAGAAAAAAAAATTTTTTTTTTTTTCAAGGCCCAAATATTTTACTTAGTGTATAATTCAACCTCAAAACTTTCATTGCAATTTAGGAGTTTGAAAAGATGACTTATATATCAGAAAATACAATAGTATGTGAAATTGTATTTTAAATTAAAACCTTTAGTTGTTGAAGTTTTTCAATATAGATGATATTTACAATCAGCATCACAGCAAATGTAAAAAAGATAATTTAAGAATTAGGAGAGAGTTGGACTAAGCCATGCAGTTGGATCAAACTGAGATCAGGCATCAACTAAACTGCTGCTGCTATTTATCAGAGATCCTATGAAACAATTACAGATAGATGCCACATTATTTGGAGATAAAAAAAAAAGCAGGCTAATTATTCACAGACGACTGCAGTTTGAAAAATTTGAGTTATATGATTTTAACTCTGCCAATTTAATTTTATAGTGCATAATTACTAAATCACACTAGAACACTTACATAATAGGTACAAAGTCCTGCATCAGGAAATATTTCCCTTCTTTCTTATAAAACTTTCTTTTTCTTTCTTATAAAAGAATTTCTTGTTTCGTAGAAATATTTTTCACCTTTTTTTTACTTTCATATTTTGCTACAAAATCTTATTTTTCGTTCCAGAAGTATATGTTCTGGGTATGACTTTTTATACTGTAATTTTCAAGATAAACTGCTCTACTGTCATTTATGCTTTTTATTATCCCTCTAGATTGTCAATAATGTTTAGTCAATTTATATATTATCCCTGAAATTAAAAGTTCAAAAAACGATTATGAATTCCTGTGTTTTATGTTGTTGCTAATCTCGGAATCATCTAGTGGCGCTAGACGACTCCCATGAATCCAAACACCTCCAGAAAGTCCATAAAAAGACTGGAGTCAATTACGACCTCATCTTTACGGAACCCCAAACAAGTCAGAATATGCACAGGGGAGGCCATGTCTGCCGAGCACAAATGGCATTCAGGATAGGTTTTTTTACCCCGGTTGAAAGTAAGGGATATAGTGTGTCCACCTGTGTTTTATATATACCTAATTGGTTAATTTAAAAATGTTATTTTATTTCTCATTTAGGGTAAACCAACCAGTGAAGGAACACTACCCAGTGAAGGAACATTTCATATATATTGATTAAAAATAAGAATTTGAAAGTTTTTCTTTAGATTGATTGATAACAATAGCTTACTGCCAAACAATAGGAAGTCATCTAGCAATGTTTTGGATTGCCTGGTCAAATAGACTTCTCTGGAAAATTTTTTGAATTTGTTATTATCTCTGCAACACCTTGCTTCTTTGAAAAAATTATAAGGTGAGTGTTTGTATTTATATGTTTGAAGTGGAATTAATTACATGTAATAGTTTTATTTTTCTCACTGTGAAAAAGAGAATTCAAAATATAGTTATTGAAGTTACGTTTTATTTTTTGTTTAAGCATCATAGCATAATAAAGTACTGAGATAAGGGGGTGTTTATTCACTGGATCACCAAACGATTAAAAACCAGTGAAGGAACAAGTGTTCCTTTATTGTTTTTTTTTCTAAGTTAATGAAAATAAAAGATAAACTTTAATTTTCTTGTACCTTTAGTGATGTTCCGCATCAAAAGTATGTTCAAAATAGGAAAAACAACTTCTAACCAGGGAGGGAACAGTCATGTTTCTTTACTGGGCATAGATTTCTCAGTGAATGAACAGTATGTGTTAATATGCTGACACTTTAATTTTCAATTCATGATTACAAAATAAAGTTAACATTTTCCAAGTATTTATATGTTATAATTTCAAGAACAGGCTTGTTTTTAAATATTTATATGGGTTATAAATTCATAAAGACCATTAAAAAATAACCAAAATTAAGTGTTCCTTTACTGGGTGTTCATTCACTGGTAAGAGCTGTTCCTTCACTTGGTCTTCTTACTACTTGTTATTTGAATCTCCAAAACTTTAAAACAATATTATGTAAGTTCTCTACAATTTTTTTACATAATTTGCAATTAGTAACAAATATGTTGACACTGTCATTTAACTAAAATTACGAATTTTGAAATTAATATGATTTTTTAAAAGGCAAGCGAAGCTTAAGTGTTCCTTCACTGGTTAGTTTACCCTATAATTGTTTTCTCAATAAAATATGGTGTCGTATATGGAGAGGTAAAAATTTGTATCTAAAGAATTTGTTTTTCCAGTAGAAAATTTTTCTATTTTTATTTGATGAAACTTTGTTCTCTAATGGTTTCTATCCTAATAAATCCAAAGTTTAGAATGTGGCACCATCTATTGGTAGTAAAATCATATGTGGCATAGTGTGCTAGGTAAAAAAATATTTCGATATATAATATGCACTGGCCTATAACCTGCATTGCTTAAGTAATAATGGATAATAACATTGCTCTAAGAACAACCACACATCCACAGATAATATACTGGAAATTACTGTACTTTGAATTAAATACAGCTCATTATAAAAATCAATCAGTACTTCTAGGTATACATTTAAAATTTTTAATAACCCCATTTCATTTTTAACTTCATTAAAACAGCTCGGAAAAAATTTGCCCCAAGATAAATTCTAGAAGGATACGTTCTTCAATACAGTATTCAATTTTATTTCATTGTTATTCAATTTTATTAAAAAAAAAAAGATTAATTTTCACATTTAAAATGAAACAATTTCCAAATATGTTTAACACAAACTATAAAATAAACTAATGAAAAATATTTAATAAAAATACTTTTCCTATGTATTTCTAATTTTCTAACAACAAAGTATTTCTTAGTTCATATAGAACAATAAGTTTTATACATATAATAAAAATTCTTTTAATATTTTTATATGTAGTAAAAATTTTGTATATAGGTTAGGACTTAATTTTCTTAGTCTTAAATTATATACAATGAAACCAAACTAATTAACCTATACAAACATTTGAAATTTATTTAACAACAGCTAGCAAAACATAGGAAATTATGCACTAAACTTTACCTCAACTCCATTATAATCTTTAAACAGATGTTTATATCTTAGGAGATCCAACTTTTGGAGCCATAGTTCAATGCTCAAGTGTAACTTGTTTTCTGACATGATATAATCTAAAATTTAAAACAATTAACTATATTATTTATTGTCATATAAATAAGATTACATTAAATAGTATAAGGTTTACTTGATGGTATAAAAAAAAATAGAATCTTCAATACAAGTGTTAAATATGTCTTACTATATGGATCTGATACATGGCATTGTAATAAAAATAACATGACACAACCTCAAGTATAAGCAACTGTTTAAGTAGTTTAACCGTAAAAGTAGGCAGTTTTGCTATTAGCGTACAATACAATTCATTTCTATCGAAAAATATATAGAAATTACAGTTCAAAATCTTTAGTGATTGAGGCACTACACAAGTTTCGGAAAAAATGTTATTTATTTATAAAGAAATTATATTTAAAATATTACTTTATTAATGTTTCGCTTCATTCTCAAACAATGAGCACTTGTGTTTACTTTATTTATATCAATATGTTCACATAATGGAACAAAATAAAATTTATTAAATTAGTAAACAAAACAACAAAAACACTTGAGATTTGAAACCAAAAATTCAAAATTACTTACTAAGTAGAAAAAACAAAAATCATGGAGGGATGATCATTATAAGCTGCAAAAAGAAAAAAATTATTCAGATAAAAATATTTTAGCCTGCTGCGTTTACCATTAACGAAAAATTGCATCACCACATCATTAAATTAAATGGGTGACATTTATTTACATTTGTTAGCTTTACAGTTACAGTTAATTTATAGAAGCCACTAATATTGAAAAGTAAAGAAATAGTATCTTTTATTAAGATGATTAGGCAACAAGCCATCCTGTCACGATTTCCGTTCCATAAAAATACCAAAAAACTCACTCTACGCAACGTCATCGAGTTTTCTTTCCTAACAGCCGCTTTTCATCGTGATGTGGCAGGGCACAAGATACTGAAATTTTTGTTGGTAGTTGATAAAAGGTTACAAATAAGCAACTTTGACACGTGTTAAGAGTTTTTCAATTAGTAAATGTATAAATTTTTTTAGAGTTAATGTATAGATTTTTTTAAAAATAGATCTTATTTGATAATTTATTATAGAAACGATCAAGAAACATCAAAATGGGAAGTAAGTGTTTCTATCTTTGCTATGTTTTCAGTTCTGTGTATTTCCACAATCGAAAGAGATATACATTCTGTGAGATATACGACTATAGAAAGAGATTACAAATTTAACATTCCTATTAACAACTGCTAATCATTTAATTGCTAACATTAAGTTATCATTGTTGTGCTACTTGTCATGATCAAGTACAATATTACAATTTCTTTGTGTACTTATGTATCTTGAGCCATTGATTAGTTAATAAAAAGACTTCTTTAAAAATTGCTTTTGCTTTAAGATGTTTTTTTCCCAATACAAATGTTAATCTTGTCCTGTGATCCTTATTCTTAGTTAGATCATGATCTGATTTTGTTAGGTGTGATGTGCCACATAATCACTTGTTTTTACTTTAAATATTATCGCAGTTTTTTGTAATTCCCTTAAAAAGTTTCATTTAAATTTTTAAATTAATAAGATTCTAAGAAATTATATATAACCATACGATTTATATTAAGATTGTTGAATTTTAAACTCGGATTTAAAAGTAGAGTTAACTTAGGATCATCAAAGGTCAGACGGCGCTGAAATATTACCAAAATTTAAGTATTAAAGAACCCCACATATCTGCAAAGTACAATTTGCTTTTATTGATAACAATTGTCAAAATAAAATTTAATGTAAGTATTAGGAAAATGTAAACAAACAGGTTAACACAATCTTTTTAATTATAACTAATTCTAAAATGGTTAATATTTAAAAAATACAATCGAAAATTATTTCTTTACAAAAGTAATTTATTAAAAATGGATTTTCACAATAATAATAAACCTTGCCTGATTTTTAAAATTGCACTGTAGATTTAAAAAAAGCAATGATATTTAAAATAAGTGGTTATAAAAGTACACTATTACTACATTTTGTAGTTTTAAATTTTATATTAAATATCAAACTACGTTAAATAATACAGTAATAGGTTACTTATTATCATAATGACATCATGTTTCAATCTTTCTGATACTTTTGAATGAATCTTACCTTTGAATGTATTCACTTTTTTAAATAATCTTTTAATATAACCTTTCAATTTAAATATAATTTTTGAAATATAATCTTTCTGATACTTTTGAATGTAACTTACCTTTGAATGAATCTTACCTCTGAATGTATTCACTTTTTTAAAACATTACAAATAATATTAATTTTATTTTGCGAAGAAGATAACAGAATATTTAAGTTAACAGCAAATCAGCAATATTATATCGCTAAGCAATGTTAATTATTTATATAAATTTTCTAGTTTAAAATTTAAAAAATTGGTTTAAATCAATTTTAAAAATAATTTTGTTTTATATATTTGCTGTACTTTTATCTGTTTTTATTACTCTCTTATTGATATTTAATTATTGATGTTTTTTTTCCCCTACCTTGTTTCAGTTAAGTTTTTGGAGGTTATAAAGCCATTCTGTGGCATTTTACCTGAAGTAGCTAAACCTGAAAGAAAAGTAAGTTTTTAATTTAAATTTGATTTATAACTTCATTTATTTGTTTTTTCTTTATATATTTTTTAGGTAGGTGATATTAATTGTAGTTAGCTATTCTATCAAAATTATACGTTAATGATTTTTTGAAAATATTTTGTCGAAATAACCAATGGTTTCCTTACAGATTTATGGGATTCAAAGAGAAATCTATAATTTAATGACTTTAAATAGTACATTTTACTGATCAGGGGTCTGTCTAGGTTTTTCTGAGAAGTACCTATTTTGTGAAAAATTAAAAATTATAATAAAAAATCAAACACAAAAATATGGATTTATTGTTTCTTAAGGGATGCAAAAATAAAATTTTAAGAAAAAGTATTTTTTGAAACTATTGTTATTCATAAAGTTGAATTTGTGAAGGTACCGCTAAACGGTAGTAAATGTGGCCTGGACAGATCCGTACTGACGTCTGATAGTTACAGCTAAAGAATGTTGAATCTTGCTGGAAATTGTTGACAGTACAACTTTCCTTCAAATAATATCATATGTACAATAGGGAACCGATTATCTGGAATGTTCGGGACAATTGCTATTCCGGATAACTGATTTTTAAGGTATTCTAAATCGCTACAAAAAGTAGTTTTTATTGTTAAACCCAACTAAAGAAAATAAATATTTGGAAATAATCTTAAAAATAAGAAAAAACGATGAAGTAATACACTAATGATTATTTCCAAAATGATGGTAAGGTAACATCTTCAAAAAAAGAAAGAAAAATCGTAAAATCTTATGAGGAAAAAAAATTTAAAAAAAAAAATGGCGAGAAAATTTATCGAATTTCGTTCCGGTTTTTTGGTTTTCCGGTTTTCTGATAACGGGTTCTGTACTGTACTTGTTTTTCTTGGATTATTTCTTTTTCAGATCTCAGTATTTTCTAGTAATGTCATGATTTTTGACTGCTGTTGGGTATCTAGCCTATTTTACATTCAGTTAAGCAGACTTACTAATTTTTTTTACTTAGCAACTTTGAGTTTTTTTAAAATTAATAGCACCATGTATGACTGTATGAATGAAACAGTTGGCAACAAATGAGACAAGGTTTTTATTTATAGTAATCAATCTGCTGCACGCAACATGTTATTCTATGCAATAATATATATAAATTATGTTATGTGTTAAAATATGGAAAATTTGCTATCAGCTTTTTTCTTTCTTTTATAAAACAGTCATATTACACAGTTATAGCCTACTATTAATCATTTTTATAAAATTATCTGTCTGATACTTTTATATATAAATATTTCAAAAAATTTTGTGCTTCATACTTTCCTCTTTTCTGATTCTAGATTGTGTGCCTTTTTAATTGTTTTTTTTTTTAGAGCAGCCATTAGATATTCAATTATTCCCTTCAAAATACAAAAGTGTAATCAGCTGAAATCAGAACACACCACTTTTTATTGTTGCTTTGATTGAATTTAGCATTTGATTGAATATAAGTATAAAAAGATAACCTCTTTAATTTATACAAATGAATTTTTTTGGCTGCAAGAATTTTTCCTAATTTATAATTGATTGTTTGTGTGTATCCTAAATACTTTTTATGATTGATTTTTATTTAATGCAAAGCATTTTCTTATGTTTGTTTGTTCTATTCTTTTCTAGATTCAGTTTCGAGAAAAAGTTCTATGGACTGCCATAACCTTATTTATTTTTCTTGTGTGTTGTCAGGTGAGAAATTTTAATCTTTAAATTGTTTTTAAGATATCTTTGTTTTGCTGCTGCTAAATAGATAAAAATGACTAATTTTTCTTCTATGTTTATTAAATAGTAAGACATATTATGGCAGTAAAATTTTTTTTCTGAAATGAAAGAGAATAAGTTTTCTTTTATTTATGTAAGAATCTGTATTTTCATAAGTAAATTTATAATTTCTGTTATGTTTTTTCTCGCATAAGGTTTCTATACAATTAATATATTTAATTAATTTTCATATTTATTTTATTCATTTTTCGTATAATTTAGCTTTTCAGTTTTTTAATATATTGGGAAAATTATTTTAATCTAACATAATAGTATAAAATTCATTTTTCAAATTTATTTAAATATTTTAGTGTTTTTTCATAGTCTCTAATATAAAAAGAATTATAAATTTTGAATTTTTAAAATTTGAATGAATAAAAAATGTAAGCCACACTTGCTCTGGGCTGTAAGATTAAAGTTGTAGGTTTTTGAGTTCTCGTTTCTTTTCTTTTCTTCATTTGTTCTCTTGAAAAGTCTTATTTTCTCTAGACTTTTATGTATTTTCTTTTTGGACTTATCTAAAATATTTTCTATTTTAGTCACTATTTTCTTTTAACTACTAATTTTATTTTTTATTTTTATTTTTTAGATTCCTTTGTTTGGAATCATGTCATCAGATTCTGCAGATCCTTTTTATTGGATGCGTGTTATTCTAGCTTCAAATAGAGGTACACTAATGGAACTTGGTATATCACCCATTGTAACATCTGGTCTTATTATGCAACTTCTGGCTGGTGCAAAAATAATCGAAGTCGGTGACACTCCTAAAGATAGAGCCTTATTTAATGGAGCTCAGAAATGTAATTATTATATATGCTCTTTTTTTATTTAATGTTTTTGTTTTTGCAGAGTTCTCCCTAGGAATAAAAAAAAACCTTCCTTACAGAAAAGTGCATTTTGAGTTCTAAAAGGCCACTCAACACTGTAAAAATTTATTGAATGAGTAATATTATGTAATAGCTGAATTTGATTCTCAGCAGTTTTTAAATTATCCTCTTATACTATTTTATGTGTGGATTTCAAAAAGTAATACTCACTAATTATCGACTTCAGAGAAAAATTTGTAGTGTATAAAAATATTTAAAGACATCCTAAAAGACAATTGCTGCGCACAAATTTTTTCCAAAAACAGTAAACTAAAAAAAAAAAAGCATTTATTTAAAAACAACTTGAAGGTTTTTTCTATAATTTAAACTGAAAATTATGAGACAATTAAAATTTTAAAGTGCATTTTTATTTGAAAAAAATTTTAAAATTTGAAATTGTTTGAAAAATTTATTAATATACTCACACTTTCCCCCCAAAACAGAAACTTATAAAATTTTAACCAGCTGAGAATAATACTAATAACATAAATATTTATAATAGTTATCAGAATTAAACATATAAACACAGATGATTTTACCAGTGTAATTATTATTTAAACAGTGAATTAATTTTTTTAATGGATTATAAATAAAAAGTAGTGATTTTAAGGGATGGCAGAAAATGTTTTATAGTTTTTAATTTATAGCTATCAATTATGTATCTGCACCCATTTTTTTAGATTTTTAATCTTAAGGTATTTTGGAGAAAAGAAATAAGTCATGTTCTTATAGTAAGAAAATGCAGTGTGTTTATTGTTTCGTTTTTTATATATATGTCTGTTCAGAAGTGTTAAATAATAGTTTTGTGTATATCTATTGCTATATTTTTATGAAATTTACAGCAGACTGGCAATAAAACTGTTGCCTGGGAGATAAACATTTGATATATATCAGTTTTTTTATTTTTGAAATGCATGTTTTTTGTTTAAAACTTCAAATTTCATAGGTTTGCAATACTTAATTCCGTTTTCACCATCGGGTGTAGGCACAGCAAATCAGTTGCCTGGGAAATAACGTTTGATATAGATCTGCAGTTATTTATGAAATGCATGTTTTTTTATCAAAAAATTACTGCTATACAAGTGAACTTAGAGTTCAATATGGTTGCAATATTTGATTCCACTTTAGTCTTGTGATGAAAATGGCAACAATAAAAATGTGCCAAAAGTTGTTGACGAGAAAAAAATTGCCAAATACACTGATTTGTTGTGCAGATGCATAGCAAATCAGTTCCAAAATTTACTTATTACATTTCTTAGATTTTTGTAAACTAAGAAAAAAATGCAAATTAAGCCATATATGAATAAAAATGTACTATGCTCTATACAATGCATTAAATGTTAAAACTTCATAGGATTTCATAGTCTATCTTAAATAAAGATTTGCCTATAAAAATAAGAATTTTTTATCAACCACAATGATTGAGTTCTGATTACAATAGTTTAGTTCAGAGGTTGGTTAAAAGTATGGCTCTCTTATTAATATTTTTCTATTTTACCTGTTTCACGATATATCTGCTACTAACTACGTTAGAAAAATTACCTTTGCACCTTTTTATGAAACTTGCTTAGTTAAAGAGTTTCAGGCAGAAATATTTTTTAACTTCATCAATTATTTCTGGAAATTGAAATTAAAAATAAGACTTTTAAATTTAGAAATTATTTTAAAATTACGTAAAAAAATTAAATTTTTTTATTTTTAAATTAAGTAATAGATAATTCAAAATATATTTTCCTTGAAGTTGATTTTAGAATAACAATAAAAGGTTCATATTTTTGCCATGTCTCTTGACTAAACTGTGGAACATATCTTCTAGATTGTGTTTACTTCTATTAATTGAGGTCAAAATTTTCAATCTGTTGGAAACCTATTAAAGAAAAAAATTCACTTAGAAAAAATACTTGTCTGTACCTTATGGTGTAACTTAAATTAACGTGTTTAATGATATTATATTTTTTCAATCGTGATGACTAAGACTGGGCGATATTAGAAATTATATATCGTGATGCATCGTCAGTTTTGCATCGCGATATAGCATTTTTGAATTTCATTTACTTGTAAGGCACAGAAAGTCAGATTTCTATCAAAACTTCATACTCAGATTGATTTCAATCAATTTATAAATTTGAAGGTATATATGTTTTGCTTAAGAAAGCTATTAAATAAATTGACTACAATGTTCAAATCTTACTTAAAATATTTATTGAAATATTTGTTTAGAAATTCATAACACGCGTAAAACAAAGTGCTAAAAACTTTTTTTAAAGCGTTTTTTACAAATTAATATTTTCTTGTACTATTATGCATAAATAATTACATAATTATTAAGTTTGATCGTAATGATCAATTTCTAAATGAAACGTTAAAAATTAACGTTAAATGTTTAAAACAAAGTGCTAAATAAATTTTAGAATAAAAAAAACACTTTTAAAGAACTCTTTTTTTTTTCATTTCAGTCATTATAGTTCTATTATAGTTCATTTACGTCACACTAGAGCTGCACAATGGGCTATTGGCGACGGTCTGGGAAACATCCCTGAGGATGATCCGAAGACATGCCATCACAATTTTGATCCTCTGCAGATGGGATGGCACCCCCGCTTCGGTAGCTCGACGACCTGCAAGCGAAGTCAAGCACTTTACGGTAGAACAGTTTAACGAGGACTAATACCACACACCCTCAGTCCCTAACCAGACTGATCTAAGTGGTCACTCACCCGCACACCGACCGCAGCCAGTGATGCTTGACTTCGGTGATCTGCAGGGAACCGTGTCTTAATGATCAGTGCACAGCGGGACCTTATCATTTCAGATAAATAATTAAATTAAATTAAATAATGACCGAATTATGAACGAAAAACAAAGTAAGATATAATTACTTAATAATAAAAAAAATTGTGATATTCGATAATATATTTAGCTAATTAACAAATAATATGAAAAGAATATTTTTTAAAAAAAATACTAATAAAACGAAGTGCTAAATGATTTTTAAAATATGAATAAAATATGCAAACCTTCCAAATTTTTAGTTGATTGACTTATGTTCAAATCCAAATGACAAAAATAAATTTTGTTTTAACTTTATTTCTAAAAATAAAAACAACAAGATTTATAAATTTAAAATCAGTAATAAAAACTCATTAAATTATTAGAAGTTTCATCCAAAAAGTTTTTAATAAATTAAAAGAAAGTAAAAAAATAGCCTAACAAATTCAATTCTTTATGGGTGCCTAAATTAGATTGCCGATAATTTTCATTAAAAATGAAAAGTTTTTTTAAAAAAAACTTATCTAATTAATGAAGAAACTCTTCTTTATGTATTCTTTTCAATAATAGATTGCCTTCAGAACAAGGTAACATCGGCGATCACGAAGTTAGTCCCACTGAAAATAATCTACAAGAAAAGACGCGACAAAGAAAAAAAAAGCTAAGAGGTGCGAAAAGGAACATGCGATATAACGATATGTGTTCTCAAAACTCTGATTCTGATTCTACAGCTCACCAATCAAGGCCATTTCAAAATAACGAAACAAACATCGTCTTCCACAGCACGAGTCGACATCGGAACGTAAGAGAAGAGTCTTATATCGTTTGGCGCTCGTTGTCTTTACTCGACGGCTTAAATCAGATTTCTGATGCATCTCCTTGAATGAAAGTCGCTGTATCGTCTTGCCGATATATGCGTTAAATCGATATGTCTCGATACATCGATTTATAGCCCTGTCCTAGTGATGACCTTATTTTAATCACTAAAAATTTGATCATAATTTGGGTGTAAAAATTTTTCTTCTACTTTGCACACTATACAAGAAAAATAAATTATTTTAAAATTTTGATTTAGTGCAAGCTAAAAGTTAAATTTAATTGATCTTCATGCTAATCATTTCAAAATATGCATTTGAAGTTTCTGAATTAAGTGTAATTATTTCTTTTTATTTTTTAGTATTTGGTATGGTAATCACAATTGGACAAGCCATTGTGTATGTGATGACTGGAATGTATGGTGATCCTGCTGATATTGGTGCTGGTGTTTGTATTCTGATCATTATCCAGGTATGAAAAGTTTATGTAATTGTAAATCTTAATTTAGTATATATTGCAAGGTCTGATTTAGTGTGATCTCTGGCAATAACGAGGCTATGGTACAGCAACCGAAAAATGAGAAATATTTAAGTCAATGACCAGCAAAGATATTGCTATACTAGTTATTGACCAGATTCTTTCTTCCATTGACTATGTCTACTTGTATGTTCTACATAAATTTTTTTGTGAATTACGCCATTTATATTTATTGTTGCATCCACTTTAATTCTAAACTTTTTGTTGCATTTGAAAACAGTTTTTGTCGATCAAAATTCTGATTGGGAACATTTAGAAACCATTTTTAAAAAATTACACTTTGTCAATTTTAAAACATTAACAATGTGTCAGTTAATGTTGATGACTTTGATGAAAAATTTATTTTCTAGTTTTTTCTTTCGCATTACAGTACTCTTGCAGTATTAAATTTTCTCAGTTCCTTTAATTTTCTTTATAAATGAGCTCATTATTATACAGTTGTATGTATATGTGTGTAGAAGCAAAAAATGTTGATTATAAATTTTTTTCCAGTTATTTGTTGCTGGCTTAATTGTCTTGTTGCTTGATGAGTTGTTGCAGAAAGGATATGGATTAGGTTCTGGAATCTCCTTATTTATTGCCACAAATATCTGTGAGACAATTGTCTGGAAGGCTTTCAGTCCTGCCACTGTAAATACTGGAAGAGGTATGAAATTCAATGAAAATTGATCTATGCATTAATCTGGTAAATGGACTGTTGAGTTGGTTTTAATTAAAAAAGAATTTAAATTTTTTTCCAATTAATAACATGCTTAGGGTGTAGTAGCTATGTAATTTGACTTCTTCAAAATTTTTAAAAACTTTTAAAAAGTTCATAGTTTAAATAAAACTGTTTTATAGCCATTGAAAAATTAATTTTTCATTCTAGAATCTTTTTTAAACAGATTTTTTCTTAAAATGCAATAAAAGCCCGACTATCAAGTAACTGGATGTTCAGAAATGCAAAGATTTAGTTTAAAAAATGTGCCACATTATTGCTGAACCAGAACTGCACAAACTCAAACACAGTATTATAATAGTCCAAATTTAAGAGAGTATTAATTTTTATGCTCAGTATAAGAAGGGAGTCAATCTGTGACTAACTCGATATACTGAAAAGTTGTGGATTATACATCCTCTTTATTTAAAACTGTCTTTTTTTAGAACTTGACAGAATAAATTTAATATTCTGTATTTACTACCTGTTTATATTTGTACTTATTTACACTTAAGTTTTTTAAAAAAGATTTCTATTTTTTATAATATTTCTTTGAAATGTTGTAGTAGTTGAAGACGTTGAACTATTATGATACTGGCAAAAATTCTTTACCCAAAATGTTTCAAAATTTATATAAACTTATCAAAATAAAGTTTATATTGTTAGATTGTTGAAGATTGGAATTAGATTTTTCAACCTAGTTTAGTTTATTAGTGTCCATTCACTAATTAATTTGTAAAGTTTTATAAACTGTTTTAAGTCTGAGTCATAGTTGAACTAAGGCTTCTATGACCAGTTTTGCTATTTAAGTAATTTATAATATATTTTTGTTTTAGTTTAATCTTATTTGTTTTTAATATTTATTTTACTATTTATCTTATTTGTTACTAGCATTAATATTTGTTATTTTATTATTTCAAATGTTAGATTTTCTGCTCTATTTCTCAATAAGTAATAAGTTCTTTCACTTATAAAAACTTGCTTTAAGTTATTATATAGAATTAAATTCTGTACTTCACTCTCACGGTTTTATAAATTCTACACTTTACATCTTAGCATTTAAACAAAAATATTGATAGCTTAAATTTGCTACCCACAAGATTCTTAATTTTTTTTTCCAAATGCCTTTTAAGTATTCTAATTTCTTTTTTTAGTATATTAGTGTCTTGCCTTTATATAGAAATAAATATCGAAACTTAAATTTACTTGTATTGATTGATTACATATTTATTTTCTTTAATGTTTTTACAGGAACTGAATTTGAAGGTGCTATCATTGCCTTATTTCACCTTCTTGCAACCCGTACAGATAAAGTAAGAGCTCTGAGAGAAGCATTTTACCGTCAGAATCTACCTAACTTGATGAATTTGTTAGCAACAGTCCTAGTTTTTGCGATAGTAATATATTTCCAGGTACAAATCTTTATTTTGTTTTGTTCACATGTTTATTATTTTTATAAGTAGTTGTATTAATCTTTTTAAGATAAAAGCATAGAAAAAGGATGTTTAAATCATTGCTTGTGAAATATTGGATTCAAATATTGAATATAAGATTAAAAAAATGTGCCATTTCAGCCTTATTAGCAAATTTTAACTATTTTATTATTTTATGACTAATATAATACAAGTGCCGATGAATGGTTACTTGGTGCACATTCTATATTAGAAAACCTCTGACAATAAACGTTTGTTTACTTGTAGAATAGCTTTTAAAACTATTAATTAATTTTTAAGTTTTTTTAATAGTTTAATGAGTGATATATACTTATTTATAATTTTTTAGTTGTGTTCAGTGTCAAAATATGATTTATTTTATTTTTAATCTGTAATCAATTCAAATGAGCTAAAATGAAATTGCATTCCAAATACTCTTAACATGCTTCTGTTTCTATTTTAAAGGGTTTCAGAGTAGACTTACCAATCAAATCAGCACGTTATCGAGGACAGTACAGTTCCTACCCCATTAAGTTGTTTTACACTTCTAACATTCCAATTATTCTCCAATCTGCACTTGTTTCAAATCTCTATGTAATATCCCAGGTAAAACTCTTTCTATATTTAAAGTTTATACTCGTATATTTTTAATTTTATCTTGTATAGTAGGGGTGAACAACCTTTTGAGCTTAGGATGCCTTTTAACAGCAGGTTGACCAATGAAAAGCCACATGCCCAAGTATTGCGACATGTTGATGACAATTATGCTATTTTTTATATAGACATCAATGTTTTTAATTCTATTTTTTTTTTTATCTATTAGCTTCAATATATATATGCAAATATGTGCAAAAATTTAAATGCTTTCAAATACTAAAATTCATTCAAAACTCAAATACTAAACTGATATTTTTCAAAGGAAAGAAAAAATTAGTAGATTTTTCAATGTATATGATTTTTAAAGTTTTATCATATCACATTTCACGAAGGTTTTTTCACAAAGTAATTTAACTGTAATGTTCAAATAATAAAAGCGAAATAACTATTTTACTGAGCAAAGTAAATGCAATTTAAATATTTGATTTTATAGTTGCCTAAAATGATTTTAAAATAAACATTTAATAAATAGAATTAAAGATAAATAAGATAAATGTCAAAATAAGATGAAACATTTAGTTTAGACATATTGACATAGAACATATTTTTGACTTTAGGTCATTTATATTTAGTGAATTATAAGACATTTAACGAATATTTACAATTATAGGATTACGGGAATTTACAATTGTTACGAATATTTACAATTATAGTCGTTAATTTTAGACTGTTTTTTAAGCTATAAAAAGTTAGGAATAAAATTAAGAAACAATAAGCAGTTTTCTCACCTACTTTATAATTTCATATTTTTTTAATAATATTTTATTAAAAATAACAAGATTTTTCAAAAAATACATGGAAATTAGTGCCAACAACAGTAAAAAAAAAAGATTGTACAATAGTTTGAAGAAATTGGTACAAATAAATCAAGTGTTAAAAGTTCTTATTAAAATGCATAATTTGAAAGTCTTAATAATACAATGTTAAAAATATCGGGATTTTCACAACCATACATAGAAGTAGCAATAACTACCAAAAAGAAAAAGATCAAAAAATAACTTGCATTGATGATAAAATCTGCACAAGTAAAGCAAGTGATAGAAGTGATGCGTAATTCAAAGGTCTCATGCCGTTTTATTGTATTAAAAATAGTGGGATTTTCTAAACTATGATGGAAAGCATTGCAATAACTGCTGAAAGGACAGTAAAAAATCTTGGATTTGCGATGAAATCGGGACAAATTAAGCCCATTAAAAATTATTATAAAAATGCAGTATATATATATAATAATATGTTATTAAAAATACAGAGGAATTAAAAACTACATAGAAATCTGACAATAACTGCCTGAAACACCATGGAAATTCACTTGGACTAAATGGGCACAAATAAATTGCTTCCAAAAAAACTAGATTTCGAAATTTGCGTATCAGAATCCGTTGCAATAATCCTAAAAAAAAAAAAGAAAAAAAGTGATGTAAGAAAAAACTAACGTTTACAATGGAATCTGCTCGGTTTGAGTGATTAAAAATACTTGAAATGTACGATTCAAAATTTCCGACTATTTCGTTTTTGTTTTAAAGAAAGAAGAAAAAAAAATTACAATAATTTTTCATTATGTTCAAGTGCTTTCGCGAATAGCATTTCAACAACCAGTGGCCCACATCTGGCGCAATAGCTTCAGGTTGTGCACCTCTATCTATAAGTTAACTGTTTGTTGTTTTACTATTTTTGTAATTAAAAATATTCATAAACAAATTTATGCATTTCAATTATAGATGCTTGCTGTCAAATTTAGTGGAAACTTCCTAGTTAACCTATTAGGAGTCTGGGCAGTAAGTGTTTTTCTTTTCACTTTATTGTTACTGATTTAGTTTATTTTTAATTTATTCTTTTATCAGGCATGAAAGTTTTCAGCTTTTACTCTGAATTCAGCTTTTTTTCAAAGCTTTTTAAGCTCCATACATTTATTAATTTCATAATGTTTGATTGCGTTTATGTTGAATTCAGCTTTTTTTGCTAACTGGTACTTTCATCCCTGTTTTATTTAACTTTTATTTATTAATATGTAGAAATATTTATTGAATTTTTGTCCAATTCTTAGAATTTGTAGTTGAACAAAAGTGGAACTTTTGCGATATTTAGCTATTTTAATTAATGAAAAAGTTTATAAAATTCAGCATAAAATTTTAATATTGCAATTAAGTATTATTGTGTCAATTGACAAACTTTGTTTTATTTTGTGATAAGTTGTGATCTTTGTGAATATTTTTAGATAAGGTTTTAAACTCAAATCACATTTGGGAATAAAAGAAATTAATTTTGGAAAATATAATACAGTACAGAACCCCTTATCCGGAAATCAGAGAACCGGAAAACCAAATAACCGGAACGAAATTCGATAAATTTTCCCGCCATTTTTGAAAAAACAAATGTTTTTCTCCTCATAAGATTTCAAGATTTTTCTTTCTTTTTTGAAAGATGTTTACCTTACCATCATTTTGGAAACAATCATTAGTGTATTACTTCATCGTTTTTTCTTCTTTTCAAGATTATTTCCAAATATATTTTTTTAGTTGAATTTGACAATAAAAAAAAACGGCTTTTGTAGCGATTCAGAAAACCGGAAAAATCAGTTATCCGGAATAGCGATGGTCCCGATCGTTCCGGATAATCGGTTCCCTACTGTATATTCAAATATTTTTGGATACTGTACTACTAGACACAGCAATAGCAAAAGGAAAGGATTTAATTAGGTTTGTTAAAGTAATACGAATGTCTTTCTGATGGATGATTGTTTCTCTTGGGTTTAAGTCTATGATAAATATTGAAATAAATTATTTTTTTTTTATTTGTCTCAAAATTTAACTTTACATATTCATGACACAAAATTTGTTTTAATTATTCGTATAGTAGATTAATGTGATGGCATAATTGATGCTTTGATATCATATTTTCTTATTTTATATGCCCCTTTTCAATTTTCGGAATTTCTCCTGCATTCTAATTTTTTGTACAAATTCATAAGAGGTTGCATTTTCCCACAAATACAAATTTTGTTGTGATGAACTACTAATCTTGCAAAATAGTCCAATGAGGTTTTTCTTCAAGTCACTTTTTAGTGTCTTAATTTCAAACATAATTTTAACTCTATTTTTTCTATTTTTATTGTGCTAAAGTATAATTTATATTTTTTAAGGATGTTGGTGGAGCTGGGCCTGCCAGAGCGTATCCTATTGGAGGTTTGTGTTATTACTTATCTCCACCAGAGAACTTAGCACATATTTTGGAAGACCCTGTTCATGCAGTGCTTTACATAGTTTTCATGTTGGGCTCATGTGCATTCTTCTCCAAGACCTGGATTGAAGTATCTGGATCTAGTGCAAAAGATGTAAGTACTTCTTACTCTGTGCATCATTTAATTTTGTTCTAAAAGTTAAGCTGAAATTGAGATAATTGACATTGAAAGTATCTAGTGTTAAATATCTGCAATGTTTTTCATTTTTGATTTTCAAACTTATTTTTGCAAGTTATCAAAACTTTGTTATATGAGATTTTAAAATTTCAATGATGTAATTTCCTTTGTTCTGAGCATATTAAATCAGGGTGGCCACCCACCTGGAAAACCTTGAAAACCTGGAATTATCAGGGAATTTTTTTATACTGGAAAAAACCTGGAAAAATCAGGGAAATATGGATAAAAACCTGGAAATGTTAAAGAAAAGCTGGAAATTTTTTCTTATATATTTTTTTAATTTCACTAATTTAAATTATTTGCTAATTTTCTTAATTTAAATTGTTTTATCCATTATACCCACATTTTTTAGACGGAAATGTATCTCCAAACAGTTAAAATATCATCTGTTTACTTTTCTTTCATCAAAATTTGCTCCATTATTACCCTGTTAAACTAGAATACAACATAAAATTCTCCCATGCAAATGTAGAAACCTTTGATCTCTATGCAGACTATGGGACTGTGCAATTTCGGAAAGGCAAAGATTATGGTGGATGTGGAAGACGGGGTTAGGATTCGGTTTTTAAATTCTGTCCGTGGGTTTGTTCGCACAATGATTCAAGTTTGTTTGCAATTGAGAGTGGTAATTTTTTATCTATTTTGACAAAATGAGTCAAAATGTTTTTGTATTTTTAACTCTATTAAATTCTCTAAAAATTAGTTGGTTAAAATTTAATAATAATGGATTTTATATTGCACTCTTTTTCTGAAAGCTTTTGAACTCCCATTCAAAGAAATCTGTAAATTATTTTTTCTCAGCAAACCAACCAATCACGCATTTCCCCCTATCACTAACAGCAATGTTTGTCGAAAAATTGTTATAATTCTTGCATTAATGCTAATTTTTTCTATTTCATTTTAACCTTTTATAGTATATTTTTATTTTGAAAAAAGTTTTTTTTAGAACTAACTATATATTAATATCAAATTTTACGGTTTTATTGATAAATATTAGTTTTTTGATTAAAAATTCGAATTGTATGGTTATCACAATATCGAAAGTTCGTAAATGTTGCTTGTATTCCAGAGATGATATTTCAAAACTATTCCTCTTTTTACCTAAAAAAGCTGACAATGACTATGGAATATATAGGAAACATATTAAATGATGTATATACATAAAATAAAATTTTTTTTATTCATATGTGTTTAGTCAGGAGAAGGGAAACGAAACTTAGTGTTTTAGTTCTGCACTGTACAAGATTCCAGTTGTTCAAACAAAAACAATTAACTATGCTAAACTAAAAAACTGTGTGTTTAGATTGGAATTCTTTAAATGTTTTGATTTCAAATAAGAATAAAAATCAAAAAGTATAAATTTTAAGGAATTTTATCTATTTTTTTCTTCTATAGAGTATAGAACTAAAAATTAGACAATTTTACATTTCTAACATTTATTTTTTTATACTGAATCTCTTAAAATAAAAATGCTATTTCAAAATACCATTATTTAAAAATTTCACTTGAGATATTGGTTTAAGGAAAATATGATCAGTGAATTTTATAAAAAGCACTGGTAAGATGAAATGCAGTATACAGTACAGCTTTATATTGAAATGTAATTACAGTGATTCACAAAAGTGTTGATACACTTATGACTTTCAATGAAATAAAACTATCCATTAATTAAAATGAATGTTTCAGAATGTATATTTAATGATAGAAAATGTGTTCTAATCTTAACAAAACTGAAATATTTTAAATGACAAGTTGAAATATTTTAAAAACAAAGGAAAAGTTTATTTTTAAGGAATCAATCATCAAAAAGTGACAAAAACTTTATCCCGCAAAAGTCATACACTTTTAAAGAAAAAACTCAGTCTATTAGTAAATCTAATTTTTCGTTAAATTAACATTTAGTGGAGTTTCCTTTAGCATCTACAATAGCTTTTAAAGGTTGAAAATACGTGTAACTAGTTTTTTTTTTTTTTTTTGTCAGGTGAAATTCGTGCAGAATATTTTTTTAAATTTTATAGGTAACTTTTACAACGCTCAATTGCAAATTTATGAATTTTTCCACAAAATTTATAAATTTAATCTCTGATATGAAGTCCTTCTTTTCAGCATTTTATCACATATTGCACAGTTCAATTGAATACAGTAAACTAATTTAACATATTCATTACTGATTTACCTCTTATGAAGACAAATAATCAAATTTGGTCTATTTTATTACGACCACAAGTCATTTTTAAATGATAAAATAAAATATTACGGAGTTAGCAAGCAAAAATTAAAATATAATTTTGCTATTATAGGTTTGATATTAAATTGCTAATAAAGAAATAAAAAATTAAATGAAAAATAATTAAATAAGAAAAGCAATTGACAATAATTTTAATTCTGAGATCCAAAACATTTAAATGTACGATGACTTTCGTGGGGTAACATTTTTGTTACTATTTAATTAAAAAATTAACTTTTGGCTTTTTTTTAAAAATATTCCGTGCAGTTTTGCTAAGAATAGATTATACATCTTATTTTCAAATACCAATTGTGAAATATTCATTTTAATTATTGAATTTTTATTTCCTATTTCAATCTAAGTTATAAGTGAGTGAGCACTTTTGGGAGTCACTGTAATTATTAAGAATTATTGATATATAATCACCTGAAACGGTTTTCTTTTCCTTAATGAAAATATATTAAACAATACTTATCCAAGGTTTTATTGGTTATTTTGTCATTTTGTCGGTGCACTTTGAGCAAATACTACTTAAAGTAGCACATTAAATTCAATAAAAACAATTAAAATTATTCAATAAAAACAATATATTCTGCAAGCTAAACATATTTTCTCCATGTCTTAATTTTTTAAAAATTAATGTTGTACCAGAACATTAAAAAATAATAAAAATATCATGTAAAAAAATAAAAAATTTTTTCAAGATATGTTTAAAAAAATGACATTTTGAATAAGATATTTTATTATGTTGACACTTTTCTTGTACACATCCTACACTTTATAAGAAAAAAGGAAAAAAACACAAACCTGGAAATTTTAAGATTTTTACCTGGAAAAATCTGGGAAATTTGAAATCTGTTTTGAGTGGCCAACCTATAAATTTAATTCAAATTAGATATAAAATGTTGAATAATAGTTTTACTTTTAGTAGGGCTTTTTCGCACTGAAATATTTTTTTATTCTCGTCTTTTTATATCGATTAGAATTTTTTTTTTTCTTCCATCGTAACCCTCCTCGATCTTTATCTTTCTAAAGTAATAGAGTAGATTAAAGAAATTTTTTACATTTTCATTTAGACTGTTCCCTTTTTGTTGAAATAAGAAACTGCAACCATTTTTTTGCAGTAATGCTTTCTGAAAAAAATTTAAATGCTTAAAATTTGCAAATGACCAGTATTAGATGTCAATTATATATCATATTTTCTGTAATAATGCAGGATTTATATAAAACAATGAATTTTTTCTTTATAGAAATGTCCTAATATATTGCTTTAAAGGTTTTAACTGAATTTGTGCAGAAAGCATATAAAATCAAATAACTAATTTGTATGTTCTGCTACAAGTTAATAAAATTATAGCTTAGTTAACAAAATCAAGGTAACATAATTTTCACTTATACTTTTTGAGCCCTAGAAATGCAATGAAGGTTAGGGAGTTGTCTTATATGCCTTTCATACATTTAGACATGAAGATTTTTTATGGAACTTATAAATTAGGCTTACTTAAAAATGTACCTATTCTATAATATAGTTGAAAATTCAAGAAAGTAATAGTGTTATAGCGTGATTGAAGTTTGGAGATTTTGTAGCATACCATATATTCACCATTTTTTAATTAAAAATAGGAGATGGAACCACAAGTCTACTTAAACACATTCTTGAAAATGCAGTAAATATGTATAAATTGTACTTCCTATAACAATCCACTAAGGAACTTTCAATACATTATTTTCTTTAATATAGGTTGCCAAAACTTTGAAAGAACAGCAAATGGTAATGAGAGGCCACAGAGAAAAATCAATGATTCATGAATTGAATCGATACATTCCAACTGCAGCTGCCTTTGGAGGATTATGTATTGGTGCACTATCTGTTCTTGCAGATTTTCTTGGTGAGTCCTTTCTATTTTCAGTGCTTAAATCTTTTTTTTTTTCTTAAAAAAATAGTGTTTTCTGGATATACAATGATTACGCCAAAATAACAATTTGTATGATTCCCTATTTCTGTAAATTTCGAGTTCAAGCAAAGCAATTACTTTTGATCTTAACATTGAAATGTTAAATTTTAAAATATGTCATTGTTATTAGTGTAAGTAATTATTGTAATGTACTTATAAATGCATTTCAATTTCAAAGATTCATGTTTAATGATTTGATCACATCTGTTGTTAGTTTTTAATTTTACTGACTTTTTTTTTTACGAAAAATATCTAGTATTGCTTTGATAAGAACATTTATAATAGTTTTTTTTGTCCTACTATAAAAGAAAAATACAGTATTAGACGACTATATCTTGTTCCTCATTAATCTGAAAAATGACAGAAATACTTTGGTGATCAATTGATATTATTCTATTTAGCTAAGCTTACTAATTTCATAAAATATGCTGTTTAATAGAGAATTAAGTGTATATTTACTCTAAAATGTGTATCAACTAAATGAAGCCATCTTGTTTTTTATTATTTTTTTTATATTTATTAATTTTTTTTTGTTGCCATAACTGGATGCAAGGAAAATCAAACAAATTCATTAAGGATATCTAAACACATATTAAGGGGGAACTCACTTCCTACTCTACCTGGTCAGGTCTTATTAACATAGGCTAAAAGATGTCAATTAAGTGAAAAAGGAGAGGAAATAAAGTGTCCCATCGAAATAAAGCTACTTCTGATCAGGGTTAGCAGGATATAAATTACTTGATTAAAATTGCAATTTGAATCACTTAATTTTTTTTGAACAAATCATTAATTTAGAAAATAAACTGATTTTTTTTTATAAAAAAAATCAATATTTTTGTTTAATAAATAATTATCAACCGTTTTAAAAAAGTTATTTTCTTTTAATAAATCATTAAGTCGAAAATATTTTTATAGATATGTTTAGGGTGTGATTTTTCTTAAAGTCTGATTTCATTGATAATGAATGTTTTAACAAGAAATAATGAAAAGGTAAATTTTTATATTTAAAAAAAATACTTCTAAATAAATTAAGTTAGAGACATATAAGAGAAGCGTTTAACTGTGAAATTATAATTTTTCATTATCATTGTGTAAAATAATTTGCTGGAAATTATGCACATTTATTATGCCCCATCAATTATACCTGTTAAGTTTTATGGTTATTTGAATACTTTAAGTGCTTTTAAAGCATATTAAATATGTACTTTTTACCAATATTGATGAAAAACTTGTTCTGTCCAGAAAAACTAAATTTTTTTTAATGTCATTAGAGCTACACTATTTTATTCTGCATTGGATATCGAACTATCAAACTGCCTCCCTGTCTTTAAAATTTTAGGATGTTTATCTTAAACAAAAATAACCATGATTTATTTCAATGATTAGTTATTAATAATTAAGAAAATAATTTTTAAAACATTTTAGTAAGAAATATTTAGAGTTAAAATTGTACAGTTAGAATGTTTTAGCTATATATTTTTTTCAAAATACTTTTTATACATTTTATTTGATCATTTGGCTAGTAAATATAAAAAAATCAGATTTGAATCAAAATGGATTTTTTTAAAACAAAATTTGAAAAGAAAAATTATGAATTCTGTCAATTTTGCTTCTTTTAATATCTAATATATGTCATGTGTATATGTATGACTTGAAATATATGATGTTATGTACTATTTATCCAACCCTGGAGGACATTAGCCTCAATATAATCCTAGGTTCCAATGATAGTAGACTTTAAATTCTGCCACAAACTGCTACTTTTGCTTGGTATATACAGTCTTGCTAAAGATAGCCCTCATGTTTTCTTGGGGCCACCAAGGACAAGCTATTCATGGCAAGCACTCTAACCAACACTATGAAGTTTTTGAAAAGTAAATTGAGGCAGAAAAAGAAGGAAAGTAAATTGCCCTGCTGGAAAATCTGACTAGGGCCTCCAATTTTCTCTGCAAATGGCACTAAATGGATTTTTTGAACTTTTGATTAGACTCCAGATTTTGACTCTAGAACTTTTTGATTAACGGTAGCTTCCCACACAATTAATGAGCCTTCACCTTGCTGTATAATGCCGAAATCCTCTTTTGTCATGCCATTGTAATATCACACACAACTTTCAACAGACATGTCAGATTAGCATAGAAATTTTTTCCTGCAGAAAATGAGGCAAAATACTGAATTTTTTACTAATTCTTGATGCGAAAATTGGTGAACTCTAGTTAAAATCAAATTGTTGTCGGTTGAAAATCACTAATTTCTTCCATAGTATGTAAAAATTAGAAATTTTCTATTTATTATCTAATTAATCAGTTATGGGATAAACATTTGTTAGAGAGTAAAATGGTTAGAGTTAGATGTACCCTACCTTCCTACTCATCTCTGTTTAATAATGCTGACTTCGGGGTATAAGTTATCCAGATTTCTAGTAGATATCAGTGGTCAAATCCCACCAACATCTTTTTTTGCTTGGATGTAGTCAAACATGATTCTAATTCTTTGTTATTATTTTTCTAGGCGCCATTGGAAGTGGTACTGGTATTTTACTAGCCGTCACCATCATTTACCAATACTTTGAAATCTTTGTAAAGGAGCAGAGTGAAATGGGAGGAATGAGCACGTTACTTTTCTAAATTGAACTTTATATTAAAATCATATTTCATTAGAAACAGTACATGCTGTACCTTTCATCTCACACGAAGAAGAATAAAAAACAATGAAAGTGTTGTCTTCTTTCAATAACGAAATCTCTCTTGTTGAATCATGTTTTTATATAAATGCTTTTGACCCAACTATTTGTGATTTCACAATTCATTCTAACACTTTGAAGTTTTCTCTTTTAATGTCATTGACGGAGAAGTATTTCTTACTTTGTTATGAATTTGTGGGTTGATTTTAAAAATGTTTTTTAAGTTATTGACAATATTAAAAGAGTGATTTTAGTAGCTCTTGCATGAAGGAAAATGAATTCATAAAATAAAAAGCAAAAACCTCACTTAGAGTGCCTTAAACTTTGAGTAAAGCTTTAATTTTAAACCATAGGCACTAGTTTACTGAAAAGAATTGTTTGAATTTTAAAATAAACAAATACTTAAAATATTTTGAAAAAATTACGTAATTTTTTAAAAGGCTAAGTTGACCTGGATAAAAACATTGGAATCATTGAATAATTAATTTTTAGGAGTCCAAATAGATTGGACTAACTTTTCAAATATTTAAAGATTGAAATAAAAAAGCTGTTTTAATTTTAGAAAACTGCCTTTCTTACATATTTACATTCTATGCCATTTCCATTATTGGCAGTTATTCATAACTGTTACAAACTAGCAATAGTTACAAAAAATATCATTATTTGCTAAAAAAGCGTTTTTGAATATTAACCCTAGATATCTTATGATTTTAGATATTTATTTCACTAAACACTCGGTAGAAAGACTTTTTTCTGCTTCTTGGTTTTTAAAAATTTACTAAGGAGATAAGGTTTTTCTAATTTTAGTTATTTCTGATGTCATCCAATTATACTTATTCTAATAAATTTAAAAAAATAAACATTGCTATAATATTTTCTCTTTTTACTTTGATTAATATAACTGTGTTAGTAGGACTTTTAAAGAATTACGGTGTTCAATTCATCATAATATGTAGTTTGGAAATGTGCATGGGTGTCCCAGCTAGGGTGGCAATTTTAAAAAAAGTGACTTTTTTTAAAATTATTTATTTTGTTTAATTATTACATGTGTGCCTGGAATAACACATATGGCAATGCCCTTATTTCATTGTTTTGATGAAATTTCCAAATACCAGTTTTGTATGATTTTGGCTCTTTATAGCCTAAAATGGTTTATGGATATAAATCTTTTGATTAAGAAGCATTCAGTAAAAGGTGGTAAAAGTATCAAATTGCATGAACTAGATCAGTACTCCCCAAACCTTTTTATCGCTGTGGATGGGTGAATGCTTGATAATTTTACCATGACCTGCACAAGGGAGGGGTGAACGTTGATTGTTATTGTTGGTTGTTTTGATTCAACAATTTTAATTTAAATGTATTTAAACATGCCTTTAGAACAAAACACAGTTACATGCGTGGTATGGGTACCTTTAAGTGATAAATCTTAGTTTTTCACAGATTAAGTTTTATCTCGGCTCCCGGTTAACCTCTCGTCCATAAAAAGTTTATCAAACCTGAAAGAAATTTACAAAAGTAAAAAAAAAATGGAAATACTGTGATGTTTCTTGGGTGACCATTATCATTGGATTCATGACCAGTACCCGTTTGTGACCCGCAGGTTGGAGACCAGTGAACTAGATGATCACATCTTGTCTTCTATCTTGTTAATCTACAGGACAGAGATGAAAATAGAAAGAAAAATTATGTTGTTCTTTTTCAGAGAAGCAGATTTATGTCACAAGCTTACTAGACTCTTTTAATGTTAATATGTGTATTGTAATTCATATTACTTGCAACTATTTCAAATCTCAGATGGTTTTAATAGTAATTTAGGAATTAATAAAAATCAAAGCTCTAATGTTAAAGATAAGGCAAAGTTTACCTTCATATTTTCAATGCAGAAATTAGATCCATACTTTTATACAACTTAACCTAAAATATTGCATGTGAGCTTGGTTGAATACTGGCAAAAAATTTATAATTTTCAGGACAGTAGAAGAAACTGAAAACCCAGTAGAAATAGAAAAAATTAGACCAGATATAACTAGTCAAAGAGAGCTAGTACATATATAATGAAATTAACCAAGTTTTGTCAGTTTTTTTATTAAACTTAATAGAAGAATGTGCTTTTATATAACATAATCAAATACATTATTTTTGTATTTAATTCATTTTACTATAAATTTTTTCTGTTAAAATTTGAGCAAGTTTAAACTTATATTTGGTTTAGATTTAATATGTTACTAAAATTAACATCCTTTTATTCTTTCAAAATTGTTTTCACATTTTTTTAATTTCCTTTTATTACTTCTAAAATCTGTTTGAAATTGTTATATATTATACATAGCGTTTGAATCTTCACTTAAAGTAGCAGAGCCGTCATTATTTTTTCATGCTTTTCTTTTTTGTTACAAAGAAAGGTTTTTTTTCTCATTAATTTTCTTTCATTTTGAAAATGATACTCGCACAAATGTTTTTAAAATTCCAAGCGTTTAAGTACCCTTTCAATTTGTATTAAAATTCATTTTACTTTAAGGATAGCATTCATTTTTGTAGCTGTTTTAAGGCTTAGTTGGTGATTTTTGTTAGGATTTAAAAGTTTAGTTTATGATCAAGTTAAAAATATAATTATGCTATCCAATATATGTGCAGTTGCAACATTCAGAAACTGGTTCCAAAGAAAAACGAATTAGCTATTATTGTTTTCCAAAACAGGATTCGTTCCCAAAAATTTGGGAAGAGTTATGTAAAAGTATCTGCTTGCTCAGAACATTTAAAAAAAGTTTTTGTGAGGCATTTCAAAGGTGAATTATTAGGGTACTTTGGGGTTATCGCCAAAAGGTAACTTCTGCGCCCATAACCACAAATTTTATCATATTTACTGGGTAATTCTTGACACGCGAGTTAATTTTCAAGAATATGGAAAAGTTACAAAACTGATGAATTGGAAGCAAGTGGGATTCCAACACTTTAAAGTGAATAACCGATATAATTTTGTGGTTTCTGAAACTGGTGCACATACTCAAAACATAGAACGATTGTGAGGTTCCGCGAAACAAACACATCGAAACTACCCGAAAATACTTGCATTTTTTTTATGTGGCAACGACTGCACAAGGATAATAACTTGTTTGCTCTTTGAAAGCTATCGAGGACTTTTGACCGCCGAAATGATTTATAATAATATGTATGGTTAGGTTCAAGAATAATTCTATGTGTGATTACAGAAAAAAAAGAGGTTTTTACTTTGTTTTGATTACTTATTTTGCATTTTTATTGCGTATTTTCACTCTTACATTTTTGTTATTTGATAAATATAATGTGTTTATAATGTTTATTTTGGAAATTGCTTTTCATTATGATGGCGCTAATTTTCGAGAGCGTTGACAGGTCGACAGGACAATCCTGAAGTACAGCATTGGGTTTACCCAAAAAGAAGTAAATGCTATTCCTAGTCAAAATTTGTCTCTTTCAAATATTGTTAATGAATCAAATAGATCCAAGCGCTATAGAAAAAAGAAAGAAATCCGTAAAAAGATTTAGTTGAAAGCATTTTAAAATCTACACCTGGCATTTCCAAAAAAATAACAAAGATATTAATTCTGAATGAGGATGAAGACTACAAGAAAGAGATGTTAAGGTTCAATACTATTTTGATTGAGAAAAATTTACCAAAAGAATGAAATAACAAGAATACATAAGGGGAATGAAAGAAAAATTATTGGTCGAAAGTATTTACGTGGGTGCCACTCTTCGGTCCTGAGAATTGAAATCAGTCTTGTAATAAGATCCAGTGGATTGAATTCAATCCTCCAATATTTATTTCCCATTTGTTTTTAAATTATAAGTTTCAAAAAAAAATCCCCACCCCTTACTCTTAGCTATTTTTTTCATTAATTTAACAATTCAAAAGTAAATTTTGTTCTGTTAAAATAAACAAATATATATATGTAGGATTTTGTGGAACAAGAGAGGGAAAAAAACAATAGTTTTATAATGAAACTTAACATTTAATAAAAAAAGGAAATAAGTTTAGCAGCGATATCATGACCGGTGAGAGCTGCCTACACGCAGTGTTGCCGGATCAAGAATGAATGTTCAATCAGATAGTTCTATAGAAAAGAGTAAGAGTTATTAATTTATTCGAGACTTTTGCGTCTGGTTTCTATGGCACCGTTGTTACCAGGGCTTTCCGTTCTGGCCTGGCTGGCGCCTTTCAACGAGGAAGTAGATGTTGCAATTCGCCCAGTTATTACACACACGCACATATATATATATATATAAATTTTTTTAAAACATTAGCTATTTTCAATTAATGATGTCACTTCAGCATCTGCTTGAGTTCAACAATTGGTGTAAAGTGATATACAAGGTTAGCTGTTATTTTAGATTTATTTACTGTAAAAAAAAAAGAAATTTCGAATTTTTTTTAGAAAAAATAAGTTATTGATGTATGGACCATTATCATGGAAAATGAGTTAATTTTCAGAGAAATTCTGTTAAATAATGCTAGACCATATTAATTGGTCAAAAAATAAGTTCAGGCTTGAAATTTTTACAGTGGCACCCTTGTATTTACTTCTGGTCAAATAAACTGCCTTGCAATTCAAAAAGCAACGAAAGGGCTTCACAATTGATTACGAGAAAAGTAGCTGGACAATTATTTTCCGTCTATTGCTAATGCTACGAATGCTAAAATAGTATTTGAAGAAACTAAAAACAAATTTATTTGTGGCGAAATGTTTTTGCATTATTTAGCTTAGCATACAAAGATGCCAAATATATAAAAATCTAAATTTCAAATTTTTTTGTTGCAAAAGCTCTAGTAGGGGTGTGAAACTCACCAAATTGGATATTCTGGGCATGAATTCAACTATTGCCTTGCGTGCAGTATTTTGAAAATCTTATTTTTATTTTAAAAAAGAAGTATTTAATTACCCCTTCTAGCTTTATCAACAATTAGATAATGGTCCAGGCAAAACTGATATTTTTCCGGGTATCCAAAAAGAAGTTTTAAGTTTGATAAAGCACAAATAAAAGCTATTAACCGAAGGAGAGAAATTGTCCGCTTTATCAATTGATGAAATTATCAAAAAAATTGACCTGACATCAAACTTATCT